AAGAGAGGGAGGGGAGGAAGAGAGGGAGGGGAGGAAGAGAGGGAGGGAAGGGTGAGAGGGGAGGAAGAGAGGGAAGGGTGAGAGAGAAAGAGAAAAAGAGTTGTTTTGGACACATTGCATTTAAGAAGCCTATGGGACATCAAGTACAAAATGTCAGCTGATGATGTAGGACTAGAGAGCTCAAGAGAAATACTAGGGATGGATATATACACCCGGACGTTTGTATAAAGATAATAATTGAACCCATGGGAGCTGATGAGATCAGTATCAATGAGGGAATATAGTGAGAAAAAAGACAAAGCCCTAAAACAGAGCTTTCTGGAAATATTCAGTTAACGAGGAAGGTATAACAAGACTGAGAGTCACAGGAGAACCAAGAAAGTGTTATTACCAAAAAACCCAGAGTAAAAAGAGTATGCAGAAGGAGAAGGCTGTCAACAGTATCAAATGTTTCAAAGGTCAAGAAGGAACAGGATTAATTAAAGCCCATTAGACTTGGCAAGTAAGAGATCATTTACCAAATACATAGACCTCTCTCAACCCAAAAAAGAAAATCACCACTTTTGACAAAAGTCAAACACGTATTATAAATAACCAACCCACGCAGTGTTCATCTGTATTCAATGACCTGGAGCAACTTAAAAACAACTTTTTGTTGTAAAACATCTATGTGCATGCGCTTGCAATATGTGCCTGCCATTGACAGATCTGATGGACTTACCTGCATGAGGGCTGGGTGCTCTGGCCAGTCCTCTAGAAGTCTATTTACTTCTTCAGTGAAGTCACGCAGCACAGGTTGGCACTGTCTGACTTCCTTTATGTTGGGATGTTGATAAAAGTCATATGGGCCATCAGGTTTCAAAGTCAGGTCTGAGGCTGCCTCTTCAAAAAGAGTGTTGTAGAAGAGGGTACTGCCCAAGAGCTGGCTGCCCAGAAGCCTGTCATTCACCTCTGTGCCTGTAATGCCAGATAACAAGAATGAGACTGATGACCATTAGGGCTGGGTCTCTTCTTGGTCCAAGAGAGTTTTTGATTTTGTTTTTTAAATAGTAGATCTGAAAGATGCTTAACCAAAAATATGAGGGACAAATAACAAAGCTGCCAGGAGAAAAAAAAAATAGCATTGGTGAATTTTTCTTCAGAACATGCCAGGTCTGGGACTGAGATGGTTACCAGCGTGTCTAAAGGATGGTTCCAAACTTCCCCAGTTTCTATGATATGGAGTCACAAAGACTGTTTATCATTTAGACTGTGGACTTAACCTGTCAGTTTTTATAGCTGCTCTGACTGACAAGAAAGGAAAATTACCTTTCTAGTTTAGGGAGGAGTAGGTGGGGTATTGGGGAAGCTATATATGAATATACCAAGAATCTACAAACTCCCCAACACCTAAATAGAGTTTCACAAGATTTTACATCTTTATACATTAAACATTCAAACAAACAGGTGTACAACAGAAGGGTTGTTAGAAGCCTTACGGGAATGAAATTATCACCTGACTCAAATACAACCTTCATGCTCTTAAGTTCTTCCCCAAAGTATTCAGGTTTTAAAAATCCCTTAACATTCCAAGTTTTTAAAATGCAATAAATTTGGACCTAAGCAACTTCATTTCCTTAGGAAAAGAGCATATCCATTAAGAAATATTTAAGTGAAAACAGTATTAAGTAAAAATTTTTAATTTAATTTCCCATTTTGGTCTACTCTCTATCAACTGTCAAGTACATAAATAAATATACAACAACATACCCATCCAAGGGTAAAAGTGTGTCACAAGAGATGCGCCAGTCTGATAGCAGGCCATAAATAAGCTGAAGTAATGTTTAGGCTGGTGTGATGGTAGCTCCTGTTGGTACCAGAGGGATCGTGCAAAGTTTAAGCACAGCTGTTGATGGACCAGCACCACGGCCTGCATTGAACTCTGGGAGAAGAAAACCACATCTTTGTCTGCTCTCTCCACTGGCTCCACTTCAGTTTCCATTTTCTCCTCTAGAGTTGGCTGGGCTACAATGTCTGCAAAGTCCTACAGGTCAGATTAAGACAACTATTAATGTTAGCAAATTAGTAACTAAACCAGTATTATAAGTTTCATTCTACTGAAAGGGAAAAGAGAAGAAAACAGGGTAAAGGAACAAAATAACACAATAGCTGTGTAATTGCCATTAGAAAGTAAGCTCCTTAAAAGTAGTTTTATTCCCAGCAACTAGTACAGTGCTTGGCAAATACTAGTTTGGGGAGGCAACATGATAATCAATCAAGAAACATGTATTAAGTGCCAACTATGTGCCAGGTGCTGTGCTAAGCACTGGGGTTACAAAAAGAGGCAAAAGATGGTCCCTGCCCTCAAGGAGCTTAAAATCTAATGGCAAAAACAACAGGCAAACAAATACATACAAAGTGAGCTACATATAAGATAAATAAGAAATCATTAAAAGGGATGGCTCTGGAATTCAGAAGGGTTAGAAACGGCATCCTGTAGAAGGTGGGACATTAACTGGGACTTCAAGGAAGCCAGAGAAACCAGGAGATGGAAATGAGGAGAGATGGGGCAACACCAGGGATAATGCCCGGAGAAGTAGTGGCTTGTGGAACAGCCAGGAAGCCAGTGTCACTGGATCAAAGTGTACACACAGGGGAATGAGATGTAAGAAGATGTGAAAGGTAGGAGGGAGTTAGGTTAAGAAGGGATTTAAATGCTAAACAGAGAATTTTGTATTTGACCCTGAAGGCAATAGGGAGCCCCTGGAGTTTAATGAATAGGGAAGTGCTGTAGTCAGAACTGTGGATGGACCACTTTGGTGATTTTGATACAGGGGAAAGTGTCCTAGACTTGAAGTCAATGGACCTAAATGTTAACTATATAGTAAGTGTATAATAATTATATACTAAGTAGCTCTGCCACTTACTACATTTGTGGCTCTTCACTTCAGTTCCCCCATCTATAAAATTAAGAAGTTGGACTAGATGACTTTTAAGATCTCTTTATATCTAAGTTGATGATCCTATGATGTTAGGGTGAATGGTCCTGAACAACTCATTTAAACTCTCTGGGCCTCAAATTTCATCAAATAAGTGGGCTGGACTGAATGACTTCTAGGGTCTCCTTCAGCTCTACCATTCCATGATTCTATCTATAACATATTCTATATGTTATACTTCTAAGGCTGTGGTACAAAAACACTTTTTTTTAGAGCAAGGCCGCCAAAATTCTTTACACAAAGAAAAAGCATCCATTAATAAATAGTTCCCCCAACAAAGGGGTAGAGAGGTTGAGGGTGGGGGTTCCAGTACTATTAAACAGAAGCTGGCATTTATAAATCACTTTAAGGTTTAAATACATTATCTCATTTGATCCTCACAACAGCCCCATGATATAGGTGCTATTATCATCATCATCCTCATTTCATAGATAATGAAAATCAAAGGTCAGGATAACACTGCTATTTGTCTGAGGTATGATTCAAAGCAAGGTCTTCCTGACTTAACGTTCATTGCTCTATTCACTGGGTTATGCTGCCTGAAACACTGAAAGCAGTTGGGCAGTCCATTCTTGAAAATCTGCTGAGTGCTTATCACAAAGAGATCACTGGGTGTCTAACAAGGGAGAGATGTAGGGAAATACACAGAGTGTGGTATATGCTATAAAGAGGATCCATTCTCAAACCCATCTCCATGGTCCCCCTCAAAATTCAAGTATTCTACCTCTTCATGGAGAGGAAATCGTTTCCTGAATTCTCTTTCCTCCTCTTCCTCCTCACTCAGTCCTGTTCCATGATTCTTGTTCTTGTATCTATACAGACTGTTTTCCTGCTCAGCCTTTACCTGGGCACAGCGTTCCTGTTCATCCCACTCATTTATGATTTCCTGGGAAGTCAAAAACAGGGAGAAGTTTTGCTGCCTTTCCCCAAACACTCTCACTTAACAAAGGAAGATAAATGCTTACCTTCTTCTATACTCCTCAGAAAACCTAGAGTAAGCATGGAATAAAATCAAAGCATAGGCTCAATCAAATCAGTCAGCAAATATTTACAAAGCACTTATTAGGTGCCAGGCACTGTGCTGCTAAGCAATGGGATACAAAGGCAGGAGAAAATACAGTTCATGCCCTCAAGGAGTTTATGCTCAAAATAGGGGAAACAACATGCAAAGAAGTTTACATACAAAATACATACAGTGTAAAAATGGAAAGTAATCTCTGAAAGAGGACCTGGAACAGGCTTCTAAAGGTTCTGAGCTGAATACTTTAGGATGTCAAGGAATCTAGGAAGTGGTGTTCAGAAAGGAGAGCATTCTAGGTCTGGGGGTGAGCCAGTGGAAAGATATGGTATAGGGTGATGGAGGGTCATGTTTGAGGTACAGCAAGGTCAATGTTGCTAGATCATGAAGTATGTGGAGAAGAGTACAGTGTAAAAAGACTGGGAGGAAGGAACCAGGTTGTAAAAGGCTCTAAATGACAAACACAGAATTTTGTATTTGACGTGGGAGGTAATAGGGAGCTTCTGGAGTTTATTAGGCAGGCATATAACATGGTTAGATAAACACTATGGCAGACAGCTGAGTGGAGGAAGGAATGGAATGGGGAGAGACGTAAGGCAAGACATCCAACCAGAACACTACTATAATAGTCTAGGCATGAAGTGATGAGGGCTTTTACAAGGCTGGCAGCCATTTGAATACAGAGAAGAGAATGTACACATGAGCTATCATGGACACAGAAAGTATAAGACTTTTCAATAAACTGGATATGTGGGATGAATATAAGGAGTTGAGGATGAGACCAAAGTTATTAATTTGGGCTACTGGGAAGATGGTGGGGCCCTCAACAGAAATAGAAAAGTACTGAATAGGGGAGGTTTTGTGAGGACACAATGAATATGTGATGTCTAGGTAATATCCAGTTAGAGATACCCAAAAAGAAGCTGGTAGAGCTCAGAAGAGAGACTAGGACTGGGAAGAGTTCTGCAAATCATCTACTTGGAAATCACAACTGAATCCATGGAAATGATATGATCACCATGCAAGGAAGAGAAGGGAATGGAAGGGAAGCAATCAATACAGAGCCACAGGGAACAAAAAAGGTTAGTGGGCATGACCTGAATGAAAACAAAGCAAAGGTAATTGAAAAGGAATGGTCAGAATCATAAAACAAAACCAGGAGAAAGTGGTGTCAGGAAAACCTAGAAAAGAAAAACTATCTAGAAGAGGGTGTCTGATAATGTCAAAGAAGTTAGGAAGGATGAGGACTGAGAAAAGTCCATTAGATCTGCAGAAATAAATTCACAGAGGATTTGGTCTGCTTATAGTATTTGAATTCAATATACTCAAGTCCCTTCCAGTCAAGGATGAACAGGTCAATGCTTTAACAATCAGCTCACTGCAGGGGAAAATGTGCATATAATGCCCTCTTAAGTTTAATCTGCATTACCAAAATTTTCTCCATCACTTTCAAGTCTAGAAAATCCTTAAAACAATAAATCAAACTCTAATTTGTGGCATTTATGGATGATTTCCAGACTATAAATGCTCACAGTGAAAATATCACAGTTGGCTCTTACAAGTCAGTCTAAATTGGCTCCAGCTTCAAATCTAGAATGATATAATACATTAATACATTAAGCAGAATGCCTTGAGAGAAGCAACTGTGTCATTTCTGTCTTTGTATGCCCAGAACCTAAAACAGGGCCTTAGCAGACACTGAATTAATGCTTACTGAACTGAACTGTTGGGAGAATTTTCCCATGGGAGCTCTAGCTTCTCTTGGCAGAAGCTGAGGGTCACAACCTGTTATGTGGCAAAAACAAGGAAGTCTCACAAGACCTCTCCTTTGCTGATACGCAGCTCCCACGGTTGGCTCAGCTCTCCTCTCACTGGGAGAAAAATCCTACTCATACCCCTGACACGAGGGCTGCAGGTGTCCAGCAGACTTGGTGATTGGCTATCACGTGGAGATCATACTTTGATCAGGTGTTACTAAGGATATAAAAGAAAGCTACTAGCACTTAATAAACGGAGCTTCTGCCATCTTGCTGTCTCCCGCCTCATCAACGTGCCTCTGGGTTAAGAGTATAGAGCTGGTCTCATGCTCACCACTGCAGCGGCCGCATCACTGAACCTAGTGAACTTCCATGAAATTATGTAATTAGTTAGCTCAGATTTTTGCCCCATGGTTCCTATTCAGTTTGGTTATAACTTCAGGGGGCCTACAAAGTGATTCTGGAAGAGAAAAATCCATGACTAAGGACTGTTTAGTCTACAGATGGCATTCAGCCTGTTGTAACTCGTAAGAATTTAAGTGATTAATCCCAAACTAGTGCTTTATTAAATTATTTTCTACTCCCCAAAATATCTTCTTTAATACTCATAAAACACCAATACCATCCTTCATCTCCCTTCTTTTGCTCCTTGTTTTCTCCAAAAATATGAGGATCAAGAGAGCCAGGAACATTCAGGTAGACCTATCCTTACCTGACATATATGCCTAAAAAGCATCAAAGTTTTCTGGTCCATTTCTCCTTTACAAAGTACATGGGAGCGAAGGTAAAGCAAAGCATTCATCAGTAGCTGCTCTTGGGTTGGACAGGGCTTCTGATCCTTGCCTTCTAATTCATGCCCAACAGAATGTTTCACAGATACCTTCTTAAGTCCCCGGAGCACTTCAATCATCTTTACAGAGCAAAGAGCATCTGCATGAGAAAAATAGGTGGGAAAAGTGGAGTCCACAGAAGGGAAGGCCAGCAGCGAAGTGACCAAACAACTCAACTTGTGTGGACAGACCAAACCACTGTGGAGTGTGGCATAAACTTCTGAGGCTACCAGTCTCATGCCATGCTGCATTTGCAAAATGGCGGCCTGTAATGGAGCCACGGCATCCGGGTACAGAGCATATTCCTCCATTAGTCGTTTCCTAAACTGGTGGTGTGACTTCTGCCAAGCAGCCTCCTCCTTCAGTAAGTTCTGTGTTGTCTGGGATGACTTAGACATATCTGCTCGAAGGCTTTGCAGAAGTCGGGTAAGTAGATCCTGGACTGAAGAGATCCGAGCAATGCTGGTGACATAGTGGTGAATTTCCTGGAGCATCGATTCATAAGAAGGAACTTGAGGCCTGAAGGCCTGCTTTTTCAACAGACTGCTTATCTGTTCCTTCAGCTGTTGTATCCTTTGGCGTAGTATTCTGAAGGTAAATGAACAAAACAGGATAAACTAACAGAGGAAGGACATAAATTCCAGGATAGTCAAAATATGAAAACAATACATGTAACAGCTCTTTAGGCAGCAGGCGTATGGCTGACTGCAACAGAAATCCAAATTAAGTGCAAAACTGAGTCCTATGTTTACTATTACTCGTGGCTCTTATCAAGCTCACCCTAAAATTTAGTTTCAGACAACCTGTTTACTATTATTTTGGAAGATGAGATGGGGTGGGAAGGTAAGTGAGGCAGAATACATACCAGGGCTCCTCTATTAAAACACTGGAAGGATGCTATAGCTCAAGTGTTTCTCAACAATAAGTACAAGCTAATAATAATAACAACTGAATTTATAGAGCATTTTAACTTTGCAAAGCATTTAACAAATATCATATCATTTTATCCTCACAACCACCTTTTGAGGTAGGTCTATTATTATCACTATCTTACAGTTGAGGAATCTACACCCTCTGGCTCTTAATTACCAAACAGAATGAGCATATACACAATGAACAAGAAAAGGAGGATTATATATAAAACTATAAATCTCTATTATATATAGTTTGCTTTCCTTAATATGTAATTAATTCAACAAATAACTTACAGGGCTTTCATTTATCTCTGATTCTTTCTTACCTTCTTTCTATTTTCTTCTATGCATTTACATAAAAATACTTCAGTGAATCTCTTCTATTGCTTGGCTTCTCTATTCATAAATTTGTCTGACACTCACCCTCTTCCCCACAAAAAAAATTAGAAAAAAGAAAAACAAAACTCTTGCAACAAATATGCATAGTCAAGCAAAACAAATTCCCATAGTGACCCTATTCAAGAAGGCATATATTTTTCTGCATTTTTAGTTTAAGGTGAGATTTAAACCAAGAACTTCCTGTCTCCATCAAAAAGCAGCATGCTGTCAACTACCCCACACATGCTGTCTTTGCTCCTTGGTATTGTACCTGAAATTCTGCTGAATGCATCTTGATCTAAGCATTCTCCAAAAAACTAAATGTTCTATGCTTATGATCACTAATGATTACCAAATGGTATAAAAACAGGTATTCCTGGAGCAGCTAGGTGGCACAGTGGATAAAGCACCAGCCCTGAAGTCAGGAGGACCTGAGTTCAAATCCGGCCTCAGACCAAACACTTGATACTAACTAGCTGTGTGACCCTGGGCAAGTCACTTAACCCCAACTGCCTTAAAAAAAAAAAAAAACCCCATAGATATTACCACTCTTGAATAAATCTAAAAAGAGACTGCATTTTCCCCCCCAAATCACTATAATTACAATACAAAATACTGGTCAGCTGTATTACCTGATGTGGGGATGAGAATAACTGATAACCATTTCATCTTCAAGGTCTCTTCCTGTATGTAGCTGTGACAAGAGGTTGCGAGTCTTCCACTCACACTCAAGCTGATGTAACTAAGCAGGAAAAATGGCAAAATGCATTATTAGTGAGTAAAAGTTACATATTGTGAGCATTCTGATTATCTAAAAAACAGGATCTCTCTGGGTGTGTTTTGTGAAAGGGTGCTTTTAAAAATGGTACAAAACTGCACTGATAACATTTTTTAATTAGAATGTGCCATTCTTCCATTAAAAAAAAAAATCAATGCCATTGGTCTCTGACTGGATCAAAAACCACAGTGCCCAGACCATCTTGGGTTTGCAATCACAAGAGAACAGTGGCTATTAATGTATTCCATATCATCATGCCCTTTGTGATTTGAGTTTGTGGGAAACAGTAATTTCAAAAAAGAAAGCTATTTCCTGAATCCTAAAAAAGAATCTTATAAGGGATCAAAAAAAGAATAACTGGAGAATAACGTTCTAGTCACACTCCTTTGCCTCACAGATAAATGTAACATGGTAGTAAAAGCTGAGTTGGCAACTGTAGAGTCCAAAAGGCAAAACCCACATTCCCCTTCCCTTCTCAGAAGACCACATCCCAATGGGGGCCCACATCCTTCCAAGTTCCAAATTCCTGTACCTCTTCCTTGGCATACTTGAGCTTGTACTCCCTCTTTACTGCAGGATCAAACTGTGTCTGAGGAAGCCACGCTTGGACCTGTGACAAGCCCAGGTACACCCACAAGCTCCCTCGCTCAGCCACTTCAGGTATGTCCTTCCTGCTCTCTCCTTCCCCAAAGAGGTGCCTCACACAAGTCAGCATGAAACCGAGAAGCTCTTCTGGCAGCACCTCCTGCCCAATCATGTCTCCCAGTGTCCTGCACACATGCTGGAAAGCCATTCTGTCTCTGGATGGCAGCCTGTTGCACTGCTGTATATACTCCTGCTTCCAGGGCTCTGGGACCAGCTCTGCCAGGGCCAAAAGGGGCCTGTACAGCATCACCCACTGGAGGTGGGAATCTGTGCTTCTAAAGGAGGAACAGCATCATCAATAGATGTTAACAATCAGAGAAATGAACCAAAGGGGGGAGAGGAGGGGGAGAGAGAGAGAGAATTTTTAAAGATCATCCCCCCCTCAAAAAAAAAAAAAAACAAAAACAAATCCCTGCTATCTTCCTTAGACAAAGATGGCTACAAATGTATGAAGAATTTAGCATTCTTCCGCACACGGGGAACAAGTTTGTATTCATCACTTATACTCATCCCCTCTTGCCCTGTTCTCCTTTGTGAACAACAGCATGTCATATCCAAGAGTATGTGCTGAGCGAAGGGAGTAGTCTGTGGTGGGGTTTTTTTTTTTTTCTGGTGTTGTGTGTGTTTTCCTTCACTTTATTTCAGAGTCATAGAAGCCTTAGCTACTCCTGGAGCAAGGAGACCTATAGTTATAGCTGCCTACAACGAGGCATATCACTAGGTTGACTGTAGCAGCTTATCTATCCCCACTGTCAATCCCAGCAACAGCTCTGGCCATTCTGGGATGCCTCTCCCAATCTTTCTAAATTTAATTTTTATTTAGTTCAATTAACAAAAATATATTTTACTCACCATTCCCTCCTCCCCCCAACATGACAAAAGGAAAAAGAAATCTGCATACTCCAGAAAATCAAATTCTCACATTGGCCATATCCAAAAGCATAGGTCGCATTCAAAGCAAAGCAATTTAGAAAGGGGTTTAGTAGTGAACCTGTGTTCTGGTCATCAGCTGTAAAATATTCTACCCAATGGAGCTAACCAATAAACCAGTGAAGACTTATACAGAGTCATCTCTATGCAAAAGCACTGTGCAAAGAGAAACAATCAAGAGCTCAAGAAGTCCTAAATTAACTAAATATGGAAAGAGTGTATGTAAAAATTTAAGGAAGGAGGAATTACCTTAATTCTGCCATGGTAAGAACAGGCATGTTGGTCCAAAGAATGGTGCTGATATCCTTAAGCTGCTGGGCTCTCTCTGCCCATTCTCCAAGGGTGACATGGGAAGAAGAAAGGACAGAAAGGCCACTGATGTCCCAGGGGCTTGACCTATAGCTGCGTGTGAGGACTTCAAAGAAGCACTTTGAAAAAACCGCTCTATTTAAAATGCCTGGTCCCTGAAAGATAGGAATTAATGGTACAACATCACTGTTTCCAGACAAGCTTGAATTCCACCAAAGAATGCATTTGTTTCTAGATGTACTTTGAGAATCAGTCATTCTAAAAACAGGTATGGCCAGGACCTCAATGAAGGAAAATTTTCCAATTATACTCCTTTGGGGTCAGAGAATGTTTGTTAGTCGCTATTTTCTTGGTCATATCAAGGTCATAAATAAAAGTATTTCTAAAATAATTCATTTTTACACTTCAGTTCTTAAAACAGAAAGTCATGAGAAAATATATGAAAGCAAGCAACAAAATTCTTTATCATTCAGAAAAGAACAGAAAAAAACATTACGAAGGGCTAGCTACTCTAGAAGTCCATTCTTCCCAGATTTCTCACAATGGACATACTATTCTCCACCCCTTAGGCTTCAACCTCTGATTGGTTGGTTTCTCCCAGAAACTCCGTTTTAAGGGAAACAACCAGGCCAATCAAGTCTTTGCTCCTCTCCACACTGCACTCCTGACTCTCCCAGAATTTCTCCACAATCCCCTTTCCCTATTCCCCCCCCTTTTCAGGTTCCTGTTTGTATTCCTCCATCAGAATGCAAGCTCTTCAAGGGCAAAGACCATCTTTCTTTCTGCTTCTATTTGTATTCCTTGCCCGTAGCACAATGCCTGGCCCATAGTAAGCATTTAAATGTTTATTGACTTGACAAGAAATCAGAAAAGACACAGGCCGGGACATTGATTTTTATATAAAAATTATTTCAAAAATGAAAAGGAAACATAAGATAAAGATAAGCAAAGTCTCATACTAGGTATTAGGTGCTGATACTGGAATAAAAAAATGGAAAGGGGAAAAGCAATTCAAGGATCTGATTACTACCCTGCATCCTGTTAGGTCAACATTACTTACTTTCAGTTAAGACAACTCACATTTGTTTAACAACAACTAATGTCTACACTGTTCCTTAAGGTTTACAAAGTGTTTCAGTCATAACGCTATCAGGAGGCTAATCCAAATATCATCCCCATGAACTCCTCCTCGTTTCCTGCACTTGCAATACTACAGTATCCTCTCTCTTCAATGACCTTCTATTTCAACTGCTTTGTCTTTACTTTCTTTATACTTAGGTCCATATAAAGTGTTGTCACCCTCGTTATAATCTAAGCTCCTTGGGAATAGTAATTGATTTTTTAATTTATATTCCCAGTATCTGGAACATAGCAGAGGCTTAATAAATGCTTGTTGAATATTTTTAAAATGAGGAAGCTGGAGTTTAATGACCTGTGTAGGGTCACAAAACAAACTGACAGAGCCCATATTTCAAACTACATGTATTCAGAACACTGGCCTCTTGCCACTACTCCAGTGCCTCTAAAACTAACCACCAAGAAAATATTAAATAAAAAATGAGCAGACCATTCAAGTGGCTCTTCAACTTGAATTGTGACAGCTTATTATTGGGACTTAATTAACTTGAATTGATGGTACAGTCTTTGCCTCTGGAACAAACAAGTCTATATTGACTGTCATAGTGCTATATTCTTCAAAAGCATCGACAGAGATCTTAATGTTTTCCACTATGAATAATGACAAATCTAATGACTTTTTTTATTTTGTTTTTTGCTAGGGAATGGGGTTAACTGACTTGCCCAGGGTCACACAGTTACTGCGTGCCAAGTGTCTGAGGCCAGACAAATCCAATGACTTTTAAACAAACCTTCAAAGATGGGTCCAGAGGTTGAGGAATTTCCTTCCCTTCCACATGAAGGAGAGGTTTCCAAGTTAACCAGTATTCTGGATCTGTAGTGACAGTACTGCTCCAGAAGGAGATGAGGGCAGAACTAATGAGTTCAGACCACAAAGAAGTCATTTCTTCAGTCGATCCCTGCAGATGGAAAAGGAGAAAAAACACCAAGTTGTGACTCCCAAGCTCCCAGAAAGCTTAGGAAAGATTTTAGCTGTTACATTTCTAGGCACCTTAGTCGTCCAACACAGCTGAGAACCTTTAGCTTCTTGTCTCAAAGCTCTTTTTCCCTGCTTCTCTGTTGTTCCCTACATGATCTAGTTCAACTCACATAATCTGTTAATATTTCTGTTAAACTATGAGGTTTGCTCTTCAACAACTTCACCATGTTAGGCAGATGATCAGGAAAGGTTAGTAAAGGACCTTTCACCCCAAAGAGAGGTGGATACTAAGTAAATACATGGCACCTAATAATAGAATTCCTTTATTACACATTAAGGTAGAGCTATACTAGCCACACTCCTACCTGCCAAGAGAATGAAGAATTTATCATTCATGGGTGAAGATGGTCTAGTAAATTTCTTTTTCAACTGAGCTGAATATTCAAATGAGATCTCAAAACCAGAACAAAGTGAATGACCAACTATACAACAGCAACACCAGTGGTGAAATGAGACACCTTCTAAGGCAAACTTTAATCCCAGAAATCAACTCTACCCTTTAGTAGATTTCTTGAATTATATTTTGAAGATGAAGAGACTGTCATCCAGCCCTCAATCCACCATGCTTCACACTATGTGTTTTTGAGATCAAATTAATAAAAATATTTAGGAATCAATCACTGCATGAAAATGAGTTTTCCTCTAAAAAGGGAGAGGAATCTTAGAGAAAAATCTAACCAAAAAAAAGAACCAAATATTGCTTAAAATCCCTAAGCTATACAATTAAGAGGTCTCATTTTCTTTTAAAAATGCAGTATTATTACCTTATGGTCCACCAGATACCAAAGAATTTTAAGTTGCTGAGATGCGCTTGGTGTGTACTTGAGACAAAATGCAATATGGTCATTTAAGTCATAGTCTACCCGTCTTTGTTGGTTATTGCAATTCCTGATTAAAAATAAAGGGAGCAGGGTTGGGGGGAGAGGGCATAAAAGAAAGGATGTAAGTTACTGGAGAAGAAGAAGGGGTACATACATTCACACAAATCACTGAGTATGGTTATTTTAAAAACTAACAAGTCTGCTCAAAGAGCAAAGTGGATTTTTGAAAATGAGTTAAGCAGAAAGTTATAAATCTCTAGTTAATCTTCAAAGCTTCTCTTTCCTTAGCTGGTGAATTTGTGCTTTCCCTCCCCCTGCCATCAATGTCAAACTTGTGTACTCTACTTTAAAATAAGGACATTTCAACGTTAAGCAGCCCACAGATACAAAAATGCCCCAAAAGAATTTAAGAATGTCCAAGACTTACCTGCCCAGAAAAGCATGAGACAGAAAGTCCGTTGTTACCCTGTACTGCCATAGCACTGCCAAGTACTCCATACCTGGCCATGACTGAACCTTCCTGGTAAGTGTAATCAAGGAAGCTGCCTTAGGCTGGCATGTAACTGCATTTTCCATACGCTTCTTTTCTGGGCAACCAATTGAAACTCCTTTGCTTTTAAGCTGCAAACGCTGTGCATTCACAAGGTTCTTTAAAGTGACTGAACAAAAGAGGCATACATTTCATTAACCTTCAGAGCATAGTGTCCAAGGTGACATTCATGTACCACAAACATTTTCATCCAAACACCAAATTAAAGGCCTACCTGGGTTGACATCTTCCAAACAATTGGCTCTGAGGATCAATCCCCAAGCCTTCAGTAAATGTTCCTTCAGTGTATACTCATCAGCAGCTACTCTCAAACGAATGATCTCATCTCTCCTACCACCTTCCCCTAAGGCAGGTTTCAATTCCAGGATGCTAAGTGATTTGCTAAGTACATTCAATTGCTCAAAACACTCCACCATCAGCTTATCCTACAACAAACCAAAATCAGAACTATTTATTACAGAAGAACAATACTGGACTATTTCATGGTTTTAACCAAGGAAAAATTTCCTTGGTTCAATTACCCATTGTTTCCAGATAACAGTGACTAAATATTCAGAACTTACAAACTCATTGAGATTGGGACTATTTCACATTTGTCTCCATATGCCAGTGCCTGACACATTGTAGACCCTTAATAAATGTTTTCTGATTGACTGATTTATTCACCCTGTAGCTCTGAAAAGATTCACTGCATCAAAGAAAAAACTAATTATACCAGTCACCTTATAAATCGCTAAATTAGAAAGTCATAACTTTTGTAAGGAACTAAATTATTTGGTCTATAGTACACGTATATACATTGAAGCTTCACTAGCAAAGGACAGAATGGTTAAATTTATTTCAGAAAATCATAAGTTAGATTTAGCAATGGAAGAAATCTTGGAAGATAACATAATCCAACCCCTTCATTTAATAGATAAAAAAACTGAGTCCCAAAAAGATTTAAGTGAATTAAGGGTTAATGAAAATGGGAAAGCTTATCTAGTCTTTACTGCTACTAACAATAATTTGTGTACCTTGAAGGGAAGAGGTCTTCCCAGGGCCTTCTGTACCTTCTTCATACTGGCAAAGCCTCCCATTGGGCTACCAAGGCAGTTCTGAATGTGTTCTGAGACAGACAGCACCTCTTTGGAATATCTTTAAAGAATAAGGAAAAAGGGAGACAGGAATAAAACATGGAGAAAACCTGGGTGGTAAGAGAAACTATTAGTTTTACATTGAGCATAAGAGGGGACACTGTCTTCATTTAACTCATCTTTCTCTTCACTTAGTCGTTGTTGGGCTTATTAATAACATAACTATTACTGTACTGCTGCTGCTACTACACCTACACCACCACCACCACCACCACCACCACCACCACCACCACCATCTACAAGGGAGAGTGAGGTAAGTGTACCAAAAGAAAGGAACTTACTTCTCCTCGTGACCAATCAGTAGCTCGGGAACCCCACCAACCAAATGCTTTGAAACCCAATGCCAGTGAAGGGAGAGTAGGGCCAAGCCCTGTGAATCCACTTTGACCATATCAGACACTGTCCAGAACCGATCACGCCACAGCACAGAATACAAGATCTAAAAAGTAAGACAAGATGGATCACAGAAATCTCCCTTTTACACAAAACCCATGATATGAAATATTTTTAGGAAGAGTAGAATGCAAAAAGAAGGTATATGGATCTATGGCTTCCAAAGTAATAAACCTAAGCAAGCTTTCAAGTGTCAGTCAGTTACTCAATAGGCATCTATTAAGTACCTATTTTATGTGCTAAGCATTGGAGTATGGAAACTTTCAATTTATCCTAGGTATAAAAATTTAACCATAGTATTACAATAGGAAGGGCACTCTCTAGGGAGTCAGAGGACCTGGGTTCTAAGCCTACCTCTGACTTTTACTACCTGTGAGACCTCAGACAAATTATTTAATTTCTCTGGGCCTCAGTTTCATTCTAGAATCACACAGATGAAAAGTTCCAATGAACTCGATTTACCACTAAGTTCTGCCTGTTCTTATCTTCAGGATGGAGTAAAAGCTGGCATCAGTCAGGAAGATCTGGATTTAAGTCTTGCCTCTGCTTTTAACAAATGCTAGCTCACTTAACTTCTCAGGGACCAAGGCAACTCTAGGAGTATCAACTGCACAACAGGTGCTAATCTACATAGGTAGAGGGAGTTTCCTTACCTCTATCAATGAAAAAACAAGTTTGATCCAAAAGGATGCCGCTTCCAACTTTACTCTTCCTTTCTATATACTATTGAAATATAATGAGGCGTGACTCAGTAGGCTAAAATATAGACTAGAAACTGGGATTTTTATATTCTAGGTCTACCACTAGCTGCCTAACTGACCAAGAATCAAACCTGGCTTTCTCCTCTCCATTACAAAAGACCAGGACTAGGGAACCTGCAGCCTTAAGGCCACACGTGGCCTTCTAAGTCCTTGGGTGTGGCCTTTTGACTTGATTCCGAATTTTACAGACTAAATCCCTTTATTAAGGGGATTTGTTTTGTGAAGTTTGGATTCAGTCAAAGGGGTGCACTTGAGGACCTAGAAGGCCACATGTGGCCTTGAAGCCACAAGTTCCCCACCCCTGCAATAGACCATCTCACCCTGCACTTAGCACTGCCCAAAAAGTCCATTTAGTTGGTTATTTATGATGGCAATGTTCAAAATGACCATCATTTAAATAAAAAGACAAAGAAGCACATTTTCAAATACTCTCCAAGTTCTGATGAGATAGTCCAAGGTCATCTGGCAAATGTTAAGAGTTAAGGCCATTTTCTTCTGCACTTAGTGAGGAAGTATATTATAATGGATAGGATAAAGCAAGGCTTGAACTAAATTTTAAAAACACTAAGAACTTTAAATCTTACATAACATGCAGCCAATGTAGACTTGAATCTAGTTCCAGAGAGACATACATGTCATAATAAGGCAAAAGGCATAATAAGAGTTGAAACCATGGTTATCTAGCATAGTGCCTTGCACATAAAAGACAACCAATAAAAGTTTGTTGAATCTGGTCCTTACCCAATGGATGAATACCTTCACTGATAAGTAGTCCTCTAACTTCCACCTGTACATCTCAAGTACACCTCAAGTAATTATACTATGAAGTCATTCATTTCATGTTGGGCAATTCTAATAGCTAACAACTTTTTCGCTTATACTGAGAAGAAATTATGCTCCTTATAACTTCTATCCATCAATGTTGTGAAGGAAAAAGGAAGAGGTGACACACTTGGTTCTACTCACTTTAATCAGGTTAGCATCAGACAACTCCACCTGGGAAGACTGTACCGAGAACATTATCAATGAATCACAAAATTCAAAGAAAGCAGCAAGATGGACCACAATTTCATGTGGCAAGCTCTGATAATTCTCTGGATCTGAGGATCACAAAACAAAAAAATTCCATTTATGTTTAATAAAATATAAGGACAGAGAGACTCAGTCTTGATCTTTATGTTGCTTAAATACTGTGGTTACTGGGAACTTCTATATTTCTATAAGTGAAATGAGCAACCAAATCTTTGCCTCCTATAATTTCTGAGTCAAAAACACTAGTAAAAAAGCAGGATGACTTTGAAAAATAATAGAATTGATAAGATACAATCATGGGGCTAGGGTAAAAATAACCAGTTAAGCATTTACAGGTACTTTTTTGATAAAGGTGACAAGGTCTTAGAGAATATGTTTCTAAGACAAGGAGTTCCCACTTTCTTTTAAAACTAAATGTTCTAAGGGCTATCCTGAAGGCTTCTGATGAAGCTGAGTAACTAGTCACTAGAACAGTTACTTAAACATTCTACAAGATGTACAGAATCTCTGATCAAGTGAATAGGATTTTTAAAAATCAAATGGAGAAAAATTATTTTTCCATTTTCCATTAATATTTTAAAAGAAATCTCAGTCTTATAAAATGTAAGTTGTAGAATAAAAATACTGGAATTATATCTTTCTGGAATGTTCAAAAATAAGTATTGTTCAGATTAACTAGAAAAAGATGTTGAACTCCAACACAATGATTTAGCAAACAAGAACCATAGTAAAATTCGACAATAATATCAAAGTTAAATATTCTTACCTTTTTGGAATTCTAAGGACATTCTTAATGCACTATTCTTTGATTTCTTGCCTCCAACTGAAACCAAGTTGGCTTCAGTAAAAACCCTTTTCTCCCGATCCAGATATAGATTTGACCTATAATAAAGTAGAAAAAAAAAATCACAATTTAAAACTGCTTATTGCAAATTTACACATCTAATTACTATCTACTAACCCACTCTATCCCAAAAACAGGTTACTGAGTATGTTATGAGTAGTATATCATTGCAGTACAGTATATACAGAGTCCTGGCTTTGGAATCAGAGGTACTGGCTGTTAACCTGTGTGACTTTGGTCCAGTCACTTAACCTATTTATAGGCCCCACTTGCTTATCTGTAAAATGAGGGATTTTTGTCTTCCAACCATGGGCTTCCATCAATGGGCTGATGATTCTGCCCTGCCCAATTCCTTTCTGTAAACTAGTCATATCAAAAAGTTACTGGATACATCAGTTAATGTCAGTTTCCTAGGACCATGAACTGCACCAACTAAAAAGATTAAATGCAAGCTAATGGTCACAACAAAAAATAAGTGAGAAAGTGAGGATGAAATAGCTACGTACAAGGCTCCTGCTAGAAAACCTGTAACACATGTATCCAAATGACAGTGGGCCAGTAATATTATCTTTGTATAAGAGTAAGACAGAAATTTACATACAAAATACACATAAGACATGTGCTGATATGTCTAATGTATTCAGGGAAAAAAAAGCGAAAACTACAGTTAAATTTTAAACAAAGACCATACTCTAAAGTAGAGGTGCCAAACTCACAGAGCTTCAACATGAAGCCTGCAGGGAAATATTTCTATTTGAGTTTGACTCATCTTGAAAGATCTACTGAATATATGTATGTGTATGTGTATGTGTATGTATATGTATATGTACAGGGGACATTTTAAGCCTTTTCAATGAACAATCAAAAATCATCTAATGAGTATAATGCAAAGGTGACAGTGGCAAATAAGCTGAGATCTACACACTACAATAAAGGTAGGTTTCCTCAATTCATTGTAAAATAATTCTATATTAGCTACCCTTGAAAAACCTACAGTATTCAACCTCAGGAAATAAGTACAAGTATCCAGAGTTGCTGTCTTCACCTACCTGTTTGCTACAGATTCCAAACGCACAAGGATCTTCTCAGTCTTATTGGATTCTGTATCAAAGTCCATTGAGTTTCTTGTAATATCCAAAGCCTGCATGTTCCATCGGGGGTCCAATGAAATCACAGATTCATCTAACAGTATGGCCACAAAAGAATAAACAGTATTGAAGGCCATTTCAATTATCAATTTAATTTAATTAATTGAATTCAATTATCCATATTTTCTATTGTTTTATCCAGATCACAAGAAGCAACAATGGATTGGGGTGCCACAGAGAAAATGTTTATAGTCAAGCATGGAAATGGAAGCAAAGAAATACATTTTAAAAAACAAAAACACCAATATGCCTCTTAAAGTCTTAAAAAAAAATCCCAGAAAAGTCTTCTTACTATTTCTTTTGCAAATGTATATGTTATCTTAAAATGCTGAAACTATGCACCATGTCATGATTTTCTTTGGTGGACATTTCAATAGATCCCATTGCTAACACAAAATGGTCTCGGGGCAGCTAGGTGGCACAGTGGATACAGCACCGGCCCTAAAGTCAGGAGGACCTGAGTTCAAATCTGGCCTCAGACCAAACACTTGACATTTACTAGCTGTGTGACCCTGGGCAAGTCACTTAACCCCAAATGCCTAAAAATAAAAAAAATTAACAAAAAAACAACAACAAAAAAAAAATGGTCTCAAAAATTCAAGAACCTACCAAATAGCCCCATTTCCTGTCATGTTTTCTGTTAACAGTGGAATCTGCTATCTTCTTGTCATTGGGTAAATTACTCATGACTCCTCAGCTCTCAGCTTTACCACTGTCTGGTCTGGTCACTTACAGTGTAAGAAAAACCATATGGTAGGTTGTAGAGCTACTGAGAGTAACATTTGGTAAACCACAGCTCAGTATCAACTATAGAAGTTCTGTTTTTAAAACAATATCTATCATTCTCTCTTTCAGAAGCTAAAGAAAAACCAATCATTTCATATAAAAACTGAAGTTTCAATATTCAGAGTTTGAAATTCAAGGCAAACTTTACTGCATTTACCATTCTGCCAGGTTTTCATTTCTTGTATTTCAATGGAAGAGTCAGTGCCCAACCCCTCTGCCCCCCATAGGTGAAATGAAATACCTGTCACATTTGGTTGCATTATCTTGATAACATTATTGATCTCAGCAGAGAGTGGATTAGAGTAAAAGTTTGTCAGGGATGTAGCACCAGATTCTAGGTAAGTCTTTACACACTCTATAGGAAGGAGAAAAAAAGGGCTAAGGAACTGATCACATCTGACAGCAAGCATGCAATCGAAATCGGTCTCTGCATAGAGTCAAGCAGGTATGCACAACACAGATATTCAGCTATTCCAGTCATTATCATGGAATATAGAGAAAATGAACAGAAACCTATATAATTGCAAGCAGTAATTTCCACCAACAGATTCCATGTTCCTCAGCATCTGATACCTCTGCTGATGCATTTTCTTCCTATTTTCCCATCAACTGACAGAAATGACTTTGTGTACTGTCCTACCACAAGAAAAATATAAGGAAACTTTTAAGGCTAAAAGTAAATAGTGCTCATATTCTACAATCCTTTTCTGAATATGGTTTCCATGTATGAACACTAAGAGGAAAATAAAATGTGTTATCAGTGACATCATTCACATTCTTCTTAAAAGAACTTTTTAAACAGACCATCTATTATTTTTAATGACTAAACTAATGTTAATGTGCATATGCCTAAGGCACTAATTCCTGCATAGACATCCCTGCAGAGTAGTGCCAAGAAGGTTCATACAACCTCAGAATCATCTGGGAATATCTCATGCTGGAAAAGGGCAGCAGGAGGGCAGGAGGGAAGCAGGGAGGCTGGAAAAAAGGGTCTTGCTCATACATTTCAATATTTAAAGGATATGATTTCAAAGATGCAGAGTTCTCTCAATGATACAAATCATAGGCACTATAACTTACAGGGTTTTAAAAAACTGTCTTTGGTTCAAAAATTATCAGCTGGAGACCAATGTGCTGATAAGTCTCTCTGAACTAAGAGAGGCCTGGATTTAGATGACCAGTACACCTACCACACCCTAGCTTGGGGCGCTTGTGCCAGCTAGTGCTTCTACTCTGACAGTATAGTCTCCAAGAATCCAGGGTTACCTCTACCTCTACACCACAATGAGATTCTAGTAAGGCTTTAAAAGAAACTTTCTTACTCACAGAAATATTTTTTATATGTGTATATCACCTACCAAATAAAGGCTATCTATCAATTGACTAGGTGGGAAAACCTCAAGTAGAATAGATAGGATGCAACATGATACCTTGAATGAAAAACACTATTCTTGTTCTCCACGGGACAACACTTCCTGGCATTCAAAAATTAAATTAAGAATGATAAACATATACATACTGGCACATAGAAAAGGACTGAGATCTTGCTACCTACCAAGGCCTTGTGGGATATTCTTAGCCAGATGGTAAAGCCACCTAACTCGAAGAAACCAGTCCTGATTGGTTGCTCTTTCGACAAGCAATTTAATGGAAGCAGCCAAGACATTCCTTTCATCTAACCAAGAAGTATCCATCTTAATTGCACTGAAGTTCAGACTCTCAGAGTTAGAGGACTGAATAATTTTCTCCAAGTCTTTCAAAGTAAGAGGAAGTATCCTGGAATTCATGAGAATGGACAAGAATTAGTAAGAAAAAATAATTTATTTCACAATTCCACAAGGCAAGGGCACGAATACCAAAAGTGGTACAATAGGAAACACAGGAGTATCTTAGGGGCAAAGTTTGCAAGGGGGACATCTGATTTAAAGCCTTAATTGTAACAATGACATTTAAGAAAGATACACTATGGTGGCTGATACAGCAAAACAACACTAACTACTTTCAATAACTTCTGTTCAACAGAAACAAAACAAGAAATCATACCACCTATGTTTTATTGAAAAAATGTGTTGAAGAAACCACTATGAAAACAAAAAATATAGCTGCTCATCTGAGATTTGATACATCTGAACCCTAGAGAAGACCAATCATCATTTGACAGCTCTTGGCCACACAAGGTATGGTGCTTTGGGATACTATGAATACATCCCTTGTTATTCAAAACCTAGCACTACAATGGATCACAGAAACATCTAGAATGTGAAAGGCCCTCAAAAGCTACCTAGTCCAATCTCTTTATTTTACAGTTAAAAGAAACCAAGACCTCAGGGGATTAAATGATTTGTCCAAAGACACACAAGAAGCAAGTGACAGAATTGAAATTTGAACCTGGGTCCTATTAACTTCAGATCCAGTGCTTCTTCCACCACACCACGCTGCCTCCCTCCCTCCATCATGGATCAACACAAACAACTCTCTTGCTCACCTTTCCCACTTGCTGGTTTTCAGGCTTAGCCTATTGAGGCAGTACACCAGGATCTGTCCATCACTTCGGACTGTAGAAAGGTGGGAATCTTCAGTAGCAAACAGAGCTGAGGGCAGAGAGTCTGGCCACACACCCATGGCAAGAAGTGAGCTACCCCACTTTTCTGGTGACTTCAGAGAAGAAACACATCTCACCAATATCTCCTGCACAAGCTGATGAGAAAAGGGGGAAAGATAAATAGCACCCAACATTTTGGGATGATGTGGACCTGTGGTTTTATTAGTGTAAAGAACTTCCAATGAGGACCCATGAAACATCAATTCAGACCAAGAATTGCTCTGCAACTTATAGTCTTAAAGAGATGCCTAGGACACTGAGTGGTTTGAGCTAACTTACCCAAGGTCACACATTCAATATATGTCAGACCTAGATCTTCCAAACTTTGAGGCTGGAAATCTATTCACTCGGTAATTAATGTTGTAAACAATATGTAAGAGATGAGTTAGAATACTTACAACACCTTATACTAATCAATACCATTTTCTTGAGCCACAAATGACTGTCTCTACAACCCATATCTGGACTGCAACTTTACTACAGCATTGAGACACAATTACCAATATACAGCTGCATAATTTAGATCCTGCTCATTCACTCCATCAGTAGAATACATTCCATCATAAGAATAACGGCAATTTTCCTATTACCCAGGGATGACATCAAGATGAATGACACATTATATCTGATTCTACTGTCAAGGTCCACTGAATCCATTTATTAAGTTGTCTTTCTCAGCATATGGAAGGAATAAGACTAAAGGACCATAAAATTAATGCTGAAAAGGACCTATGATGCTACCAAGTATAGCCCCTTCATTTTACAGATCACAAAATTGAGGCTCAGTGTGGTAAAGTGACTTGCCCAAGGTCACAAAGATAGTAAGTGGTATTGGTGGGATTCAAGCCCAGGTCCTTTACTTTAAATCTAGCACTTTGTCCACTGTCTCCTTAATACTTTGCCTTAGTCTCTATAATGTGGTAAGAAATAAAAAAATGAAAAACCTTTTACTGATATGCAGCACTATATACTATTCACTTAACACTGTTCTTGGCACAATGTCAGCAGTATTCATTCATTCAATATTATAATTCAGGTAAGGGTTCAAAATATTTACCTGTCGGTTTGCTGGTGACTGTTGGGGACAAACATACACTTCCCAGCATGCTCCATAAAAGGCTCTGGCTACACTCAAGCCCCGCAGCAGGCGCTGGGTAATGAGAGTGGCCGTGTGAAAAAAGATAGATAAAGACGATGTTGGAGAACCTTAGAAGAGAAATATCATTTGTGAGCAATTGTTTTACAAGTTTTTGTCACAAACTTTAAAAAATTAAAAAAAAAAAAAAGGATGATTCCTTTCAACTCTGCTCAAACATCCAGTCAACGTCCCAATCTCCCCTTCTTATTCAGATGCTCTTGATTCAAAACAGTTATCTTATCCCTGGAAAAGTTTTAGCCAACAATGAATTTGCTTTTTCTTTTGTCCTCAGAAGGCATGCATCTGAACTGTGGCAAAGGATAGAGGCCCACTGCCTCTACAACAATACAAAATGCCCCACCCATACATCTTTTCCTTCTAGAAAAATTCCATTGGACACACTGAAAGCATATACTCATGATGATAGAATGGTACAATGCTTCCACAAGCAAGAATTAAAAAGTAGAAAACTGATATATCACACAAAATACTAAAAAACTCCCTTTCACTTGATTCAAACCAGTAAGTCACACTATTCCTTGAAACTCTCTTTGTGATTTCTGAAATATAGGTGCTTGTCTAATATAGAACCAATAATGCAATTTACCTGCAATGACTTCTCTGGTTTCTGTGTGCATGGTTATAAGGGCATCACATAAATTGTCTCCAACCAAACCTATGCTATGCAAAAGCAATTTCAAATCCAGGGGATCTGGACTACTCTCATCCCTTTCCCCCGCAATGTAAATCTCAATTCCTCGGTTCCTCATGGCTCTAGATATTTCTCCATGGATAGGATCCATCGAAAGGAAAAGCCTGTTAAACAAAGTTTGGTAAGGGAGAAAAAGAAAAACATAAAAAAAAAAATCACACTGTAACTATTACAGCAGCTATACAAAATGAAGGCAGACCTAAAACCGATCATCTTTGTGGATCTAATCAAGGAATATACACAGTCCTCGACAAGGCTAATTCAGAGATCAACAGCTTTATTTTTGTCCTTAACTGGACAAATTCCAAGCTGGTTTAATATTATCATTAATGTTACTCATCTAGAGTTGTTAGAAAGGAAAGCGCTGAATGAGTCCAAAATCCATAGAGTCACTTTGTGTAGTTCCTATCTATTTAGGCTTAATCTTTATAACAACTGCTTGCTCAGATACACAATAAAACTCCTCTTCATCTTGGGGACCCAATACCTCAGCATTATAAACTTCCAAACACTAGCAAAAATGACCACTGATTAACATGGACCCCATGTCAGCCACGTTTGCCTTGAATCTGCATAATTTTATTTGCATCGTTGAATCTAATAAAATATTTAATAATGTACCTAAGCAAACAATGCAAACAATGACGATCAGTGGTCATCATATGATCTCTATGGCTTGGTTCTAAAAGGATAATTTAAGGATTCTTGCTGGACACCTATCTACAAGATTCTTAGGGGGATAACAAAAAATAAAATACCTGAAGTTGGGATGTGGCGCAATAGTGGGAGTAGATCCATCGATCACTCCTCTCTCACTAACACTGAGAACACCCCCAGGTTCAAGCAGAGCATTCAAGCGATCCAGCACTGAAGGGCTGTGGGGCAAAGAATTTCATTGGAAAGCAGGTTGATGTTCTCAAGTGAAATTAAGGTGAAGTTCTCCACTCACCCCCCCCAACAATCAAAATCAACTCTGGACAAGATCTGGACACGTTCACACAAGTAAATGGCAAAGCTGGGACCTGAACCAAGATCTTTGAATCCAAGCACCATAGTCTTTCTATTACACTAAGACAAAGACACAGGTCTACTCAAGGGTCATTAAGAAATTATTAACGACCATCATCTTCTATGCCAGGAATTAAGACACCAGCTGTAACCCAAGTTAAGCTGTACAACTCTGGTGGGGGGAGCAAAATTTTACAGAGTTAACTGAGCTCAAATCATGTAAAGAACACTGTAAAAAAAAATAACTATTGACAACCAGTCTAAGAACCAAAAAGCATTCAATACTGAGCACAATAACAAGTTTCAAATGAAAGCAAACATAACTAATCAGAGCTTCTAATTTCTGAGTTAGGTGGCCTATTTTCACCCAAAATCTACCCTCCAACCAAGTCCCAAGGAGTAATGAATGCCCTCTTACTTGCAGAAGTTAACATTGTCCATCAGAAGCCAGTCTCCAGATTGTAAGGCTTGAACTAACATGCTGTCCACCCACTCAAATGTGCCATGACTACGACCATCCACATTCTGAATAAGCTTCAACCTAAAACTTCGGAACTCTTCCACAAATCTAGAAAACTCTGAAATGGCATAGGCAAGATTTTGATTTATAATGTTTAACTTCAAATCGCAACAGTCAACTACCACACTAGAGGGAACAATCAAAATATCTGTATTTTATTTAGGAAGAAAGCTGCAATTTCAATTAATTTTTTAAAAGTTGTGTCACTAAGCTAAGAAATTTTCATTGAGATTTAAAATGTTAAGTAATTACCGCCTAGGAGATATACTTCTTTGGGTTAAGTTACCTGTTGCTGAAGCAAATTATTTAATTTCCTTACACTTCAGGTTCTCAAGCTACATTAGGAGCAGAAGAATGTTTCCAATCAAATGTTGTACAGTTCTTAGATGAAAATGCCAAGTGGGAAGCATAGTGAGGCTGATTACTTTATATTAAAATTCCTTTAAATTGACCATTTCATGAAAAATTCATATTCAATCTAAAAAATGGAGGAGTTGGTACCAAGAATCAAGTTTGAGAGTCTACCTTAAACATTCAGTCATCAACCGGCTGATGCCAAGTAAGATCTGTATACACTATATATAGTTTTCTTCTCTGGGAAGATACAAAAGGCCTATGCAAATTCCCAGAAAGGAAACAGATCCAGCAAGAAGCCCTGAATTCAAAGAGTACGTCTTTAAGCTGGATTTAGGCTTACAGGATTTCATATGGGAAGTCTCTAGCCTAGAAAAGACAGAATTATAAGCCAATGGGAGTTAAGAGGCACTGGAGGACAGTACTTCTCTATGTTATAGGCAGCTAGAGGATGAAGGTTTCTTTGTTTCATCCATAACTGAAAGTTTTTAATGGTGTGTACATATGCCAGTAGCCTCTTAGACATATAAACAGCACAAGGTATCGAGTGCCTCCTCAGAGCTGAAGGTTAAGCCACATTATACAGGCATGCAGTAGCCACTCTCCCAAGCATCATCATCATAGGTAAAGAGAAATAAAGAGATCTTGATGAACTAAACCAGAACTTAACTAGAACTACTAATTTGTGTCTTTGCTCTGAAATCAATAATTATATTGGTATAAGTTAATACGTAAACCTCTTTTTTTATGGTCCTTGCTTATGCCAGACCAATTATTTGTGTCATCCAAATACCTAAGTTTAGGGTGTTGCTCCAAGCATCCTAGCATACCATTTTATCCATCTCCATATGTCCCCACCACCCTCCAAACACCATACAAAAATAAATTAATTAATAAGAGTGGATACAGACATCTGTCTTCCACCTGGAAGGATGCCCTGAGCCATACAAGCCAATTACTGTTTCCATGCCAGCAGCAGGCTCACAATTCCCATCTTGCCTTGCTTATATTTTAAATGACACTTGCCTCAATCATAAATGACCTCTAATAAGAACAAAAATAAGGAAGGATTCCAAATCCTGACTGCAGAAATAAATCAAGAAAATGCCCAATTCAAAGGCTGCTGATATACTATAAAACCAATCATTGATGACATCATTTCCAAGATTAAAATTCAATCAATCAGCCCATGTGGCATGAATGGCACTTCCTATTTACAGAGCTAAACTTTTCCTAAAGGGACCATGTCATTTAACAAGACTCCATTCTAAGCAGAAAGAAACTGGCAGATGGGGACTGCTTTATGAATGCCAAGGTCTCCATTCATTAGTAAAGGGAGCGTATTGGTTTAGTTTGAAAAGGGGGAAGAGGAGAGGAAGGAAGAAGGGAAAGAGGGGAGGAGAGAAAGAGAGAGAAAGGGGAAAAAGGATGTGTAGTGAGAGAAAGATGAGGGAGAAATAGAGGGAAAAGGAAAAGAAAATAGGGGTAGGGGGAGGGAGAAGGGCAAAGAGAGAGGAAAAGGGGGAGAAAAGGGTAGGGAGGGGGAAGAAGGGAAAGAGAGGAAAAGGAGGAGGAAGAGGAAGAAAAAGAGAGAGGGAGAATTTATAAAGTGGGCACATGGGCTTTGTTTGAGAGTTGTCTTCTTCATGGCTAAAGTGGTGAACTCATTCCTACCAAAGGTTTGTGCATCAAAATAAAAATTCTAAGTACCCAGGCTACAAGTGACAAAGAATAGAGATGTATTTTCTGATTAATATACCAAGAGAATAAACAAGGCTTAAATATAGACTATCAGACTACAGACAAGTAAACTTCCAAATAAAAAACCCAACAGTTACACAAATTGCTGGTACATATATACCTTCAGCCAATAATATGAACCACAAGGCTAGGAAAACTCCTTTCCAAGCTACAAGTAAAATCAGTATTGCTAATTCATTGCCTCAGACAACCATTTTCAACAATATTTTCAGGCTCAAAATTATTCCTTAACTTTAATGATAGAACAACTACTGAATGAATAAGGGCTTTGGGAAGCTAGCAGAAAAACCCCCAAGGGTCCAGGCACCATGGACAGAGGTAGCCTATGACAGCTTCCTTCAGAAGCTTGTTATCTATACAGCATATACCTACCTGCCTTGGAGAAGGAGTTGATTTTATTATTCAGGCGCTGGACAAGCAGCAATACTGCTTCGAGCTTGTTCAAAATCTCAACAGTGATACTCTTCCCAACTTCTCCAAGAGACTTGGGCTTATAGGTGAGGAAAAAATTGCTCCAGGCACGAAGTACTACCTCTGCATCCTCAGGATTGAGAAGAAGGCTGTCTCTGAGAAGAACACTCACAGTAGACTCCACCTTTTTAAGCAGCTGCCGCCATGGCCGTATGATATCAACCTGTAACAAGTGGTTAAAATAGTCACAAGCAGCTCTCATAGTCACTAGCACCCCAATAGGACAGCAACAAGCATCATTTTAAAGAACATATTAGAGGAGACAAATATGAAGAATTCAGGAGTATAAAAAGTCTTTTAAATATAAAGCCTGTATCATATTGGAGGCAGTGGCTGGAGGGCTGGGCCTAGAATTAGGAGGACCTAAGCTGAAATTTGGTTTCAAACACTCTAGATATGTGACCTCTGCTTGTCTCAGTTTCTCTGACTTTAAAATGGGTGCTAATAATAGTATCTACCTCACAGGGATATTTTGAAGATCAAATGAAATATTTGTAAAGCACTTAACACAGTGCCTGGCATATAGCAAGTGTTTAATAAATGCTTCAAAAATATGTGAATTGATACAGAGTGAAGTAAGCAGAACCAGGAAAATAATATACACAATTATATACAGCAATGCAAATGAAAGGGGGTGGGTGGAGAGGGGAACCTGAATACTGTATAACAACCATGCTTGTCCCCAGATAAGAGTTCAAAAAAGGCAACTCTTTCTTCATTGGAGAGGTAGAGGAATGGGTATGGAAATGTCACATCTACTGTCAGATGTGTTTGTCAGCTTTGCTGAACTGCTCCCCCCCTCCTTTTTAAAAAACTTTCCCTTATCTGCTAATTCTGCTGGTTTTAAGATAAGGTTCCCTGTTAATAGGAGGGGACAGGCTAATGTCTGGAAATGAATGCAATGTAAAAATAAGAAGGCTTCAATAAATAAGATGGAAGAGTTCTATAAATACTTAATTAAATAAGAAGACAGTAGTTACCTGCTCAAATCCACCCAAGAGTTCAGTAGTATCCATTGCACTATTCATGGCCATAATTTTTAATGTATGTCCTGTCAGGTGGGCCAAGAGCTGGACCAAACTGGTCTTCCCAACAGCGGTGGGACCCACAAGGATAACCATCCAGTTCATTTGTACACACTTCATGACGGGCTCAAGGACTTTCAAGGACTGGTGTAACAGAGACAAAGGTCTCTGGGATTGCTGAGGAACATAGTTGCCACGGGAAAGAACTGAATAGCCAACCTTGAAAAAAAAATGTAATCAAAGGTGAATAAGCTGAAAGATAGAAGAAAATCAGATCAGCAAAGGGCTGCTGAATAAATATTATGTTCCTCTCACCTGAACTTCGTAAGGAGTGATGTGGAACTGTCTTGTACCCATGTATGGGGCAGTACTGGGGCCAAAAAGCTCCTTGAATACAGAAATGACCTAAAGAAGAGGGGAAAAGGAACAAAACAGAAATTTCTCAGTAGGTTTCTAATTTACATGCTTTATTATGAGTATTTCTGCTCTATATGCACAACTATCCAAGTCTTTCTTTTAGTGACTTGAGAAAACAGGTATCAAGCTCATCATTTTCCCACAACAACATCTACAATGAGAAATGAGGACTCGGATCAAGAACACAGAAGTTATATATGTCCAAATCACCTGAAAGCTTTGGTGAAAATACATAAGAAATAAACTCTAAAAACATTATCAAGCAGTTCCTTCTCTATAAGGGAAGGAATTCGAGCTGCTGGTACGGCTTCAGACGGCCCACAAGAAGTGAGGAAAAGGGAACAGAAACTGTTATGATCTAAATGAACACGTATCCCAAATCTATTTCTGAGGCAGCTAGGTGTCATAGTGGATAGATCGCCACATTGGGAGTAAGAAAGAGCTGAGTTTAGATAATGTCTCCGACATTAACTAACTAGTTGTGTGATCCTTAGCAAATCACAACTCCTGTCACCCTCTGTTTCCTCATTTGTCAAAGAGGAGTTAATAATAGCACCGACCTCAAAAGATTGTTGTGTGAGGCTCAAATGAAGTAATATATACAGAAATACTTTACAAACTTTAAAGTTCTATATAATTGCTATCTGCTATTATTATCAATCTCTGGAAAATGAATCTCACTAGAAATTAATGTCATTATCCAGTATTCAAAAGAAAAGATGCAATTCATTAAAATTTGCTCTAAAATTATTTCTGTTGAATAAATCCTATTTTCTTTTTCAAAAGACCACAGAAATGTCTTCCACTGGAATAAACTACAAAATCTAAATGTAATAAAATCACATCTGAAAATTTAACAACTACTTTAAAGAGCATATTTTACTGATAAAACAGGGGCAATCAAACACATAAATATTCTACGCTAATCTCAAAATATATGAAACCAGAAATTCTAGTAGTATAAGTAATAAAGTAGGAACAGTATACTGTATTGGAATAAGGAGATCTAGATTCCAGGCATGTCTCAACAACAAACTAGTGCAGGTCCCCAACCCTGAACCAGTGACCTTAGGTAAGTCACTTAGTCTTTGGATTACATGAAGTCTTTCAGCTCAAAGATTCTCTACTTGACAAATTTCCACTGTAAAGGAAGAAATACCAAAATACCAATGAGGATAATTCACCAGTTACAAGGTGTCTCATACCACTTCTGATTTTATACCCCAATTTTTTTTTAAATCTATTTTAGATCCTTTTCCCATCATTTGAACTTATTTAAATTAGCTTTACTTAAGAACATTTGCCTCCCATCACCAATTCATTCTCCTAATAGCTATCAAACTGATATTCTTAAAGCATTGATGTAAGCATGTTATTCTCCTACTCATAATGGAGTGGTTTGCCATTTCCTTCTCCAACTCATTTTATGAGGAAACTGAGGTAACACAGTTAAGTGACTTGCCCAGGATTACACAGCTTGTAAATGTCTGAGGCCAGATTTGAACTCAGGAAGACAAGTCTTCCTAACTCCAGGTCTAGCTGCCCCTCAAGAAGCTCCATTTGCTCCTAAATGCTTCTATGATAAAATACATTCTTTTCCAATAACCATAAGAAAAGTCTGTTCCAATATGATTACATGGTGACACAGATTCAGACTCATGCTAAAAACCTAATAACACATTTAATCTGTAATATGGGGATGAGTCCCTCCTAACACCTGCATTACCAGAGGCAGCTCATTTACGTGACTCAATAAATAGAACACTGGTGTGGAGTCAGGAAGACCTGAATTCAAATTCTACAGTATAACCCTGAGCAAGTCACTCAACCTCTAACTGATTCAGTTTCCTCAACTGTAAAATGGGGGTCATAATACCATCTACCTCCCAGGGGTGTTGTGAGGATAAAATGAGAAAATTTTGGTACAGTACTTACTACAGTCTCTGGCACATAATAAATCTTTCCTATCAGAGGGTTCCAATATGTTTGGTATTACTGCTAGTCTTGTCACATTGCCATCCTTGCCTTCCTCTCATGAGGAATAAGCCCAGCTTTCAGGAAAAAAAGAAAGGGAATAAAATAGTATAATACTCACCTTCTCTTTGTCTTCTCTGGATCTCATTCTTTCCCCATAAACTAAATACACATGCTGGCCAGGATCATAACATCCTGGAGACTGGTCAACGAGGATCAGCTGACACCAGCGGAAGAGGTCTCGTAGGTTAAATTCCCAGGGTCCCCCTTTCTGACCCCATTTCTTCTCAAAAGTCACTTCTTGATCAATCTAGGAAAGGAAAAACTTTTCTTGGAGACTTTGTCTCACTACCAGGCATAACATTCATGCTCTTAAAAAAATACAAGAGAAAGAGGAAACTAAAGATGCCGGTGGAGTGTAAAACTAGAAATCAACAAGTAAGCTTTTTGATTTATTTTCCTTCTTTCCCTGACTAGTTTTTCAAATGCCAGGAAAAAAACCTGAAAGTGTTCAGTAGCACAACTGAGTGTGTACACAATGTAATAATTATTTTAATGCTTCAGTTTTGCCTTAAGTGAAAAAAGTAGGACAGATGTAATAACCCAAACTGATTTACCATCTTTAAAGAGAGTGCTAACCCTGGAGAATCAACAATTAAACTCAACACACACTGAAAGAACAGCTACCACAATGCTGTTCACACCATGATGCGTAAGTTCACTTTAAGCCTAAGTCATGCTAGAGAGACTGAAAACAAAATACATAAATGTGGTCTTACTTTGTTGTTAAAAGCAACCATTTTTCCAACAATGCTTTTTTCAATAGCAGGAAATAAGGTATTAGCAATGAACTCCATGTCAGAAGCTGAAAGTGGGTCCACATAGACCTGAATAGGGGAAAAAAAATCCATGAACAATTAAAGCAAATGTCATTGCACCACCTGGCCAAACCACAAAAAGCATTATGGAACATAATTACAATTTATTCATCTGCAAAAAAACTCTTTTTTTAATAACTAGGCATTCATAACAGGAAAAAAAGTCAATTGTCCTATTACGGACATTTCCTTTCTCCTACTATGCCCTAGAATAATAATGCCCCTTGTAATTCTCAACTAGAAAAGGAGCCTTCTTCTTATTACTCTCCACTCTAAATCCAGACTTGGAAGGAAGATAACAGGACAGATTAGACTGATAAGTGAAAGATCAGAATAGGACCTTGCTCCACCACCTCCCTCCCCCCATTCTCACCCCCCCCCAAAATTCCATGATTGAATTATTGTAGAGAGCTCCATGGCGAGCAACTTCCTCTGCCAATGCAGATGCGCAATTCTTCTACAATCCTCAGAGCTACCTGGGATGCCAAAACGTTAAGAGACTTTCCCAAGGTTGCACAGTCAATATGACTCAGGGGAAAGACTTGAATCCAGATCTCTCTATTCACTGCACCAGGCTGTCTTTGTGATAATCCATAAACTGGATGCATCAGGTCTGGGAATAACCGTGAGTTCCTTATATATTTTGAGGAAAAATCAAGAAAGTTAGTATTACTGTTATCACTTACACCTCTCAGGGATGTAAAATGACAAACACTAATCTGGGTTTATGAATCACAGTATGGCCTTCTCAGTGCCCCAAGTCAGAAAACAGGCCCCTCTGAATGCTGCCCAGGTAAAGACACATAATCACTGAGCTGGGTCACAAAATCTGCTCTCTCTTCATGATCCTAGGTGGCCCTTCTAACAGCTGGTTTACAGACAGGCCCAAAATCCTACCTGTAAGTTTTGTAACAAGAAATACCAACGCTTACCTGAGTGAATCTATTAAGGAAGGACCGAGGCAAACCCTTTCTTCCCCCTCCTTGTCGATAAGGATTCTGACAGCCAAAGATCTTCGTCTTCTTGTGCTGAACTTTAAAGTTCATGCCTATTTCAGGAATGTAGATTTCTGCTCGATGATCAAAACAAGCATTTAATCCTTCTAACACAGACTGAGAAGCCAGGTTCAACTATTGTGGTCAGGTGAAAGAGAAGGGAGAAGATGGGGAAGAAATTACTACAAGTAACTTACATACAGATCTCTCCTCTCAGCAGGTTAGGTGAGTTCCTTTACAATGTTCTAAGAATGAAAGATTTCAACTGCTCTTAAAATATCACCATGTGCCACATGCTGGGAGAAATCTCCCACCAGATTAGAGCCATGGTAAGATGGTCTGAACCTTCCAAGCCCTACAACTACAGAACACTGTTCATTTGGTGATGTGAGAAAGAAAAATACACACACACACACACACACACACACAGAGAACCTTCTTGAAAATCACGACAAAGCAAAGTGACAAAAAACAAATCAGTAAACTCTTTAGGCCTCAATTTTCACATCTGTAAAATAAAGAGGTGAGACAAGAATCATTTATTCACCAATAATTTACTGAACATCTACAATTTCTAAGTCATTGTCCTAGATGCTAGGACTGCAAAGAAAAAACTGAAATAATCTCTGCCCTTGAGACATATTTATCTAAGCAAAGTTCAAATTATTTAATTTTCCCATTGAACAGATTTTGTGGGGAAAGCTTGCAGTAGTCCATTTTGGCCACAAGGTGGCAACCTTGTATCAGGGAGGCAAAATACAGATAGACAGCACTGATGTGACAAAGACGAGTGGACACTGCCATCAAGAGAATTAAGGTCCGGAGTGTGATTCAGCCAAGTCAAAAGGGCTGGTGGGACCTAACTGATAAATTTTCAATGTGAGCATTTACACTTTGGAAGCTGACAAACACTACAAATAACCTCTCGGTTTCTTGTTTTGTTGATTGTCTTAAGAAAGTGACAGAGAAAATGTAATAATGCAGATTAAACTTAAATGTCATGTATATATGCATATATACATTATGTGTGTCTATATGTATGTGGATGGATATTTTCTGGAATCAACTGTTAAACATTTTTACCAAGACAGAATTGGTTAAGGTAGAGAAAACTACATTAGATTTTTTTTTTTAAGTATCACCAAATGAAGGAACTAGAGAAGTGGTTTTCACTGCTGTGCAAAAGCTAAAAAAGAAAATCATTTAAGAATGTCATATGTCATGTTTCTAATAAGCACTATACCAAATGCCTTCCTCAATTAGCTTCTTGGTTTTGAAAATGTAAACGCTGATGTATTTTTTGGCATTCTTTTTTCCTAATACCAGGAAAGATTTTTCCTATACAAATAGGTCTAACTTAAAAGTATCTCCAAAATATCTGTAAAGTACTTAATTGAGAGCAGAGTGCTCAGAGTATAGTAGGTGCTTAACAAATGCTTGTTCCCTTCCACCCTTCTCACTCATCCTAAACCTTCCCTATAAAATATAACATCTCATTATGCATGAAGTTTCACTGCTTAGATGAGTTCTCCCTAGAAACATACAACACACACACACACACACACACACACACTCACAGTCACACAAACACAAGACTCACCTCATCTAACACAATCCAATGGCCTGCCTTCAGTGCTGCCAGTAAGGGGCCATCACGCCATGAAAATTCTCCTCCTTTTCCCCCTTCAACAGGTAAATTTGCTCCAAACAGGTCTGTAATATCCTTCATAGAAAAATGGGGAAAATAAATTATAGGGCAAGTGCAATGCAATTAATTTGCTCTTAACTGGGAATACATAATGGCTAAGGAATATATTTTAAGACCAAATCTGGGATCCAGGCCTTTTTTTTCTTCTCACTAAGTCTGATAGCAGTTACTTAGGTTTTAATTCACAAAGATGACTAATGATGAGAATAGTAACATTTTTGCCTTCTCCTGTATTGCAAGAGATAAAATTCAGAATAAAATATGCAAGGCACTATAGTAAGAATACATCTTACAAAAAGATAGCTCCCCATTGTTCTAGTTGGTAATATCCCCCTATGCTCAGCAATACTGAACTGCCATGTTAATTTTACCCAGCAGCATGTAATTCTCACCTTTACCCACTAAGAGCCACAGAAGTAGAAATCAAGTCCAAACCAACATTTATAAAATCAGAAACCAGCAGGACTGACAAGTATAGTATCTTGCCACCAAAAGGTGATAAAAAGACACTTAAACACAAACTAGGTACGTTGATACACCAGCATTCAACAATGGAGCACACAGATCCAGCCTTCCTTATATTAAACTTATCAGTGTCACAAGCATTGAAAAAATCAAGACAATCAACAAATGGAAAACAAATTGATATCACAGACGGTTACAGGTAAGTACATTTTAGGAGGAAGGTATAAAGGAAGTATGTAACTGAGACACAGCTTGGGTAGACAAGCCATGGAAATATCCTCATCGAAACGTTTAAGTTTCATTTGTATTAATAAATCAGCATTGCCACTATATCCCATCCCCTTTTTTCATTACTAATACAAACCCAATGCTGTAGAATGTAGAGCACTTGGGAGGCAAGGACTGCTTTGCTTTTATCTTTTAGTATCTCAGGTATCTTGCACTTAAATGTTGAATTGTTAAGTACAAAGCAATTAAACTTTGACCTACTTGTGTTTCATTATTGTAGAAGTTAGTACTCAAAAAGGGTTGTCTGTGCCTTTCAAAATAACAACTAATAAACCATTTTAAAGTTTTCAGAGGTTTCATTTGAGCTTTGAAATACTACAATTATTATTCCATTTTACAGATGAGGAAAATGAAGGTCAGAGAGGACTTGCCCAAAGTTACATAGCTAGTATCACAAGAGAAACATGAACCCAGGTTTTCTTGGCTTCAAATTCGACATGATACCCACACTACCACATCTGCAAACATCATAAGGAAAATCTTTTCAGGGCAGAAATGTGGAGCACAGTTTGGAGTAGAAGAGACCGAGAGTCCCCCAAAAAGACTCTCTTACACAGTGTAATTAAGAATTGCCACTACTTCTAAGACAGAAAAATGAGGCATGAGTGGAAGATGAGAGGGAAAGGAGAAAATTTAAAACTGAAAATCTTATGGAAGTGAATGCTGAAAACTAAAAATAAATAAATAAATTTTTAAAAAAGAAGAAGAAAAAAAAGAAAAATGAGGAAAAAAAAGCTAAACAAAGCTAAACAGTGAACAGTAAGAAGGACATCTAACATCCCACCTGGTGATTCATGGCAAAGCTCTAGGAAAAGGAACTTTTGCTATCTAGGCCTCATTTTCTCTAGCTGGAGGTAGAGATAATTCTTAATTAGATGTAAGTAGGAAAGTACTCCAAGTCAGTTACCCTAAACATACCTTTATAACTACACACCATCATACACATATCTGCCAGTAATTACAAAGTCCACAGAGCTTTCCCATTTTTAAAGTGGAGATTTAGAATAAAATCTTAAAGCAACAGAAAAACAGTCAGAAGGCAGTCATTATTTGCATAAATAGTTACAGAAGGGAATGGACATCTCTTTTCAACCACATTCATGTCTGAAGCAGGTAGTGTTTTTACCTTCTCTGTTTATAAATATCTATGAGTAGACATTATCATAGCAAAATCTGTCCAGCCCAAGAAAAACTGGTGCTTACCGTTTGTTCAGACAGGTTGATTCGCACAAGGTGGTTACCTGAAGCTTTTGCTAATGCTAACACTAAACTGGTCTTGCCCACCCCTGGGGAGCCCTCCAAGAGAATGGGTTTGTTCAATTTTGTGGCCCTTAATACCCTTTGGGCATTCATAGCTGTAGTGCCTGCACTGAGGGCGTAGTCTGAAACATCCCGCCTTTGCAAAACAGGTCCTAAGAACAAAGAGAAAACATGTACAAGTTAGAGGACTTGTAAAAATAAATATGGTGATTCTGGCAGTCAATATCCATGCAGTTTAACATTTATAAACTTTATTAATAACTAACTAGTTTATGATTAAGAACTTATTATTAGTGATTAACTAATAACATTTATAATGATGACAGTACTTATTCCCTAAATTGATGTTTTCCAAACTCTTTTACAAGTGTTTGAAATGCCTATCAACTTTTAGAGACCTTCTCTACCAACATATATGTGTGTGCACACATAGAATCCAATTATTAAACCTATAGTCAAATGGACACATACACACATGCATGCATACATATAGTCATACATGCAAACAACTGTTCAGGACTATTACTTCATTGATATAAGTAGCTCCCCAATGAGGAATCTCTTCCCAGCAATGTAGATTTGGCAACTGCTCTGCAAATTTATAATCTTACAGCACTATAAGCACTGACAGGTTAAGTGATTTGTCTAAGAGTCACATAATCCACCCCTAACAAGGGACAGGACTTGAATCCGAATCATCTTAGGCTAGTATGTTATTCGCTAAACCACACTGTCTTTCAAATGTAGATTTAAAAAAAATTTATGAAGACCTCATCAGTAACCAAGTTCCTTTATAAACCAATTATCTGGAACTTGAGTCTCATTTTCCAAGGAAGTCAATATAACATCAATGATGGTTAATAAATAGTAAGTACTGACATTCACGCAACATAACCAATCTGTTGACAAAAAGTATTTCTACCTTCAGATCATCTCCCTTCTCTATCTCTTTCTCTCCACTGCCACCCTAGGAAGGGCTTCAAAGCCTCCACTGCCTGGACTATTACAAACAGCCTTCTGGGTGGTCTTCCAAGCTCAACCTCTCCTTACTCCAGTCTATCCTCCACTCAGCCGCCAAACTCCACCCCACCCCCAGCTAAATGCCAGTGGCTCCCTATTACCTCCAAAATCCAACATAAAATCCCCTGGCATTTACAATCCTTTACAACCTGGCTCCTTCCCACTTTTCCAGCGGTCTTATACTGTATTCCCTTCCACATACTCTACAATTCAGCAACACGGTTCTTCCTGCTGTTCCTCCAACGAGATCCTGCCTTTTCACAGGCTATCCTCCATGTCTGGAACGTCCTCCTTCAAGTTCAAGACTCAGCCACCTTTTGCAAGAGGGCTGTGTGCCATGTGAGACTACTTCCCATTTATACTGTATGTATCATATATGTACTTAGTTGTTTACATGTCCTCTCTCCCATTAAATGTGAACTCCTTGAGGGCAGGGACTATGATTTCTGCCTTTCTATGTACCCCCAAAGGTAAGCCAGTACCCGGTATGAATTAAGGACTTAATGAATGCTTGTTACCTGACAGAAGTTTACAATTTACAATGCACATTCCTCACAACAACCCTATAAAAAGGGCAATACAAATATTATCTCAATTTTACAGATTAAGAAACCAAGACTTAGAAAGGTTAAATGACTTGTCAGTCATAAGTGGAAGAACTGTGAATCCAACCCAAGCCCAGTGCTTTTCCAATGCCACACTACTTCTGGGTAAAGAGGCTTATTTATTCATAGGGCAGCTGAATGGTAGTACTAATAGCATAACATAACAGAGTCATTGTTCATATGAGAAAACGTACCTAAGGTTCTATCTCTGTATACCAGGAATGACTCTGCTCACTGCAGCCTTGGCAGCAGAAACAAGAGTCCTCTTGTTCAAAGTCCCTAAAGGTAACTGATGGGAGAGGGCAAGTTTTGGTGGGAACTTTCAGGGGTTGGAAGGAATCCATGAACAAGCATTTATTAAGGGTCTACAATGTACCAGGCACTGTCTTAAGTGTTGAGGATACAAAGAATAAGCATTTTCTTCAACAGCAATACCTTAAATGCCAGAAAATTATTTCCAAGAAGAATAGGATGAGGGAAAGGAGAAGGGAATGAGGGCAGGAGAAGGGTATATCCAACAATCAGGTGAGGAAGATAATGTCCCCTACAAATTCTTTAAGTTGTGAGCAGAAGACAGTTTTCCCTAATCAAACCATACGTAACAGAGGATCAAAGAATGTTAAGAGCTGGAAGGGAACTCAGGAACATCTCAGTTCAATCTATTCATTTAATAACTGTGGAAACTTATGATTCAGAGAGCCTCATTTATTTAGCAAGACAGTACAGAGAAGTGAGAGAATGAGGATAAGAATTCCTATATCCTGATGGGCAGGTCTCTATTTTTTTTAATCAAACAGCATGACAAAGTTTCTAATGCCATATTTAATTATATAATATAACAATTATCATAATGATGCCAACACTGTACTTCTCTTAAATAGTATCTCCTAATTTCACACAACCAAGCCATGAATTTCTGGGGATGTGTCCAACCAGCTTCTACCAAATACTCTATCAACAAGACCTGAAGCCTCAAGTTCAACCCAAGAAGCTTCGATAACTAACGTTTCCCAGCCTACCTGCCACAGCAAACCATTCAAAAACCTTAGGAGGACTCAGCATTGACAGCCAAGGATTAACTGTACTCAGCAGCCGATACACCATACATTCGCAAGAAAAATGTTCAATAAAGGTATCTTCTTCTAACCAAGGCTGTGGCAAAGGAAGATGGCCTAAGCTGACACCTGAAATTGATTGTTTTCAGACACTAAGTAATGAACTAATACTGAGAATGCCTACTCTGTCATCCTACTTATGTAAGAGAATCACAGCATCTCAAGTTGGAAGGAAAGACAGTGACCATCCAGCCCAACCCGCTCATGAACTCATTTATCGTATCTCTAACAAGAGAGGTCAACCAGCCTCTGATTGAAAGGGGAACATGTACTACCCATCATTGCAGCTCATTCCAATCTATGATAGTTCCAACTAAAAAGATATTTTATCTTACATCAAGCCAAAATGTTCTTTTAGGCAACCCACTGCTCTTAGTTCTGGCTTCTGAAGCCAAGCAGAAAGAGCCTAACCTTGCCTTTTAATGACAGCCCTTCAAGGACAGCAATCTTATTCCCCACAGTCTTCTCTTTTCCAGGGTAATCATCCCCACTCTTTTTATACTGCATTTGGTCAATCAATGTACTTCCTAAAATAGGAACCCATACATCAGTGAACACCATACTTTAGAGGTGTCCTGAACAAAACAGAATATTCTCTGTAACTCAGCTACAAAAGTAGTGAAAATACACTTTTGGGGGCTGCAAACCTAACCACCATTTACAACACTTTGTTTCTACAGAAAAAAATGCATTTTGCATTTCAAACAACTGACTTATAAATGAACTTTTCGAACAGGATTATGGGTAAGTTATGACTTGTTTTAAACCTTTTTCTTTTAACAAGCTATAAACCTATTTAGAAACCACTGTCAAAAGTATACATGTGCAGTGATACAGGCACTATAAAATGGTTTAATATTTCTAAAAGACATGCCAATTACATGTAAATAAAGAGCTGAAACAATACTTATTCTATTAAAAAAACGCTAAAAATTATGCTTTGACCCAAAATTCAATTTTGGGGAATATATGGCAAATAAACAAACCAAAAGGGGGGAAAAACCCTAACTCACAAAAAAGCGTTCAATGATGCTATGTAGAATAGCAAAAATTTGGAAACCATTCAAATGCACAACAGGGCAATGACTAAGCAAACTATGGTATACTCACATGACAGAATGTAAATAAAACTATTAAATACTACAAGCATATGGACCATAGCAACACACAAAGTATTTTTATGAAATACAACATGTATACGCTGTCTACAACTGTGTAAAAATTGAAGCATGTTAATGAAACAGAGATCAAAAGAGAATTTGGTAGTTTAATATTCATTTGAGAAGCAGCGTGATGTAACAGAGAGATTGTTAGAAGCTAGAAGACCAATCTCCAAAAACCATCTCTATGGTTCTGGCTAGCTTTGTGACTGACCAAATTGGTTAACCTCTTAGTGGTCCTTGAGGCAGCTTTCTAAGTCTCTTGGTTGCAAAGAAGGTGCTGACTGACTTTGGTAGAAGGAGTTTCTTCACCCAGAAATTACCTATAACAACGAACTCTATCTAGGTCCAGTCACTATCCTCAATATTCATTAGTTTCTTTTTTTCTTGTAAAGTTGTATTACAGAAAGGAAACAACTGACAATATGAAGATGCTTGACCAGGGATTCTAACTGGTGCAGCTAATACAAAATGAACAAGTCTAAATAGTACCTAAGAGCCATATCCATAAAAATAACAGCCAACTGGTTTGTTTTTTTTCTCGACATAAGGAGTCTATAATTTTCATTGATATGATTTAAAATAAAGTCATTCTTACCCCTTGGTATGAAAAAGGGGCGGATACCACAAAAGTTGTCCATGCAAATAAATTCCTTATCTTTGGTTTTGTCATAAATCCTTAGTTTATTCTTCATAGAGTCCGTAAGTTGGACCACCGTAGAAAGTTTCTTGGTCAGGAATTGCAGACATTCTTTGCGAGCCAGGGGTGCAATATCAAACCCACAGGAAGTTGTACCTAAAAGATAAAGCGCTACCATATTAATTAAAATCAAAACCTACCAAGTCTTATGGCTAGTTAGCAAGATTTGTATCATAGCTACATGAACAAACTCTATCCTTTCTTGCTACAACCTATACATTGCTTTAAATGTAAAAGGAGTCTAAAAAAATCATACTGATCACTTGATGTTATATGCTTCCTACAACCTACTGAGGTTAAGAGATTATCTTGTGTAAGTGTATAACCTATATCAGATTGCTTGCTGTCTTGGGGAGGAGGGAAGGAAGAGAGTGAAGGAGAAAAATTTAGAACTCAAAATTTTACAAAAATAAATGTTGAAAACTATCTTTACATGTAATTGGGGGAAAAATCCTATTAAGAAAATAAAGAGTTTATGTAAGGCTGAAGGTCAATTCACTTCAAGCTTTTGCTCAATAACGATGAAGCTGGATGAAAAGAGTGCTTGATGCCGAAACTAAATCAATGAATATGACTGATCCTTGGGGATAGCACAACAATTTCTATATGTGTTCAACTTTAATAAATTATAACCAACTAAAATATATCTAAATTAAACATAAATTAGTTAACTGAATTTGCAGTTAAAGACTGGAAAACAGCAATTATATAAGCTTGTATAACATCTGATCCTAAGGGCTCTCATTACCAACTTACCTGAACCTATTCCATCCACATACACCAGGCATGCAGCATGGACAAAAGATGTTACAGCAGAAACGGCCTCTTCTCCCTCCTTCAAGGCATTTTCTGCCCTCATAATATTCATGAAATTGACCCAGGACAGGATATCTCTGATGCTGATGACACATCTTTGGCCAAACTCCTGATTGGTGAGCCAATCTATGAAGTCCATCATAAGCTCAGCTATGTCTGTTCCTAAAACACGAGAGCAGGAAGTTTTAAGACCAAACTCTACAGGCACCTCTGAAGAGTGTTAACCCCCAAATAAGATACATTGTCCCAAAGTAGGCTGTTCTTAGGGGGAGAATCACAGTGAATGAAATGGAAATTTGGCTCAACTCTGGAAATGATTTTTAGAAATTTTAGAAAGTTCAAGAATTTTAGAAAGTATTTTTTGGTTTGGTTCCCAATTTGAAGCGACTCAGTAAGTTGCAGGACAATGTAGTACAGTCAAAAGAGTGCTAGATTCAGAGTCAGAGACCCTGAATTCAAATCCTTGTTCTGCCAACTGCTATCTGAGAGATCACAGGCAAGTCATTCCATCTCTCTTGGCCTCAGTTTCCCCATTTGCAAAATGAGGGAGCTGCAAGAGATGGCATCTGTGGTCTAATTCAGTTACAGAAGTTGGGGACTACAATGGTCCTAGAAGATGGCATATAATTTCCCTCCAAAATTTAAGTCTATATCTCTGACAATGTGGAATTTTTTAATTGACTTTTAAAACTTATCCTCAGGGGCATGTTACTATGATCCTGGAGGGATAAAACAATAAGTCCAAAAGAAATGAACAAAAGCCATTCCGCTGCTAAGCCATTTAATACAAAAGAGAGATGCTGCTTTTTAAAGATGCCAAAGGGAAAACTATTGAGAGAAGAAAAGTCTCCCTTTCTCTCTACCACACCACTACTCCCCTAGAGCTCTTAATAACTCCCTAGGGAAGACTGTTGCCACCTAACTCTGAAAATACTGAACAAGTAAGCTCCTTAAGGACAAGCTGATTAGCACAAAGGCAAATCCCAAGGCTCCAAGGATCACTGTAGTACTGAGAGATTCTTCATTCCAGGGGAATATGAGATATACTCACGGACTCTTTGGAAACAGAATGAATACAGTGGGTTCCTTCTATTGTGATCTTTGTTAAATTAACATAGTTAAGAGGGAGGGCCATCCCCAGCATGGGTCTCAATCCAGACAGAGTAAAAGATCGTATTATTTCAATTCGTCTGTTTCCACAATTCTATCAAGCTTTCTCCTTCTGAAGGTTAATTTTCACACACAGCCAACAGCAAACGATCAAGTTTAATTCTGTTATAAAATATGACTGTTGCTCTAAAAACAGGGTCTGGAAAAAGCATTTGCTGTCATAAATTATTCTCTCTAGAGAATTCTCTGTAATGATTTTAACCACTGAGTTACTCTTAATCCAGACCAGCAGCCTTCCCCTTGTGCTGTGTATAGCAGTAAAATGACTCTGACTTTCAAGTACTCTATACCTGTAGAGAACATAAATATTTGCTTACTTGGTTTCTTGGACTAGCAACCAACCCTTAGATGTAGAAACTGAGACAAACTTGTCTCTCATCTGCTGTATCCCCACAGCTACCCAATATATTTATGCGGCAATGACACTTAAAAAAGTTAGTCATTCTTTTGAGATTTCTCTCTGGGAATCCTATTCATTAAACAGAAGCACAGGGCCCAAAAAACTAAGTGGTAAGACTCAGACCTATGATCTGAACTGCAGAACATTTGCTAAGAAGCATAAATTTAATAAAGCAGCTTGAGTTCAGTGGAAGGTTATTTTTTAAAAAAAAACCCTTAATAATTATGGATAACATCATATAGATAATACCTTAATACCAGGATCTAGGAAGAAAGATACAGTGTGTTATAATGATCTGAACTAGCTTCAATTTAATTTAATTTTTAAATGAAATCAATTAAATTAGGTGAGAAGTACATAATGTGTTTTAATGAGAACATTACCCGCACAACACTTTACAAATTTTTTTTCCCCTCAAAGGCATTCTGAGCAAATAATTAACTATTTTCACCATTTTTCTTTGTTTATACCTGTAATTTCATTCATATACGGAGCACCAAATGAAGAAAGTCCCTATACCAATGCAGATCATCAACTGTTATGTATTTTTTAGTCTCACAAAGACTCCTGGAGAACTGAGAAGTTAACTGACTTGTCCTGGGTCACACAGCAAGTGTCAGAGATAAGCTACGAACTCTGGCTATGCTGACACCAAAGCTGACCCTCCCATCAATTACACTTACAATGGCATGTAAGCTCCTCAAGTGCAAGGACTGGCTCATTTACATCTTTGTAACCTGAGCACATATCACAGTGCAGGCACACAGCTGCCCTTTAAATAAATTCTTATGGTATGTATTGCTACTTCTCTGCCACCACATTCTACAAAAACTTAAGTCTTACAATGGCAGTCACAAAAGTGCAAATATGAGAGAATGACACAGAGACTAAAATATAACTTCTTTCTTGTTGAAGGAGATGAAATTTAAACATCCTGGTGAAGTAGATACTATGAAGAACAACCAGATGGATATGGTAGCCAAAGACTATTAGCCAACTTGGCTGAAATCCATGCCTGCCTCCAATTCCTTATATTCCTTCCCCTTGAAACACAACTCTGTGTGTCTCTTTCCCCATCTCTTACCTTGATGGTCTACTTTCCCCAAAGTTAATCCTGGATGAACACTGCGCTTGACAATCTGAATTAAATCTTTGCGGCTCTTGCTTTGAGGGCACCATATCTCAGTAAATCTGTTACGCAAAGCAGGAGATAGCTGCAAGGGAGAAAAAATCAGTACGAGCTTAATAGCTATAATTTTAGTACCGTGGAAGTGCTTTTGAAACTCCAATTGGCACACTCCCCTCTATCAGTGTTCCAAAATCACAAAAGTAAATTATTTAGTAGATGGTTAGAACATTATGTACATGCTGCCTATGAGTCCAGTGACCCTAACCCCTTGGGTAGGGTGCCATGTAAACTGAGAACAACTCCAAAAACAATTAAAGTCTATGAAGATATCACTAAATCACAGTCTTAAAAGCAGATTTTTGTCTAGTAGTAGAAAATGAAGAATATTTCTGCCCACACACCCCATTCCCCATGGCTTAGAAGAATTCCTAGTAACAAGGGAAACAAACAGCAACTATACCTTTGGCTCATCAACTTCAATACTATGAATGGCCTTAGGAAAATATAAAGTCACTTCCTGACAAAGAAAAGACTGGGTGTCCCATCATAAGACACATGTTCATTATGGCCAACAAGATGATGACGCACTGTCACAAAGAGATCCTTTGATATTACTGCTTGCTGTGGCAAGAACACCTACAAATAGGCCACTTCAATACAAAGGCCATATTGCAAGTCCATGCTTAGCATCTTGCTATTTATTTCTTTTGTAGTCCACTCTCTGTGAAGCTTTTCTTTCAGCTCAGTTATGGCTTTATGAGGTTTGTTTGCTTGTTTTCTAGTTTGCTATTAAGGAAAACGACAAAAAAATCTTATATTCGCTTCTTTTACTCATTTCATGCAGCTTCATGGAATCTTAATTACTTTCATTCAGGATCACCATTTCTCTTCCTTAGCACACTTCATGAACATCCTGAAGCCCTTTTAATAATTTGACTAACAAAACCCAGGTGTCACTTAAATATCTTTTAAAAACAAAGCTGGTTCCTTCCACAAGATAGAAAAGTTTAACTGGAAGTTTCAGGAGTGGAACACTCCTAAGTGGATAAACTAAGTTATTCAAAACCTAAGTAAATTTGGAATTGAGGAAAATACCCCATAAATTACTATTAACCTTACTCAAAAGATGCCACTCCAAGGGAAAGGGAATAGATCTGTTCAAATCACAAGATTAAAGTATATTTTTTATATATATTCAATGAAAAAGCAGGTGGAGGAATAAAGAGGAGATAATCTGCTTTTTTAAAATGGTGCATCTGCTGGGATTTTAAAACTACATAGGTAACATCAGAAATCATTTCTCTGAAATGTAATGTTTTACTTCTGTTTGTCCCCCCCATCCCCACCACCCCAATTTCAAACAAGTGTCCATTTTTTTTCTGTTAATTTCAATGTTAGTCAGGCTCTATAACTGTAACAGATTCACAACATGTTCATAAACCATGAAATGGAAAATGTCGTTATGATGTCAAGAGATAGTTTCTTGGAAAATTAGAAACCTATATACATCCAACAATTGTAGAATATCTGAAAAGGTTATGAGACATTAGATATAGAATATTATTATGCTGTTAAAAAATTTTTTATTATGATTTCTACATGGAAATATGGTAACACGTACAGAGTAAAATCAGCAGATTCTTAAATGTATCCACATTAATAACTTATTAGCCATGTATTTTTAAAGTAAGTATAAATAATTTATTAATTAGAAATATTGATAAGTATAAAACATGTATTTTTTAAAGGCAGAAAAGAAAATTAAGGAAGCAGAGCCCAAAATAGTAAACTTAGGACAGGCCTAGAAAAGGAACAGAACAAAAGACTTTCCATTGCTTGCTTACTTGTTAATTCATTTCATTTTGTCTTGGGAAGTCAGGGAAAGAGTATACCTTTGTTTGGTACATTTATTTGACTTTTTAAAAAATACTTATTAAATTTATAATTTGAAAATTTTTTAAATAAATATCTGTTTGAATCCAAAGCATATTACTCTATAAGAGACATGCAATTTACCTCCTTTTTTCCAAAATCACCCCCAGGGTTCATGGTGGCTAAGATACGGAATTTCTTCCCAGCAGTTAGCAGTTCCACTTCACTACTGTCTTCCTCTGGGCTACCCTTTTCAGCCAATACCAGGGTCTTTTCCACTTCAAGGACACTAAAAGGCAAAATAATAGGGAAGAGGGAAAATGAGAGAAGTCTTGTATACCCAATCATTGCTTTATCTGATTTCAGGTTTAAAATAAGCATCATGCATATTCAAAAAAATAAAGCTCTTCACAATCCCCTTATAAGGGCATAGCTTCCTAAGCAGAAAAAAGAAAACTGTGTCTTTCTACCAGACTCCCCATTTAAGCTACTGTTCAATAAAAGGAGGTGTTCTGAATCACAAAGAAAGCTAGTAAGCAAAGGGTAGTACTCAAGGCCTATGGCCTTAACCTGCAGGTGTCCTGTGACCCAATGCTGTGCTTCCTCAAAAATTCTTTTCATTAGACCATCTGATGGACAGCAGAGGTAGGAAACAGCCTAACACACATGTGATCCATTTCACATTTTAACTCTTGCTAGGGAGGCAGAGAATGAAGCAGAGAAAAGAGCACTGCATTTGGAGTCTAAGGACATAGGCTCAAACCCCTAACTCTGTGTAACCTCAGGCTGACGTCACTCCAGTCCTGCAGGCTCTAGCTTTCTCATCTGTAAAATGAGGGGGCTGGACTAGATGACTTCTGAGGTTCCTTACAGCTCTAAATCTATAATTCTGAGCAGATGATCCTATTTATCTGTAACATGGATACAACAATGCTTCAGCTGAGTAGAGGTACTGATTTGGAACAAATCTCCTAAAGGACCTTTCAGATCTAACATCCGTCTATAATCTCAGTTCTTCCTCAAAGCAAGAATGGGTTTCACAGAAATAATTAAGTTCCAGAAGAATTACTCAAGATTTATTTAGCCTATTTCCTTACTTTCCCAAACTTCCCTTTCTCCAGTGACTTGCACCATGCATATCAATCATGCAGAAAAAAATCAGCTACCCTTGAAGATTTCCAGAGATTGTAACACAAATTCTCTTCTACATCTGTTAAAACTGAAAGAAAGGATGCCAACCCGTAGTGAAAGGGTGATGGGCTTGGAAGTTGTAAAATTTAGACTCAAATACCAGCTCTGGTACTTAATAGTTTTTTGACTATGGGTTAATCACTTAGATTCCCTTAGTCCTAGTTCCTATAAAAATGGAATAATAAACCTCTGTACTGCCTATGTCATGGGGATGTTGCAAGTATCAATAACAACACTGTAAAAACAGAAAAACAACTCTGAAAGACTTACGAATGCGGAACAACACAACCACCCACAATTCCATAAAGAGGTGATGGGCTCAGGGTGTATAATGAGACATTATTTGGGGGATTTAAGCAATAATGGAATTTGTTTTCTTTTTCTTTTTTTTCCCTCCTAAGAAGGTGTGTGGGGACTGATGCTAAGCGAAGTGAACAGAACCAGAAGAACGTTGTTCACAGTAACAGCCACGTCTGTGCAATGACTAACTTTGATAGACTTAACCCTTCTCAGCAATGCAAGGATCTGAGACATCTCCAAAAGTCTCACGATGGAAAACGCTATCCACATCCAGAGAAAGAACTATGGAGTATGAACGTAGATCGAAGCATACTATTTGCTCTTTTTTTTTTCCCTTCTGTTTTGTTTCCTCTTTCTTGTGGTTCCTCCTATTGATTCTAATTCTTCCTTACAACATGACTAATGTGAAAATATGTTTAATGGGAATGAATATGTAAAGCTTATATCAGATTGCACGCCATCTTGGGGAAGGAGGTGGGGAGGGAGGGTAAGAAAAATTTAAAACTCAAAAGTTTAAAAAGTGATTGCTGAAAACTAAAAACAAATTTACCAAAAAAAAAAAAAAAAAAAAAAAAAGGTGTGGGAGGGAGAAAAAAATAAAATTCTTAAAAATTATTTGCAAACCTTCAAAAGTTATATAATGTCAGGTTGTTGTTAGTGTTACTATTACTGACACATACCTGTTGAGTCTTTCCAAGACTGAATCATCAGCTAGTGAAATTTCGTCTAAAAGAAAAAAGCCATCCTCCTTCATTGCCAACACTAAGGGCCCATCATGCCATTCAAAGAGTCTGGAGTGATCAAAATTCTCCTAAGAGATGAAAAAGAAGTGAAAAATAAAAAAGATCTATCATTTCAGGAGAACAAATATGCAAACATATATATATATATACACACACTAACACATATTCACAATTTTAAATAGAATGTAAACTCCTTGAGGGCAAAGACTATCTTTATTTTTCTTTGTAAGAACAGAGCCTAAACTAGGGTTAGGGAACCTGCGGCCTTAAGGCCATATGTAGCCCTTCAGGTCCTCAAGTGTAGCCCTTTAACTGAATCCAAACTTCACAGAACAAATCCTTCTATTAAGGGGTTTTGTTCTGCCTAGTTTGGATTCAGTCAAAGGGCTGCACTTGGGGACCTAGAGGGTCACATGTGGCCCCAAGGTCATAGGTTCCCCATCCCTGCACATAAAAAGTGCTTAATCAGTGCTTACTGACTGACAAAAATGTACGTTTGATTTATGCAACGGGCTGCTAACTATATTACAAAGAAACAGGAAAAATCTAGAACAACAGTTGGAAGCCCATGCTGCCCTTAAAGCCCCCTGCAGAGGGCAGAGAAATGGCATCCAAGGGACACAGTTCTTGGTCAAAATGGCACCTGGAATCAGGAAACCCCAGACTGAACAATAATGCCTCAGACACATAATGCTAAGGAACAAACCTCCTTTGACCTCTGTCTGACTGGTCGGAGACCTCCCAGGAAATCAGATGTCTCCATGTGCAAGTGGCAGTTGACTGAATACAATTTCTGTTTTGCTAATGCAGCAAAAATTTGGCAGATAGTCGTTTTCCCACACCTGTCACAACGAAACAGAAGGTAAACAAACAGACAATGTATACCCACAATAGGGAGAGGAAGCACACTGTGATTTCATAGGTATAGGAAACTTCCAGGTGAGGCCTTCTACCAGCGCTGAGGTCAAGTGACTTGCCTAGGGTGACACAGCCAGTATACCTCAGAGGAGGCACCTGAACCTAGGTATGTCTTCCTGACTTCAAGACCATTCCATGCTGCCTCTCCATGCCTCTAATCAACACCCTCTAAAACCTCAGGCTGAGTAAGATTCCTTAATATAACAGTCACTAACTGGACATTTCATGAAATAAGCATCAGGTAGAAGCATCATTAAAGCAACAGATGAGATGCTCCCACCACAGCAGCCCCACTGTTGTGCTGGCCTTTTTTTCCTTTCCTCACAACAGAACCTTCTTCATTGACTAATGTATCTTTTTCTACTTCTCTTAGTGACCTTTAAAAGATGGGAAAAAAACATCCACTACCCTAAAAACTTCTGAGGAAAACGTGGCCAACTCTGGCTCTTCTCCACATATTCCCACTATAAATCTTTCATTTAAAAAATGAACTTAAAAGACACTTGTCAATTACAGAATTAAAAGAAAATAATTTCTTAGTTACATCAAAAGTAAAGTTTCTTTTTCATAAAAGAATGGGAAGAAGAGAGAATGTAAATAAAGTAGTGGGCAATTTACTTGCTTCTTTAAAAAAAATGGGAAGGGAGACAGGTGGCATAGGAAACACAGACCTGTAATTCCACTGGCATAGGGAACTGGTACAGGTGAAGAAACTCCTTCTATGAACAGAGATTGTCAACTGCTCTGCAATTCACAGAGCCTCAGAGAGTTGTCCAAGGCACTCAGAAACTAAGTGACATACTCAAGATAATACAGTCAGTATGTGTCAGAGACAGGTCTTGAACCCAGATCTTCTGGATTCAATTCTAGCCCTCTATCCATTATGCCACACTGTCACTCAAAAAACTACAAAGGATAATTCAAATTAATATGTTCTGAGCACCCAGAACTCTGCCGAGGTAATCCAACGAAGTACCATTACTATCTCAAGCCCTGCAACAGTTCAAAGAATCATAGACTTTTACCCAGTATCTCCCACCAGTAGGACGGGTTCTCCAAACTCTAATGCCCTTCCGGCCAGAACAGCCAATCTCCTCATATCTTCAGTCCACACAATGTGACTGAATTTGGACTTCAAGGTGGATAACTGAACAGAAAATTTGCCTACAAAATCAAAAAGAGATTAATTTAAGGAAGTTTTGTCTCTTGACAACTCAAGATATATTCTCTAACATTACCTCTCAACTTACCCAGCAATTTTTGGACACTTTCTTCTGAGAAAAGGGACTGTGGACAACACTTCTTTTTGAAATGTTTGTCCAACACTTCCCGTATAACATCCACTTCCTCTTGCTTCCTAACTCGGCCAGCCAAAAGCATAAAACCTGGAAATAAAACCAGAAGAAATGTTAGGGTAAGAATAAGCAAATGTCTGTCTCCTAACTTTACACCTTCTACTCGAGCTTCATGTAATCATAGCTTAAGGGATGGACTAGAGGTGCTAAAGACAACTCTCCCATTTTACCAATAAGGAAACATAGCTTAATAATTGTGAGATTCTAGGTGAGTCACTTAGATCTTCAGTGAAATTCAAATGCAGGTCTTCCTGACTCCTTTTCAGAATGTAAAGTATTGTTTATTTAATCTATCAGTATTAGCGTACTGACATACTACATAATGCAATCAACACCCACAAGGATGAAGGACAGAGGTCTAAAAGGTTGGGGGCAGCTAGGTGGCGCAGTGGATAGAGCACCAGTTCTGGAGTCAGGAGGACCTGAGTTCAAATCCGGCCTCAGACACATAACACTTACTAGCTGTGTGACCCTGGCCAAGTCACTTAACCCCATTGCCTAACCAGAGAGAGAGAGAGAGAGAGAAAGAGAGAGAGAGAGAAAGAGAGATCTAAAAGGACCCTTACAAAATAATGCAAAAGAAAAAAAGTAGAATTCCTGCATGGAAAGATATTTATAACTCATGAGACCTTTGTCAGTATTAGAGTAGTTGGAGGGAAAAAAATTGTATGTATGTATATATAGATATAGATACAGATAGATAGAGGGCACAGGGTGAGTTGAAGATGAAGGGGCCATATCCAGTGAATAAAATTAAGGGATGAGACAGGACTATACTGGGAGAGGGAGAAAGGGAGAAGTAGAACGGGATAAATTGTCTCACAAAAAAACAGAAAAGGAAAGGCTCTTACAAGTGGAGGGGAAATGGGAAGGTGAGAGGGAATGAGTGAATCTTATTCTCACAGGATTTGGCTTAAGGAGGGAATAACATACACACTCAATTGGGTATGGAAATCTGTCTTACCCTACAGGAAAATGGGGGGAGAAGGGGACAAGAGAACAGGAGAATGATAGAGAGGAGGGCAGATTGGGAAAGGGGGTAATCAGAAGCAAACACTTCTGAGGAGGGACAGGGTCAAAAGAAAGAATAGAATAAATGGGGGGTGGGGCGGGATAGGATTAAGGGAAATAAGAGTCAGTTTTTCACAACATGACTACTATGGAGGCATTTTGCATAACTGCACATGTATAACCTGTACACATGTATAACATGTACACTGAGTTGCTTGCCTTTTCAATGAGGGTGGGTGGGGAGACAGGAAGGGAGAAAATTTGGAACCCAAAGTTTTAAAAACAAAAATGTTTTCACATGCAACTAGGAAATAAGAAATACAGGACATGGGGTACAGAAATCTATCCTGCCCTAAAGGAAAATGGAAGGGGAAGGGGTAAGAGAAGGGGGAGAGAGACAGAAGGGAGGGCAGACTAGGGGAAGGGATATTCAGAATGCATGCCATCTTGGGTTGGGGGGAGGGGTGAAATAGGGTGAAAATCTGGAACTCAAAAATCTTGCGGAAGTACATGTTGAAAATGTGGAAGTAAAATGCTGAAAAAATAAATAAATTAAAAAAGAAAAAATGCAAAAAAAAAAACCTCAGAAAAAAAGTAGAACCCAAAGAATTAAGTGTACAATAACTACCACTATATAAGAGGAAAAGTGAATGAGAGTGAACAAAAAATAAATTCTCATAAGGACTTATGAGGGAGTTACTGAAAAACTGTTATTACATAATATGCATTTAAATTAATATGAGTATGAAATTATTTAGCAAGGTCAATTGATTCTATTTATGCATTATGTTGTCTTACAAAAAAAAAGTTAAGAAAAAACAGAAGTAAAAATAAATAAAATGACCAAGTATCTACCCAACTTTGCCAATTTAAAAAGACAACAAAAGCATACCATCATTTGCTAAATGCTGAAGCCAGTCATACTCCTTCTCTGTCTGTTCAACTGATTTGTACCGTTCAGCCCATCGGAAAAGATCCCGAAGAGTGATGAAGCCTTGCTTTCCAGCAAAAAGGGAAGATCCTCTACGATAGGACTAGCAAAGCAACCAAAGAAAACTATTAAATACCAAATTCACAGAACTACATACATATGATTTATGAAGAGGTAAAAATCCCCAAAATCTGCAAAACCTTTAACAAAAATTCATTCCACCATGACAAATCAGAAAGTGTTATTTCATTTTTTACCACTCTGGGTCATTATCCACTTTCAAACCACATCCTAATACTTTAGAATAAGGGGTTGATCAAACAATACTGAGAAGTATGGAATTACAATGATAATTATAAGAAAGCTTTCTGAAGTGATACTTTAATGGGAATGTGTTTAATAACATACAAAAATACACACATAAACTCAAAAACTGAAGAGCAAACATCTTTAAAATACCTAGAGTACTTTAGAACACAGGTTTAAAGAAGCAAGTTAGAACTCCAGGGAAACTAACAGCCTGCATTGTCTTCCTGGAAGTGCATCTGACTTCAACATCACAACTTAGCTGCAGTCTTACCCTAGAACCTCCTTGCCCTGGAACATCCATTAGCCCCTTTAACCTTTCCACTCCGGAACATCCCTTGTCTCTGCCAGTCCTCTTCTCCTACAGGTGATTTCCTCCTGGAGCTTCTTCAATTTAGAAGAGGGGCCAAACCTCTTGTCTGTACTTCTGACTTTCCAGACTTCAACCCCTTTTAAGCTCCCATTGATGTAACATAAACATGAAAATGGAGTCTACCCAGGACAACAACTATCTTTCTTTTTTATTGTATCTGTATCACCAGCCACTGAACACAGTACCTGGCACATAGTAAGCATTTAATAAATGCTTTCTTGCGTCATCTACTAAATTATTACTTTTATCCAAGCTGAAATACATTCTGATATGAAACCTGGACAAGTCTGAGAAAGACTTCTAAAACAAACTTTTCAATATATTACAAATAATCATTTCCCTACTCTCTATACAGAGGTAGGAAATTATGGGGAATGAATGCTGCAAATTTTATTGCATGACAGATTCAAAGAGGCATTTAGAGATACCTTAGATGTCATCTAGTCCGAAAACCTCATTTTAAACATAAGAAAACTGAGGCCCAGAGAAATTAAATGACTTCCCCAAGGTTACACAGGTAATAAGTTTAAGGGCTGGGATCTGAACCAAGGATCAATAGGAGGGAATTCGGAAGTTCACTGAGAGATGAATTTCAGTCGTTACCTGTAGATCCTGCATGACTTTAACCAACTTATTGCAATAAGAAGGTGGCAAACTGCAGCGTTTATGCAATATTGTTTCCAGCTCAGTGCTAGGCAACTCATCAAAATGCAACTCCACAAAACGATTTCGGAAGGCTCGGGAGAGCACCTGGAAGACAGAAAGAGCAGCATGAAAACAAAAAGTTAATTTTTGCTCATCTAATCTTCTAAGCAACAGCTTACTCATAACAAGGACAAGAAGAATAAGAAGAAAAAAAAACCCTCCTATTCTCTAGAATTAAAAAAGAAACAATTCAATCTAGAAAGAATATTCACAGAATGAAATCATTACTAAACACCACAAAAGATGGGCTTTACAAACCTTTCGGCCCCCATAGAGGCCAGGAGGATTCTGGGTTGCAAAAAGCATGAAGCGAGGATGTGCTTTCACAACCTCTTGGGTCTCTGTTATGAGCAATTCCCGGTTGTCATCCAGAAGCCTGTTCAATGCCTCCAGCACATCTGTGGGGGCCAAATTCAATTCATCTAAAATAATCCAGTAGCCTTTTTTCATAGCATCAATAAGGACACCTTGAGAGGAAAAAGATGGAGACAATAATTTTATAAGATACTTCTCGTCATTTTAACATAAAACTGGTTACAAATAAAAGGTTAGAGTAGACAATTATTAATTTGCTACACTGTTAGTTCTAAAATTATATCTTCCTTGAGGACAGCTGTATTATAAAAAAGATAACACAGTCATCTGACAAACAGGGAGATGGTTTCTATTATGCCAAGATAACAATCGCTTCTTCTTTCATTGAAGTAAACTATGTATAAAAAAATGCTTCCTCCTCAACATTTCCTAACCTTGTCATCTTGATCCACTTAAATCACTCAATTGCGTGAACTTCTTCCCCCTCCCCTCCCCTCCCACATATTTCTGGGAATAAGAGTGCCTAACACAACACCTTATGAAATTAAGTTGTCCAGTAGCACTGACACAGTCCAGAGCCCTATACCATAGCAATGGTTAATGTGGTCCAATGGGATATAAGAGCCTTGAAGGCAAGAATGTTTTGGTTTCCAATTATATCCCTAATGTCTAGTATAATGGCTGGTATATAGAAGGTATTTAATAAATGCTTGTTGAATTAAAGAAAAGGTGACTGCCTAGGCCACCTAGATAGATCTCCTTAAAATTCAGAAAAGGGTACCATAAAAAGAAGACTTTTGTAAATTTTTATATACAGAAATTACTATATCACCTTTATGCAGGCTCAGGGAGTTAGGAATGTCACAGAAACATGTAACGGAAGACCTAAACACATTAGGTAGACTGTCAACCCTACCTTCTTTAAATACCAGCTTCCCTGAGGCATCTGATGTGTAGCAACCAATATACTCCTGAATATCAGTATGTTCATGGTTGTTAATCCGCACACAGTGATTCCCACTTGCTGCAGCCAGCCAGTGAATTAGGCTAGTCTTACCAACAGATGTCTCTCCCTGAATCAGCACTGGGTAGGTTCTTTAAAAGATGAATCATTGAAACAAGAAAAATAATACAGGATTACTTGGATTAAATAAACACACACACATATATATTAAAGGGGGATAAATATACAACTATTTTCCTTGCCCAAACACATTTATGTTTTGATTTCCTTTATGTTAATCAAGGCAATGCACCTAGACCCTAAACCCTGGGAATTTAAGCAAGGTTAAGGAGTTGCTAAATGAAAGAACCTTCATATGGAAGGATTAAACATACTTTTATTTCTTAAACAAACTGTCTCATGGAGGAGAATAAAATAGGATTTGTTCTTTGAATACAATGCATAGTAGAAATGCTAACAACCTACACTGCAACTTGGATCTGGAAAGATTCTTTAATTTTATTTTCTTGTTCCTAGGTGAAAACCAAAGGGATAGAAGAAGGCTTTGTCTTTTTGTAATAACCAGATTCAAGCAAAAGTGCCTAAGACTACAGAGCTGAAAGAATTGACTACAGAGAGACTAGGTGGACTGAGTGTGTTGCCAGGGAACATCTGCTAATAATACTCATTCACTAAGAATACTCTGATAAAGATGGGGATGTGAATGCTAGTACTCTTTCCATACAATTTGGTTTTAGGACAAAAGGCTTAATCTAGATTTTTTTATTCTGGTGCTAGGACTTCCAGTGGAGCTGGCTGAGTTTTATCTCTTAAAACTTCATCTGAAGCTTAAAAAAAAATTAGAGTACAAAATCTTATCCAAAAAAAGAAAGTAAAAAGTCACCAAGCTAGTTAGGGACAGGAATAGGAATACTGACAGAAATAGTGGAATAGGGATAGGAGGAAAAGGGAAAGAGGAAGAGAAAAAGGGAAAGGAGCAAGAAGGAAAGGGAAGGAAGAAGAAGAAAAATGCTTCAGAGTTCACTGAAACAGAATGGAAAACTCAGAAAAATAAAGCCTAGTTAGTGCAAATAGGAGATTAGTAACAAACTGAAAAATTACAAAATACTAAGCAATAAAAGAATAAAAATTGGGAAAATAGCTGTAAAGGCACACTACAATCACAGTGCATACTACAATCAATTCCAACTGGATGAGCAAAGGAAAAATAAGTAAAAGTTATGGAAAAATACAGTTCAAGCATGGGGAGAATTTTTATGGAATAAAGGAAATAAATCATTGCAAATAAAATAGATAATACAAAAACAAAAATAGTTTTACTATAAAAAGAAATACTCCCCAAATAAAGACACATTAAGCAGAAAAAAACACTTTACATTAAATATATCTGATAAAAATCTGACAGGTAGAGTTTTGAAAGCAACAAATAAAAACCTTAAAATAATTAAGTAAAAATAATACTTATTACTCAGTGGAAGAAAAATGGCCCAAGAACAAAATTTTTAAAGGAAATATCAATCTGTTAATAACTACTTGGAAAATGGTTAAAATTCTTAACTAAATCAGAAAAAAAAAATTTTAAACAATGAGAAAATATCTTTCTCATACCAAAATTGTCAAAAAAAATCTATGGATAAAATTCAGTGGAGGAAAGGCTGCGGGGAAACTGGACCACACTCAATCACAGACTTAAAGCCGAAAAACTTTGAGGAGCATCTCTATATCATTCTGGGAGTACAGAAAAATGAGGCCCAGAGAGGTCTGGGTAATTTGCCTTAGCTAACATGCAAGGCCAGGATTTGAACCTAGGACCTAACTATTAAAGTCAGAATCTCTTCTTCACTGCACTGTCTTGTTCTACTAAATGTTGATGGAACATAATTTTTGACTGAGCTCTTCCACTACTATGGCTATATTCTAAGAATATTTAGTAAAAGGTAAAAAAAAAAACCCATGTATACAAAAATTTTTGTAGAAAAAACCCTGATAACAACTTGCCCTGGAGATAGGGAAACAGAAGTCACATGCAAAAAGTGGAAGTATCCAGAACACTATCACAGCATAGAAAAGTTACAAAAGTGAATGGCAAAAAAAAAAAAATCTGCAAAAAAACATATGGAGTGATGTACAGCAAAGACACCTTAGTAAAAGTAATATACATGACGTTTCAAAAGTCTTAGTGCAGTTCTAAGCTGTTAAGAACTACACAAAGAGATTTCTGGGACACCCTGCATACACCACACTGACCAAGTCTTTATTTTATAAAACCAACAGTGACAACCAAGCTTGACACAGACACAAACAGGGGAGAGATCAGAAGTAAGTAGACCATACAGAGAAAATCAACTTAGCATTTTGCTAAAGTTCAATTTAATTTAAAGTTTAAATTTTAATAACATTTCAAACACTTCAAAAGAGCAACCATTCATTCACGTGGACTGCCTCCTTTCCCCTGAGGCAGACCCTAACTCTTCTATAGCAGAATAGGTGGTTTTTTGAATCACTCTGAGCCCCAGACTTCATCACGTAATAGAGTGAAAGCAGCAGTGGCTTTGAGTCAAGACTTTCTGGAATCAAACCTCAAGTCTGGGCCTTCCTACCTGTGTGACCCCGGCAAGTCACTTAATTGCCCTGGTCTGCTCTTTGTCTGTAAGATGAGTTCTAAGGTCTTTTGTAGCTGAAGCTCTATGACTCATTATTGAATGATGAGCCTCTCCAAGCTTAGTTAGGCTTGGTCCTTGGATAACTGTTTTCCAGCCTTGTAGGACCTATCAGAGACTTGTGCTCTTACTGGCAAAGTTTTCAGAAACCCAGAATCAACTCCATGTTTCTCACAATGTAGCACTGGAAGAAGACTTTGGTGGAAGTCACACTGGGATCCTTTTTTCTCTACGCTCTTAGTAAAAATTCAAACACCCTGAATTTTGGTGTTTCACTTAAATTTTTACTGAATACCATATGTACGGAAATATTTATGGTAGCTCTTTTTATGGTTAACAAAGAAATGGAAACTGAAGGGATGCCCCTCAACTGTGGAATGGCTGAATAAATTATGGTATATGAATCTGATGCAATACCATTGTGCTATAAGAAATGATGAAGGAAATGATTTCAGAAAAACCTGGGAACACTTGTATAAACTGATGCAAAGTGAAGTAAACAGAACTATAAGAATAACCTATACAGTAATAGCAACATTATAAAGATAATCAACTGACTTAGTAACTCTGATTAATATAATGATCCAACAGAACTCCACAGTACTCATGAGGTAAAATGTGATCCACCTCCAGAGAGAAAACTGGCAGACTCAAGAGTGCAAACTGAAGCATATTTTTTTTAAACTTATTTTTCTTGCTTTTGGGGGGAGGGGAAAAGGGGTGGGAGAGGGACTGGAGAAGGAAGGAGAATATAGCTAATAAGGAAATATGTTTTGCATGACTTCATACGTATAATGTATAATGGATATCACATTTCTTGCCTTCTCAGTGGGCTGGGGGCGGGAGGGGAGAGAGAAATATAGCAGGAAGAGTATACGATGTAAAAAAAAAATTAAGAAATTATCATAAAAAGTATATGAAATCTTGTGCACCCCAAATTGTCAAATTGTACAGTTACTGAAGCAACATATAAGAAGGAAGAAAAAGAACTACCATACCCTGCAGAGACGACTCTGACAATATCTCTCAGGTTAAGTTTAACAGAAGGAGTGAGTATATATGTTTCATCTATTGTGGGCTCCTTATCTCCCACCGAAATCCAGTATCCTTCGATCTGGATAAGCCGACCTCCCTTAGGCTCTGGAATGGGCTGAAAGAAATACATTACAAAAATAATACACAATCAGAAACCCATTCTTACTTTCTTTCAAGTAAGGATAGATCGAGACAGAAAAAAAAAGAAAAGAAAGGAAACTTCTCTAGAAAGCCAGTTCCTTCTGGTATTCACAACAGTGAAATGGACCAGTCAAATTTCTTCCAAGTAAGAAATAATAAAACAGCTTACAGAATAAAAGAATTTAAGCATCAAATCTTAAATGTTCAAGATTACAGTTCACCCAAAAGTTTCACAAGAATATATCATTTCATTAGATTTTCCTCTCTTCTCTTAAAAAAAAAATCTCCCAAAATATGCAATTATTATAAACCAGCATCTTATAAAAGAGACCAATGCTATACTGCAGAAGGGATTTTGTATCATGATCTGAATCTCCAAAATTCTCTGAAAGGTATATAAGACAGCTCTTTGAGGGACATTTAAGACACATCCCAAGAAAAATGTCCTAATACCAATATAGGCAAGGGTAGTCTGGTAGCTGTCTAATAACTGAATCTCTGAAGAAAGAAAATGTATGCATGACACACTTTTAAATTTAATCTACATTATTAACGTTTTCTACATCACTTTCTTAAGTCTAGACAATCAATATTTGCTACCAATTATTCTGCTTGGTTTCAACATCATCTTTATCATGCTGCCCCCATCTCTCAGATGAAGTCATCATCATTTTAGATTCCTTAAGCTTTGGTACTCACACCCCATGAATACCCTCCGTTGCCTCTACATTTGTTTGGAAAATAGGAGGGCTGAGCAAAAAACTCTTTCTAGAGCCTCCCTTTATAGAGGCCTCAAATCCCTAATCATCTCTTCATGTGCCATCTAAGTTACTTTTAGTTTCAACTCCATATTCCTTTTCACCATGCCCCTACATGACCATTAGAATGTAAGCTCCCTGAGGACAGAGACTGTCTTTTTCTTATTTGTATCCCCAGCATTTAGCACAGGATCTGGAACATAGTAGGTGTGTGGGCAGCTAAGTGGCACAATGGATACAGTGCCAGGCCTGAAGTTAGAAAGCCTCATCTTCCTGAGTACAAATCTGGCTTCAGACACTTACCAGCTGTGTGACTCTGAGCAAGTCATTTAACCTTGTCTGCCTAAGTTCCCCATCTGTAAAATGAGCTAGAGAAGGAAATGGCAAACTACTCCATTACCATTGCTAAGAAAACCCCAAATGGGGCATGAAGAGTCAGACACTTTTGAAACAGCTAAACAACAACTGGCACACATAGTAGGTGCTTGATAAATATTTCCTGAACAGTATCATCAAATCAATAAATCAAGCCTCAATTTGTAGAGTTTGCCAATGAAAAAATTTAACAATCAGCTTAGATTCCAGATGGCTACAGCACATTGATGGATAAATAAGATAGTAGATTTTAGGAGACTCTCATCAGGGGACAGTGAGAATAAAGGTTACAGAGATTGAAAGGCCCTCCCTGAAAGCATTAGTTCTCAGACACTCAAGATTCCAGGACCAGGGACTGTTGGCTATAGCACTTCTTATATTTTAGACCAGTAAGAGGGAATTCAGTCTATCAATACAAAACAGTCTATTCTGCAACTTTAGAGTTTGGGAGAAGTACTCAGTGTTAACTGCCCGGGTCACCCAGCCAGCTGATGCCAAAAACGAACCCAGTTCCTCTGGAATCCAAAGCTAGCTCACACTGCACCATGTGGCTACCTCTGTTCGATTTAACACTCTAGAGGAGTGATGGAAGAGGAAGAACTGCTTTTTAATTAATCATCACAAACCACAAAAAATACTGTCACTAAATTACAGAAAATGGGTTTTTTAAATGAGATTTCATCAATAATTGAGAGAATAAGCCTACTAGTCCTTCCTTTCAAACTTACAAAGACTGCAACTGCTAGTAACTGGAATATTCATTAACCAGTAATTCAATTTAGTGAATTTGTACTAAGAACCCACTATGTGCAGATAGTCAGCCACATGGAGCAGTGAAGAGTTGATTTCACTCAGGAAGACCTGCATTCAAGTGCCTCCTCTGTTATGTACTGGCTGTGTGGCCTTGGGTAAATCACTTAATCTGTCAGTTTGCCAAGGCAACTTTCTAAGACTATAAATTGTGAGTAAATGCCAATCTACACTGTTGCACAGCTTTCTCATTGAAAGGAGTTCCCTGTACCAATGAAAGCTCATTCCTGGGTCCTTCCCTTCCACCCTCCAAAAATGTAAAAATCATGGTAGTAGACTGAGGGGAATATGTGGGGGTAGGTATGGACAGACACCAAGATTTAGAAAACAAAACACTATTTCTATCCTTAAAGAGCATACATACAAGGATGTTAGTCCTTGTGTAACACCCATTTTATTCAGCATCTCTCAATTCTACACTTAGTGTAGATTCTTACAAATACCACAATGCTTTGCATACAGTAGATACATCAATGAATGAAAGCTGAATCGTTGACAGGATTCAAGATTTTAACATGGCCTTTCATTTGTCCAACTCATCTATACTAAATTGATTTGAAACTCTGATATGAACATATCCCTAATATTAGTCTAAACAATCAAAATGAACATACCTGTTTAAGGAGACTTTTGACATTGCTGGATATAACATGTTGACAAATGAGTTTCTGAACTAAAGGGTGTGATGCTCTGTCAAGTTGTGTAAGGAAACCCAAGCAAAAGCCCTTAAAAAAAGAAGAAAAAAATATCTATTTTGACTTTGAAAATACTATTACGAAATACTGACTACTATTTTGCAGTTACAGGTCATTTACCTTTAGGTGATCGGCAACCAAAATTCAAAGCAAACTTTTTTTTTGTTTGCTACAAAGCCTGGCATTACTGCAAAAGGCTATGGGCAGACTAGATATTGCTAACCTGAGAAACTATGTCTGTTCCCACAGGCAGCCTGCTACTACCTTGAAGCAGAACAATGAAAGTGCTTGAATACTTGCTTCAATTAACTTACTGACATCAATTATGCTTTGTTGTTTTATCTGTTCCTTCAGAGCTAGTTACATTTTATACTTCCTTAATCTACCATATTTGTATACCTTCACTATCTTATCTACCTTAGATAATACCTTCATGGGATTTTTGTTATCCCAAAAGCTATAAAACTGAGCACCCTTTTCTCAGATCAGAGAAGAACTTGACAATAACACCTGTTAACATGCCTGTGGTCCATTTCTTCTTTTGTATACAGGAGAAACAAAGAAATGCCTTGACTAAGCAAGAAAATAGAAGTCAGACTGAATCAATGATTTAACCACATAAAATTCTCTTCACTCAAGTTGCAAAGGCTACACTGCTTCTACCTAAACATTTAAAATGTAGTAAAGTGGTAGAAAATAGCCAAGAGGAAATTTCCAGTTGGTTTCTTAAATTAGGGGAATTCCAGGACTAAATGGAAAAACACACATAAATCTCAATCTCTCTCTCTCCACACACACACGTGTGTGTGTGTGTGAGTGTGTGTGTATATGTATGTGTGTCTATATATATATATATAGACACACATATGAATATATGTAATTTTTTTTATTCTTCTCTCTAGAAACACTCTTATACCCAAAGACACAGAAAGAATCAGAACATATAATCATTGATAATTATATAGAAGACAACTAACAAAATCAAATAATGTGCACAGAAGAAGATCTAAAGGAACTCAAGCACATAAGATACTATTTTCATGAAGTTTATACACACATCATTTTTAAAAACTTTAATTAGTTTAGAGGTCATGATTTTACATATGGATTTGATGTTCTTTTTAGGTGAATAACTGTTGCGTTGTATTATTTATTTATAATTTTAAAAAATACAAATACTCTTCCTACTTAACTCCCTAAATGATTTTCACAACTACTTCTCTTCCACAAAGATCGGCAGTAGGTAAAAGCCCTTCTCACCTCATACAGGGAGCGCTGGATGTTGTGACAAGGATTGGAAGCTGCAAATCTCAGTGCTCTGCAGAGGGTTCGAAGGCTGTAATGAGGTCTGTGGCCTGTCCCATCCACCAATTTGTTCTTAGACTCCTTTCGCACAGCTATGTAGAAGCTACAAGGAAGTAAGTGGTTATTATTATACTAGTCCTTCAATTTCTAAACAAAAAGTGATTCCACTGACATAGATTTTTCTTCTACTTAAAATACAATTTCCACCTAGGGCATATACCACTATGTCTGCTAGCCATTAAATAGTACTACAAAATAATAAAACATTTTTTAAAATACCACAACTATTGTTTTTAGTGCTACTAGTACCATTACTATTACTGCTACTACTACCACTACCCTTGAATTTTTATCTGGTCTTTTAGAGATAAGAGGCAAAGATATGGTAAAAGACTTCATGCCCCAGCACTAGTCAGTTAACAGTCAAGGACAGGACTCAGATCTCATAATTACAAGTATTATATATATATGAAAGGCACTACGCTAGGTACTAAATGCTGGACACAAAAATGAAACAAATACTCTGCCCTCCAAAAGCAAATATTCAAGAGGGGAGAAAAGACCAGGTAAAGAGTTCAATTCTATGAGAAATGCTAACTAAGGGGATCAGGGAAAGCTTATGTACACATGTATACACATACCCACAAACCCAAACTGATTAAAACACCGACAGCACAATTATGTTGTCTGAAAATACCCTCAAGTTAATTCTTAATGTGCTTACTATCATAAAACATGCCTCTATAATGTAGCCAATACTATTAGTCAAACTGTAAACAAAAAGACCAGAATTTATTTGGATAGGTCTAGACTCAAACCATAATTATAACTAATAATTGTTTATGCATATCCATGAACGTGTGTGTGTGCACACACAGACACATGTGCATACTGGCTTACAAAAATCGCAGGTACTTCAGAAAAGGTTAAAATTTTCAGAATTTAAAACTAGCTATCTCTACAATAATCTTCTGAGATCAAAAGTCAAGTGTACTGTATAATGAGTATGTAATCTCCTTTTAGAAAAAGTCTTTCTAGTCATACTAGAACCTACTTGATAATTCCGTGAACTATGTTTTTGTTTACATTCAATCTTTTCAGATAATCCACAATAAGAATTTGTAAATCTTCTTTACTCTCCAATTCTTCCACATATAGTTCAGTTAATCTAGAAAACAAATTAAAGATTATTTATTTAGAATAAAGTATGTTAATTTCCTGATAAGACCTTTCTAAAATTGTTTTTATAAAAACTATTTGCTACTAAAAGAGAAGAAATCAGTAACTTTTCAAAGAAAAAAATTTTTTTTTTTTTAATTTAGAAAGCATACTATATTAAGTTTGAATAGAGGCTACACATCCTTCAAAAATGTGATTTGGCTAAAGCTGCACCATGGCTTCTAATTGCAGTTATTTTTCAGACTGTGCAAATATATTTTCCCTCTCAGATACCTCCGATTTTAGACATGAAAATTATATGAAGTCCACCTGTACTGAGAACCATGTAGTACTAATACTACTAAATAAAGTTATTTTTAATTAAAATGTTTTAATCTTATGCAATCAAAACAGTTCATTTTACCTTCAGTGCTCCTGACCATCTTGTCTGTCATGAACTCTTCCCTTAACACAGATCTGAAAGGTAATTTCTTCCTTGCTCCACACAATTATTTATACTGTTACCCTTTACAGCTAATTCACGTACCCATTTGGAGTTTATGTTGGCACAGGATGTGAGATGCTGGTCTAGACAGCTTCAGTGAGAATGTTTCCCAGTTTTCCTAACAGTTTTTGTAGAACAGTGAGTTTTTACCACAATAATGGAAATCTCTGGGATATCAAATACTAGGTTATTATGTTTGAGTCTGTTGTTGTGCACCTAAGCTGTTTCACTGATACATCTATTTCTAAACCAATACCAAATTATTTTGACAATTACTGCTCTGCAATCTTGTTTGAGATTTGGTAGTACTAGGTCTCTTTCTTCAGTGAACAAAATGGTGATAACTGCACCAATTAAATAGAAGTAATATTGTCATCCAAAATGATAAAATGTTTTGAAATTTATCTCTAAATCATGCCTTGCAAGAAAAAAAAAGTTTGCACATTTTTAACATTCTACTGGGAAACCCATTAAAGACTAATCCTGTAGATAGATCAGCAGCCTCAATTTACAGAGTATGGCCTCTATCAAAACCAAATAGGTGAGCAGAACCAGGAGAATACTGTACACGGTAATAGTCACATTGTGTGATGACTAACTTTGATAGACTTAGCTCTTCTCAACAATGCAATGATCTAAGACAACTCCAAAAGACTCATGATGGAAAATGCAGTCCACATCCAGAAAGAGAACTATGGAGTCTGAATGCAGATCAAAGTATATTATTTGCTCTTTCTCTCTCTCTTTTTTTAATTTCTTTTTTCTCATGGTTTCTCCCATAGGTTCTAATTCTTCTTTACAACATGACTAATGTGAAAATAGGTTTAACATGAATGCATACATTGAGCATATATCAATTTACATGCCTTCGTGGGGTAAGGGAAAGAGATGGGGAGAAAATTTGCAACTCAAAATCTTACGGAAGTGAATGTTGAAAACCAAAAAAAAAAAATAAATTTGTTATTAAAAAACAAAACAAAACAAAACAGGACTTATATCCTCTCTATCCCAGCCTCTACTTTGAGTGAGTCCATTTTTATGACAAGAAATATTAGACAAAAAAAAAATTAGACAAATCACACACAGTAAAGAAGAAGTCTATTTATTACTCCATCTCCCTAATCATAAAGACCTCCAAAAGCTAATACCAGCAGGACACAGAAGATGAGCAAAAGACAGAAATATACACGTATGCATCTGCTTGAATCAAAGGAAATTTAACCTCCTCTGTGTTTTGAAATTTGAAAATTTTGAAATTTGTTTTGAAATTTCAAAGTGGGGAAAAACATGATCATTTGAATCATAAGAGTAACGAGTTGTTTTAAAAAACAAATGTGTGTGTGCACATATACACATGCACATGCTGGTTTACAAAAATTTCAAGTACTTTACAAAAGGTTAAAACATTGAAAATTTAAAACTAGCTACAATAATGTTCTGTGGTGGTATATATCCAGAAATGAGTTTTTCCTATAAACAAAAAGTGAAAGTGAAAGCAATAAACACAGTGACTACTGCCTGACAATGTAGGCAACTTTCTGTCTTTCATAAGATTATAAATTTAGGGCTAGAAGGGACCTTAGAAGCAGAGTACAGCCCCCTCATTTTATAAATGAGGAAAACTGAAGCACAGCAAAGTTAAATGACTTAACCAGAGTCACAAAACTAATAAGTGTCTTAAAGTGGGATCTAAACCCAGCAAAACCCAGAGTTTGGCTCCTGAAAAGAAGTTTGTTTCTAAAAAATGTCCTTGGCAGCAGTCATGCAACATTCCCTACCTGTTTCTTATTCCCTGAGGCAGGTTTTTTTTCCCCACATCAGTAGCTGGATTCATGCAGGCAAACAGACGGAAGTCAGGGTGTCGTGTGAGTGGTTCTAACACAGGAAAAGGAAGCATATATCAGTTCTCATGACAACTTTAACCAGCTTGGAGTCTATCATGATGGCCACTAAGTCATTGTCACCCAGTTCCAAGCATTTTCCAGTCACATCTGAATGCTTTTTTACTCTCAGCCTGGCCTAGATTGACCTGGTCTGGTCACAGTGAGATTCTGGTTCCTCTCACCTACCACAACAACTACTGTCTTATCCCTCATCTAGCATGCAATCAAATACTGCCTTTGGCACCTCCAATTCAGTGCCCATAATTATTAAAAGCACGGAATAAGTTATTATTGTAACAAATAACAATACTCATTCTTTTAGCATTCAACTTTTCAGATGTCCATCTCTTATCTCCTCAAATAAGACACAAGCCCTTTTGCGAGCAGGAATCCTATGTCAAGACTTCAATAGTTATGCAACAAAGCATCACAGAAGCACAGCATGCAGAGCTGAAGGGGTCCTTGGAGACAATATAATTCCAATTCCCTAATTTGAAGATGAGAAAATTTGAGTGCCAAGAGAGGGAAAATGATTCTTCAAGATAGTTACTTACCACAAGTGGATATAGCAAAAATGGCTACATTTAAGAGGCAGTCAATAAAAATTCATTCAATAAACGAAGCCTCATCTTGCATCTGTGACCATAAGAATCATTCTGTTAAGTAACCAAAAAGCCTGGCAGCGCATAAAGGCACTAACAATAACATACCTGTGTCTCCTCGATCCATCAAAACCAGTGAGCCAGAGCATCCTTCCAGTAAACCACTCAGGCATTCTAATGTTTCTGGGGCAGCCAGGTTAATCTCATCCAGTAAAATCCATTCTCCTTTCTTTACTGCCTGTGCCAGAGTACCCTAAAATACAGAGACATAAAAAGGTTACAACACTATTGCAACTAATTAAGAAACACACAGCAGCCAGCATCACTGTTCTCACTAATAAACCTAGAGATATGAAAGTCTACTATATTCTCCCTGGTTTCCATTGACTACTAGGTGACCCAAGTGCCTACACACAGCTAGATGTCATAGTGAGGATGGAGGCTGGCCCTGAGTTCAAATTTGACCCCAGATACTTAGCTTTATGATAGCGGGCAAGTCACTTAACCTGTCTGCTTTAGTTTCCTCAATTGTAAAATGGGGTTAGCACCTCCCTCCCAGGGTTGTGGTAAATATCAAATGAGATAATATTTTTAAAGTCCCACCACAGTACCTGATATATAGTAGGCAATATATAAATGCTAGTGATGATGATGATGATGATGATGATGATGATGGGTAATCTAGCCTTTGCTTAAAGAGTATTAATGAGGGAAAACCCACCATCTACCAAAGCCATCAATTCTCCTTTGAAATAGCTCTGTTAGCAAATTTTTCTTAACATCAAGCCTGTATTTGTTTGGCTGATTTTTTTTTTTTTGCTACTTCTACCTACTATTCCTAGTTCTGACCCTCTGGGAACATACAGAGCAATTTTAATCTGTCAGATATATGGCCCCCTCCTCACCAACCTGGTCATGTTCAGGCTAAAGATCCTCAGTTCTTTCAACCAATCCTCATATGGCATAAACTCAAGGCCCTTCATTATCCCTGTTGCTTTCCTCTGGAGGTACTAAAACTTACCAATGTCCTTCCTAAATTGAGGCTATCAGAACAGAACACTGTGTACTCCCACAGACTGATCAGTGCAGGGCATAACATTCTATCATTCCTGGAAGTTACAGTTCTTAACATAGTTCACCATTACATTGGTTTCTATACCTGTCACTTCATACTGCTGACCCACTCAAATTGCAGTCCACTCAAACACTCAGATCTCTTCCATGTAACTGTTGTCTAACCAAACAGTCCCTCACTTTGGCCTTGTCAAGCTGAATTTTTGAACCCCAAAGTAAGACCATACACTTATCCTTACTGAATTTCTTATTAGTTTTGTCCAGCATTCTAGCCCATAAAAATCTTTCTGGATCCCCACCTGATATTGGCATAGCAGCTATTTCAGCTACATACAAAGAACAAGCTCCTCTGATAATATAGAGAATAATTATAAAGTGTAGCACAGCTTAAGTGGGGGAATGGGGGTGCAGGAGACAATAAAAACTGGATCAGTCTATCAATATAGTAACATCAATTAACAAGATAAACCAAGAAAGGTCTACAGATGATATGAAATATCTTTCTGTCATTTAAAACATTTCTCAAGAGGTATTAATTAGCCCATTAATTTAATCTCTGTTGGAATGTTTCTAAAAACGATGAAAAATCAGTGAGTCAGCAAGCATCTATTAAGCATCTACTATATTCCTGACTTTGTGCTAAGCATTTGCTTTACAAAGAAGTCTCTAACCCCCCAAATTCAGTTCCTGCTTTCAATGAGCTCACAGTCTAATAATGGAGACAACATGCAAACAACTATGTATAAACAAGATATCTACAAGATAAACTGGGGTCAGGCCCATTGGGAAGAAACAAAGATTAGAAGGACTGGGAAAAGAAGGAAAGGTGGGGTAGAGATTAATAAGACTGGAGGGGGCCAGGTTATGAAGGGCTTTGGATGCCAAATAGAAGATCTTTTATTTGATCCTGATGATGACAGGGAAGCACTGGCGTTTGCTGAAGGAGGATGGGAAGTGGAGGGGAGGGAGGCAGGAAATGGTCAGAGTTGCGCTTTCAGAGGTCCACTTGACAGCTGAGTGAAAGACGGGCCATAGTGGGGAAAAGCTTTACAGTTTAATCAAAGCCAACACAGCTTCAAATTCAAATGTGTAGTTTCTCTTTTAGTAGCAAGGTAACAATTTAAAAAAATTTTTTACATTATTAAATTGCTATTGGTTTGTTTTCATGCTGATCTCATTGTGAAAACATAAAAACCCTTCTTCCAGCTGCTCTAGAAATACTAAGAAATGATATTTCTTTGGTTAAAAAAAACCTCCTTAGACTTCCCTGTTTGCGGGTAAATTAGATGGCAAACAAGAGGTCTTTCTAAAAGAAATGGATTAAGAGGAGAAATTAAGTTTAAACAAAGATGACCTCTAGTCCTACTTAGATCTGAAGTGATTGGGCTATTGCCCCATCAGAGAGTGGTCTCCTTTTTTGCATCCCCAGAAAGTATGGACATATAACGCTCTCTTCAGAAAGAGAAAGAAAGAAAGAAAGAGAGAGAGAAAGAGAGAGAGAGAGAGAGAGAGAGAGAGAGAGAGAGAGAGAGAGAGAGGATAGTAGTGACTAATGTTTTGGAATGTTAGCCCAAAATCATATTTTAACATATTATGATCTTTCCTCATTCAATATTCCTATAGGTATTACCTCAAACTGGCTTGCAGCAGAATCCTATCTGAGGGCATAGAGGAACTAGGTCAATGTGAACAATTCTCTCCCTCTCTCAAGTCTAGAAATGCTCAAATATTTGACTAATATCAAAATAAAAAAAATTATTTGTGGGAGACTTGTGCAAAGTACAGTATTTATGTTTATAGCTTACCATTATCTGTATTCATTTTCTCTCGTGGATCTCAAGGTGGCCTTTTCCATTAAAGAAATTTTATAAAGTTTAACACATACACAAAACACACACACACACACACACACACACATACACTCTCTCTCTGTTTATTTCTACCATGTACTTAAGTATGACTGCAAAAATCAGATTAAGAGTCAAGCAATCATGCTGTAAAATATATAACCTAAGTCAAATACCTCTACAAACGCAAACAGTAAGGCATTTTCAGTCATTTTCATTTGTTGGTGGGCATGGTTGAGTTTCAGACCAAATGCTTCCCACTTTTCTCTTAACAGTAACCCTAAAAAAAAAGAGAGAAATTTGAAAATTAATCCACAACATGAGGCATTAAGGTATGACCTGAACACAAACATATACATGAAGGGACTGGACTAGATGGTCTGTGAGTTCCCTTCCGTTTCTAATCTATGATCCTATGACCCTATAAACACATACAATGAGGTTTAAAGATAACACTTTATTAAGGTGAGAGGCAGTATAGTATAGTGGGCATAGGGGCTGTTGTTGGATTCAGAAAGCCTAGTTGTTCAAACATGGGCACAATCAATTTTTACTACCCAGGGCCAATACTCTAGGCCTACAAGTTACAAAGGAAATGATTTGCATCAGTAGAGGGAGTTTCTAAAACCCAGAGTTCCTTGAAATGATCACTTAATCTGGACCAGTTTCTCTCCTACCACCCACCACCCTCAAATGGGATGTAATTTAACTTAGATTCCCCCTAAAGAATTATAAAGAAGCAAGTACTACTTCCACTTTTGCTGCTAAGGAAAGAAATCAATGGACCAAGACTCCAAAGTCAGCCTACAGCTGGGCTCCAGGTGGGCTGAAGAATTCCCATTCCAAGAATCAGAAAGGAAAAGCACATTACACCTCAAAAAAATTACTTGCAAAGTTTTACATAAATCATAAGCTTGCTAGCTTACTTTATTTTCTGAAAACTGTGAACAGTTATCTGGCGAGTTTAGGAGTTTGGCCATCATTAACAAAATTTATTTCAAATAACTATTCTCCATCCAAAAATACTATGTCTTTCATTTAATTCTGTCACTCTCATAGCCATCATAGGAGGTCCTGCAGCACTCTTCTGGAAGAAAAAAATTTGCTATAGACTTGTGCCAAGAATTGTGGTACAGTAGTAGTTCTGCATCTGATTTCATGCTCTGATAATGCTCCCTGAAAACTGCATCTTTCTTTACATCATATCCCTTTTGCTATGTTTTCTCCCCTCCTCCATAGCTGCTCACTTATTGGCCTCAGCTGGCTCTTTTACCTGCATCATTGGTTTTTGTTTCCTTGTTGAGGGCTGACTTATGCACATGTTGCATTAGTTTGAGCAAGTCTTGCCAGCGTTTCTGTCTATAGCAGGTCTGAATATGCCCCAAAAATGTAAGATTCTGCTTCCTGGAAAATGTCTGGGCAAAGAGCTCCTCAAAGCCCTCTCGTAAGGGCAGCCATATAAGTTTATGGTCCACTGGTTTATAACTGAAAGAAAATGCAAAGATTCTAGAAAACTGAATTCAGAGAAGAGAATAATTTAGAAATTAAGGGTATTACCTAATAACACTTCATATAAAAAAATAAACATAGAAAAAATTCATTAGTTATATTTATAAATTTCAAAGTATAATTGCCCTCCCCTCCATATAGATCAATCTATATTTGAAAACCTAATAAAAAAAATTAAGTGGAAATGATTGCTACTTGATGAAGTGATATAAAATGACCTGAGACATCACTGCTCTTTATTTGCAGCAGATAGACTAAAACAGAAACTGAATATTTCAAACTAAAAGATAAATAATAAATGGTTCAAGTGTGTAACAATAGGGGAAACACAAAAAATACAACAGCCATATAATAAAATATCATAAAGTTATCAAATACAAACACTGACTACATGAACTTATTGAATATATGAATGAAATAAAATCAAGTTAAAGCACCTAAGAATTTAGGTCTACCCTATTCACAAAATCCACTTTCAAAGGCCATCTATTATGTGGCAACTTCATATGAGGGTTTATGTCTTTTATGCTATATGAAAAACTAAGAGATCAATGATATTTATATGAAGAACATGAAATAATGAAAAAGTTTACTTTAGGGACATGCATCTTAGGAGCAACATGGGATATATTTGACAAAAACTTAGAAAATTCCACAAATACCCAGAGCAGGCACCTCTGCAACTGGCTCATCCAACATTACAGAAATTTAAAAAACAAAAATCTTAAGTGAGGAGACCAACTTAAACAAACCTACTACAAGTGAATGTTAATGAAAAAGACAGAATGAAAGAGGAAATCCCACAAAGGAAACATGAAAGAAACAGCCTATACGTAAGAAGGATACAAAACAAGTTTAACATAATTTAAACACAGGTACAATGCTCTACCAAAGTAATGCCAATAGTAAGAGAGAAAGATAAAAGAAATGAAAAGCCCTCCCTCCCCAAAAGGATATTTAAAAAAAAAAAACCCAGCAAAAAGGATAATTAATTTAAATAAGTTACTCCTATAAAAGTTTTTCTCTAAATAACAGTCCAATGTTAATGGACTAAATCACAATATATTTATTTTAAAAACCTATACAGTTTATCAGTTGGATGTTTTCTCAACAGAAAAAAATTTCTATTCACGAAATCAGACTGCTCCACTCCTTGCCTCCCAAAAATTAACTAAATAAACTAATTAAAAGTAGGAATGTAGTATTTTCATAAGAGAGTAAAAACAAATACCAAAACCAAAGCAAATCCTAGGGCTGGCAGCAATAAGCCTACCTCTTGTACACCTCATTGTTCCCCATTGTCCCTATCCCTCTATTCCTTTCTCCCTGTAAGGATTATTTGTCTATTCATATTTCAACTTATATGAAGTAAAGAGCTGTTTGATTTCCATTTCACACAGTGTAATTTTTGAATAGAGGCTATGATTACATCTTAATACATAAATCAAGCCCCTGTCCCAAACGAATACACCTCATACATAAGAGTTTAATGCTATTTCAGGGTGGGATGGTCTGGGATTGAGGATATTCCTTTCAATTTTTGCTTAGCACTTCTTAATGAATAGGAAATTTAACATTTAAAATGTTAAATTTGCATTCCATCTCATACAAAGCAACAGAACACAGAATAACAATTTCCAAGTGTCTAGAAAAATCACTAACCCGCCAAGCAGATCTGCTGTGTCACTCTGTTGGTTCATGTTGACAACCCTCAAACGATGACCTTCAAAGAACACACAGAAAAAGTGGTTATCAGTGAAAAATACATTCCATGAGCACCGAAACCTCTTCAAGCTTGCTTATTACCTGTGATGTGAGCCAAATACTGGACAGCAGAGGTCTTGCCAGTGCCTGTCTCACCTACCAGCAAGACTGGCTCCCCTTTGCTGACACACACTGCAAGCTGTTCCATCAGTATAGAAGCTGGACGAGTAGCAGCAAAAGTTAGCTTCTCCCTGATGAGAAAAGGTGGACAGCAATGGTGAAAAACAGAGGCCAGCCCAGGGACCTAGGTTTTGTCTAGACTGGGCAACTTGTGAAGAACAGCTCCATCTTCTTGCGAATAGAAAGTATAGTACAGCGTCAAGAGCCTTTATTAAGCATATGGTCACTAAATGGCTTCCAATACTAGCTCTGCCATTGACTTGCTGGTGGACACTGGGAAAATCTCTCAACCTCTGAGCCTCAAGTGCCACTTTTATAAAAGAATACTTACTTCAACCATATCTCACTCAATGACTACAGGATCATCATAGATTTATAGCTGGAAGGGACCTCAGAAGTCACCATCTAGTCTAACCTCATATTACAGATGAGGAAACTGAGGCCCAAAAAGTTAAATGACTTCCCCAAGTCTACTTAGCTAATAAATTGGAGAGTTGGGATTTGAAGCCCAAGTCTACTCACCTCAAATTGAGCATTTTTCCCAAAGCAATACAATGATTTGTTGGAGGTTTTTTGGTTGTTTTTTTTTTTTTAGGCAATTGGGGTTAAGTGACTTGCCCAGGGTCACACAGCTAGTAAGTGTCAAGTGTTTCATCTGAGGCCGGATTTGAACTCAGGTCCTCCTGACTTCAGGGTCGGTGCTCTATCCACTGTACCACCTAGCTGCCCCCAATACAACGATTTGTAAAGACCCAAAGCACCATAGGTAAACTGAAAAGTACTTTTATATTGCTGTGGGAGACACCCTTGAATCTTTAATCAGAAACTCAATTTGAACATCTCTATTTAAATTGACAGCCTGATTTATAGGTAAAATATATTTAGCTTCATGAGCTAGTATGCCAACGACCTATGTTTCTTGGTTGTTCTGTCTTGACCATCTACTTGCTGTTCTATTGCTTTTAAAGGTATCTGCTACTTTTCCTTGTCTTAGACTTTTCACTCTGCCTATCCCTTTGTTCTTTTAGGAGGTCTGCTCTAACAGACAGAAACCTAGAATAAAAAAGTGGAGGTGTCATTTTCACAAAAACACAGAACTTCTGTTAAAGGGACAAGAAATGAAGAGAAAACCTCCTCAATTTTCCGCTGGACATAAAAGGTATTTTCAAACTATGCTAACAAGGCAACTGGTAATGAACCCTTTCCAATGACTGCTTTCCTGTATTTAGTCCACCTAAACCCATAAACTCAGGCGAATTCTTAAAAAAACCAAAACCCTCCAGAATAGTAAGTAACTATGAACTACTACAATGACTGACCAAGGAGACTTATCTGTTATTATAATTTTTTGGTCCAGACCTGTGATTTCATTAGTGTGGGGAACTCATTGATGTTTGTTCCACTGATGCAGAGCAGCAATTCCTTTGCTTTTCCCTTTTAATATACTGTATTACCACTTTACTTCTCTGTCACCTATCATGTGAACCACACAATCACTCTCCCCCGCATGAGGACGAGGGGATGATGGTGCAAGTTATTTTCACCCAAATTTTATAGATGAAGAAAGCCCAGAAAGGTAAGGTACTTTGTCTACGGTGACAAAGGGCAGGGCTGGGCCTGGAGAAAAGGTCTTCTGGTTGCAAGCCCCTTATGATACTCCCACCACCCCCTCCCTGCTGCTCAATTGTAAGAAGAGGTAGGCAACCATGGTGGAATGGAAAAAACAGTGGACTAGGAAACAAAAGACATGGATCCCAACAAAATGGGGTTTATAATGCTAACAAGACATCCATCCCTCAAGACTGGAAGGAGCTGCATGTCACCTGTGACTTAGAATCCCTCAAAAGCAAACTCTAAGACGAGGCTCAAGTGCTACCCTCCACAGGCTCTTTTCTGATCCTTTCACCTGCTCCCCCTTCCCAAAAAACTACTTTATGTTTACTCGGTACATATCTGTATTTATTCATAATATAGAAATGTTGTTTTTCACTTTTCATTTTAGTCTTTGTTCCCCTATGCATCTTGCATATATTAGGTCCTTAAAAAATACTTACTGACTGCCAATAGTACCAACTATCTTACACAATAGCTATGAAAATAAAATGAGAACATGTAAAACACATGTTAAACCAGAGACTTAGAGAAGTCAGCTCTTATAATTAGTGAAGCTGTAAGTAGGTCTTGTACAAAACCAAGACGATGGATGGTTAGAATCTCCATTCAAAAGCCAACAGTTTTACATAGAGGAGGTGACTTTACCTCTGGACCTGGACAGCCGGACTCTGTATCCGCAGTAGCCGTGCTCGGCCCACCTCCACTTCTAATTCATTTACCACGATCTCTGGCTTGTAAAGTTGACAGAAGTACTCAGCCTGTGAGGAAAATTGATTGTGCTTCAGATAAAACTTCCCCTACATTTCCACAGCCATTATACTCTGGTTATCTAGGTTATTACCATGAGACTGACTCTCTAAAATAGTGTTCTTCCTACATCTAAGGCTGAAACAGACACATGGCCCATTGTGGTGAGTGGAGACCCTATGCTTTGAAAAATCTAATGACTTTTCCTCAGGGCTAATCCTTCTTGAATTCTCTGCAGCATCTGACCCTGCTAACTGCCTTCTCTAACTCTTTCTTCTTTGGGTTTTTGTGAGTGTGGTCTCTCTTAATTCTCTTCCTTCTTTATGATCACTCCTACTCAGTCTCTTTTGCTAGAGCTTTATCCATGCCTTGACCAGCAACTGTGCCTGTCCCTCAAAGTTGTGTCTTAGGCCTTCTTCTGTCTTCTTTTTATTCTCTCTCACTTGGGTGATGTTATCTGTTCCCATAGGTTCAATTATCATGTCTATGCAGATTCATTCTGGAATCTACAAAACCAGCATGGATCTCTCCTAAGCGCCATTCCCACGTCACCAAATGCCTATTGAACTTTTCGAATTGGATGTCCTGTAGGCAACTCAAACACAAAATATCCAAAATGAAACTCATTATCTTTCCCCTATCCTGCTCACATTTCTCCAACCACAACATACTCTTCCTTCTGAACTTTGCTATTACAATAAAGGATGTCACCCCTCCTAGACACTGAGGTTTGCAATTTTAGTATCATCCTTGATTTCTCACTCATGCTCACCCTGTATATCAATTAGTCAAACCTTATAATTTCTTTCCCCATACAGTCTATTGTATGTGTCTCCTGTCCCCACTCACATGGGCACCACCTGAGTCGAGAACAACATTTTCAACTGCCTTGACAATCCTCTCTCCAATTCATCCTCCATATAGCTGCCAAAATGGAGGAGTAAAAGTAGTGACATACTTGAGCTCTTCCCTAAACCCCTCCAAATACCTGTAAAAAATGGCATTAAACAAATTCTAGAGCAGCAGAACCCTCAAAAAGACAGAGTGAAACAAATCTCCAGCCCAAGACAACCTGGATGGTTAGAAAGGTCTATCATGCCGGGCTGGGAGAAAATAGGGGGGAAGGGATAAGAGAGCAGGGGGATGACAGCAGATTGGGGGAAGGGACAATCAGAAGCAAACACTTCTGAGGAGGGACAGGGTCAAAAGAGAGAATAGAATAAATGGGGGGCAGGATAGGATGAAGGGAAATAATTTTCCCACAGCATGACTACTATGGAAGTGTTTTGCATGACTACACAAGTATAACCTGTATCGAGTTGCTTACCTTCTCAATGAGGGTGGGTGGGGAGAGAAGAAGGGAGAAAATTTGGAACCCAAAGTTTTAAAACAAATGTTAAAAAACTGTTTTCACATGCAACTGGGAAATAGGATATACAAGCAATGGGGTATAGAAATCTATCCTGCCCTACAGGAAAATAGAAGAGGAAGGGGATAAGAGAAGGAGGGGAGCTAGAAGGGAGGGCAGATTAGGGGAAAGGATATTCAGAATGCAAGCTGTCTTGGGGCTGGGGGGAGGGATGAGATGGGGAGAAAATTTGGAACTCAAAATCTTGTGGATGTGAATGCTGAAAACTAAAAATAAAGAAATTAATGAATCTTAAAATAAAATAAAATAAAAAATACAAAAAAATACCAAAATGATTTTCCTAAAGCATAGATGTCTGACCATGTCGTCAACTACTCAGTGAAATCCCACTGATTCTGGGATAAAATATAATTCGATCTTTATCTCATCCTTTTTAAAGTTCTGTTTTTGTTTGTTTTCTAATTTGCAAAATCATTAGTACCATGGTGTGTGTGTGTGTACATATACATTATGTGTGTGTACATATATATATATATGTACACACATTATATATATACACATTTTATATATATATATATATATATATATATGTAAAAAATTTATAAGTAATCATATATATACAAATGAAAAGTAAGGGTAGACTCAAAAATTTTATACTAATAGGATGCAAGATGAAAAGGGTTTAGAGACCAATGTTCTAAACTAGACTATTTTCCTAACTGGAGATTTCAAGACAATCTTTGTAAAACATTTTTCATATGTCTCTGTCCAAATAAACCTATGAAACGGCTCCATCTTTGCCACAAGGCCTCAACGGAAAACAGTATCAAAAGGGGACAAGGAACTTCCCTGAACCAGGACCGTAACTCTTGGCTAAATGATCCTCATGACATCATACCAGAGCAGTTAGGATTCAACCTCTAGGTGCTCAGGGGGTGGAGTTGGTTCATCTCTTTTCTTTGGATACTCTTATAATCATTATCCATCACTTTTCTAAGCGCTCAATTACATATGCATAACACTGAAGATATAACAATTACCTCATTCCCTGCTCTACAGGATTATTAAACCTAACATAAACTATACTTATGGTAGAAGTGTTGACTAAAACACAGATTAAAAATACAAAACCAAGAGTGGACACTAAGGCATATACTTGGTAGGTAACAAAGCACATTTTAAGAAAATAAACAGAGGGATATATAATGATCAAACAGCCCAACAGAGACATAGGAACATCCATCAACAATTCAGAAAGGTTTAGGGGGCAGTGATGATGCAAGAGAGACACTTGGCAAGCTGCACATCAGAACTGATTTAAATAAAGATCACAGAGGAAACTTCAAGGCTCACCTTCTTCTTGGAGATATTTAACTTGCTCCCAATAACCTCTGCCATCTTCAATCTGCTTGTTTGCTTAGACAGCATTGCTGTGAAGCAATCCAGAGCCTGTCAAAGACAAAGGCAAATCTTTAACTCTTCACTGAATGTGAAAATAATAATTAGTCCTTCCCTATCACTGTTCAAGGATGTGATTATAACAGAGGCAATCTTACCTGAGAGGAGTAACTGATTCCTTTCATTATTTCATAAAATCAAAATGCACTGAGCAGCCAACATGAGGCATGATGCAAGGGAAACAAATGTGATAGAAGACATCTGTTCTCTATCCTCAAAAAGATACCATTTAGTTAACAAGATAAGATATAAAACAACAATCCCAAAGATGTCACCAAACAGTACATGTCTAATTTCCAAACAAGTGGTACAGACAATAAAGGGCATAGGTTCAACTAAGAAAGAGTGTTCTGGACAAGGGTGATAAAGGAAAACTTAACAAAAGAAGCAGAAAAATGAAACAGGATTTGAATGGTGAGTAAGTCTGGATCAGGAAGGAAGAGAGCACAGAAAACGTGTTCTAGAGAGCTGACCTTGCACAAGGAAAGGCACAAAGGATAAAATATAAATGGCATGTTAATGAAATGCTGAATAGAATGGTCTGAGTGAAGCAGAAATGTCACATGAAAGGAGTAATAGAACATAAGGTGAGAAAACAGTTTGAGACTAGCCACAGAAGGCCTTGAATGTCAGAGTAAGGAACTGGAACATTATCATGATGACAAAGGGGAAGCACACTTCCCTCCCTCTCCAACAACACTGACCTCTTTTTTTTTTTTTTTTTTAAAGAAAAAGTAAGGGCAGCTAGGTGGTATAGTGGATAGAGTACTAGCCCTAGAGTCAGGAGGACCTGAGTTCAAAACTGACCTCAGACATATAACCCTCACTAATTGGGTGACTCTGGGCAAGTCACTTAACCCCAACTGCCTCACAAAAAACAAAAGAAAAAGTACCATATTGTAAGAACTGGAAATTGAGGGGATACCCATCAACTGGGGAATGGCTGAACAAGTTGTGGTATATGAATGTAATGGAATACTACTGTGCTATAAGAAATGATGAGCAGGCAGACTTCAGAAAAACCTGGAAAGACTTATATAGACTGATGCTGAGTGAAGTGAGCAGAACCGGGAGAACACTGTACACAGTAACAGCCACACTGTGCAGTAACTAACTTTGATAGACAAAGCTCTTCTCAGCAATGCAAGGATCTAAGACATCTCCAAAAGTCTCATGATGGAAAATGCAATCCACATCCAGAGAAAGTCTGTATACAGATAGAAGCGTACTATTTGCTTTTTTTTTCTTTTCTATTGTTTTGTTTCTTCTTTCTTGTAGTTCCTCCTATTGGTTCTAATTCTTCTTTACAACATGACTAATGTGAAAATGTTCAACAGGAATATATATGTAGAGCCTATATAAGACTGCAAGCTGTCTTAGGGGTGGGGGTAGGGAGGGAGGGGGAGAAAATTTAAAACTCAAAAGTTTATGGAAGTGAATGTTGAAAAACTAAAAATAAATTAATTAATAAAAAAATTTTTTAGAGTACCATACAAAAACTATTGTCTTTTAAATCCTAACCTAGTAAGAGTATATAGATTACACTAGAAGAGAATATCAATTAGTAGGATGCTGCAGTTTATTTCATTAGTCAAATCATGAAGTGGTTGGAGCCTAGATGCACTTGATGATTGTGGCAATGATAAAGTCAGGCATTAGGAATTAATGCAAGAGCCATTACTACTTGAGGAAAGAAGCAATAATGGATGACCACAAAATTTCAAGTTTAAGTACATTTATTGCCTACTATGTGCCAGGCACTGTGGTAAGTGACTTAAGATATAAAAAGAGGCAAAAGACTGTCTCTGCCCTCAAGGAGCTTACAATCTAATAAGGGAGACAACATACAAACAAATAATACAAAGCAGCTATATACAGGATAAATAGGAAATAATTAACAGAGGGAAGGCATGGAATCAAGAGAGACTGGGGAAGACTTTCAGTAGGAGACAGGACTTTAAATGGAAAGCCAGGAAGGTCAGCAGTTGCAGTGGAGGAAGGAGAGCATTCCAGGCCTAGGGGACAACCAGAGACAATACCAGAGGCTTGAAATGGAGTGTCTTGCTCATCGTGGTACAGTCAGGAGGCCAGTGTCACTGAATGAAAGAGTATATACCAGGGAGTAAGGTATACAAAGACTGGAAAGGGAGGAGGGGGGTTAGATTATAAAGGACTTTGAATACCAAACAGAGCATTTTAGGCAACAGGAAGCCACTGGAGGAATCACTGACTAGGAAGGGTGACATGATTAGACCTACACTGAGTAAAAGAATTATGTGATTATTAACAAATATGAAAGAAAAGCTCATTTGGGGAAGTGAAAAAAATGATAGCTGCTTTAGCTATATGTTGTATCTTGGGTGGAGGAAACAACAGGGCAAACTCTTAAGTTCTAATAATGGCAGAAACATTTAGCAGTCTCTTACACTATCTATATTTATTTCATAATTGAAAGAATTGCAAACGGGGTGACAGAGTTTAAGAAAGCAATAAGGCGAAACCAAGAATTTTTGCAAGATAAGGAAGATCTATACACACTTGGGAGCAACTGAAATGGAACTGGTTGCCAAGTTTTTAAAAAAAGAGTAGGTAACTGAACTTAATTATTAGGTGGTAGGACAGAGGGGTTTATCGGGTCACAGAAATGAGAAAATTAGGAGGTGGGGTGATAGAATAGAAGTAAAAAGTGTGACTATATTGATCTAGGGAATTCCTTCTACCAATGGAGATCAACACTTTCTCTGCAAGTTATAGTATTGGAGAAATGCTTGAAACACTAAGACTTTCTGACACTGAGACTAGGTGATAGGCCCAAGGTCACAGAGCCAGTATATATCAGAGTCTGGACCTGAACCCAGGTTTTTGCTGGTTCTGAGATCAAAACTCTATATACTACAGCATGCTGGCTCTCATGAATATACATTATACTGAAAAAGACTTCAAAGCAAAAAGGGATATGAGAAGCAATGAAGGGTGCAGACTGAGACACATTTTCTGGACGTGTCCAAAGCAGGAATTTGTTTTGTTTGACGACACATATTCATTAGATGGGGTTTGGTTTTTTCTTGCCACACACAGCCAGCACCCCCTCCAGTGAGGGGATGAGGTGGTAGAAAAGTGGGTAGAGAAAATAAATTTTTCTGTTAATTTAAAAGATTGTTTATTTTTTTTAAAAGAGACAACTCTTTTCACTTGGACAATAAAAAGGGGTTCTACAAACAAATCAGAAGAGAGAAAGGACAAAGAAGGAGTTCCTTCTAGGGGCAGTTCAATTTTTTTTTTTTTGTAATCCAGATTTAATGATATGTCTGAAGAAATATCCAAGGGAATAAGCTGGGAGAAAAATAAGAACTGCAATCATATCATCTTGATGGATTAACATCAATTATTTTTTAATACAGTAAAGTCAAGATCCCACCTCTGATACACATTGGATATATGACCCATGGCAATTAACTGCTCAGTGCCTAAGGCAACTCTTTAAGACTACAAATTAAGTAAAAACTGTTGATTGGCAATGGTAGAATGAATTTCCTCACCTGGCAGTTCCCTACAAAGATGAAATGACAGGTCTGAACCAAAAAAGATAAATAAAACTATCTGCCAACAGTGAAGACAAGTACCTTTAGGCTTAAAGGGAAATGGGAAAGCTTAAAATAGGCAAGGAGGGAATAAATTACAAAATTAACAAGACGAAAAGCTCAAGCAGCAGAGAGATTTCCCAACTACAGGTGTATCCCAACTGACTCTAAGAAAACTCATCTTTCTATGGATTATGACAAGAAAAAGCCTAAATACTACAAAATTCTTAAATCTCTCTCAACTCAGCTCAAGAAACTAGTGTAACATAGTGAAAAGGTAAGCAATGTTCACAAATTTCCATAAACACTACAGTTGATAGATCCAGAAGCAAACAAAGTAGCATTTGGGTTTATGGTATTCAAAAGTAGTCCAATATAATTCAATAATATCATATTTCAAGTACGGTTTATAGTTTTCAATAAACCCAAGAACAAAAATTATTGGGGTAAGGACTCAGTATGTGACAAAAACTGGGGTAGCTAGATGGCGCAATGGATAGAGCTCTGGCCTTGGAGTCAGGAGGACCTGAGTTCAAATCCAGCTTCCAACACTTTACACTTACTAGCTGAGTGACCCTGGGCAAGTCAGTTAACCCCAACTGCCTCATCAAAAAGAAAAAAAACAGAAATAAAAAAACAAAAACAAAAACTACTGGAAAACTGGGAAGCAATAAGGATAAGATCAACATTTCACACCATATTCAATAATAAGCTCCAAAAACATAAGTAATATAGACATAAAAGGTCATATTACAAATAAATTAGGAGCATAAGATATCTTTCACAATTATAGATATGGAAGTTCTTGACCAAATAAGGGATAGAGAAGACAAGAAGAGATAAAAATCGATATGATTACGTAACAAAAATGATGCAACTGGAAAAATATCTTTGCAACAAATTTTTCTGATAAGGGTCTGACTTGCAAGGGGCAGCTAGGTGGCACAGTAGACAGCGCACTTGGCCTGAGTTCAAATCTGACCTGAGACACTTACTGGCTGTATGACCTGGGCAAGTCACTTAACTCTGTTTGCCTCAGTCTCATCTGTAAAATGAGCTGGAGAAGGAAATAATAAACCACTTCAGTATCTATGCCAAGAAAATTCCGAATAGAGCCATGAAGAGTTAGATATGACTGAACAACAAATTGCAAGATATATACGGAATATACAAGAACCATTCCCAAGAGAGAAACTGTGACAAGATATGAACAAGCCATTCTCATCTATCAACAACCACACAGAAAAATGCTCCATATCACTACTGAATGAATCAGTATGTGACTTCATTTCCTACCACTAGACTGGCAAAGATAACAAAAAAGAAAATGCCAATTAGTGGAAAGCATAAAAACAGACACATTAATGAACTGTTCAAGCTGTGAACTGGCCTAGGTATGCTGGAAAGCAATTTGGAACTGTACCCAAAAAGACTCTAGCCTCTATACACCCTGTGACCCATTGATACCACTACTAGGCATCGATCCCAAAAAGACAAAATAAAGAAAGAACCAATACTCCTAAACTTTTATTGTGGCTCTTTTTGTTGTAGAAAACAACAGGAAACAAAATGAGTACACACGAGTGACTAAACAAATTATGGTAAATGACTATAATGAATTATTATTGCAACATAAAAAATAATAAATCAATACCTGTAGTAGTGTCTTCTTCTCTAAACTTATCCTCAATCTACCTTGTATATATCTTGTATAAGCCTACATATTCACATTATATCTTCCTAATAGAATGTTAAGCTCCTAGAGGGGCAGTGACTATTTTGACTTTTTTCTTGGATTCTTGACACTTAGCAGACGCCTAGATGGTAAATGCTTAATAAATTCATGCTGACTGATGGATAGCAGCTACCTCACAGAGCTGCTGTGAGACACAAATGAGATAATCCATACAAAATGCTTTGTAAACCTTAAAAGTGATATATATAATGTCACCTGTCATAATTATCATAAATTATGTTTTTAACTTTTTAGCTTTCTTAACTTTATTTCATTTTAATGTCTCTTTATAGGCTTGTTTCAAAGTAGGATGGGTACATTTATTTTATTGTTTAATTTGACAGTTATTACACTTCTAATACGTTTTTAACAGAAGTGGTCCCTTTGTAAAATGCTACATTTCAACCCCCCAATCTCTCTAAAGTAATACTAGTTTGTGTAGAAATAAGTCCCTTGACTTATTTTAAGTCAAAGTAAAAAGAGAGGGAAAAAGTAAAGTAAAAGAGACAGCATGTGCACAAAAGAACAAGCTTGACAGCAGATGAGAAGAAGAGGCAAGGGGGGATAAAGCTTTAGACAGATGCATGAAAGAAAAGAGACAGATGGAAATTATGTAGCACAAAGGAAACAAGACTTCAGAGGATTACAGCTTACCTCCTGAAAAATATTGAGTGATGTAGATGAAGAAGAACTGTCAAAGCTGTAGGAAATCCTGTTACACCAATTCAGTAAATCCCTAGGAGGAGAAAGACAGAAAGTAAGCAAAGATGATGATGATAAAACAGAGGGGGTGGAGAGGCTTTCTGTTGCCTATTTATTCAACTCAGCCCACGTAAGCCATTAAAATGGAAACTTATCTAACATGCTCAATGTGTGATTTAAAAAAAAAAACCCAGCAAGCAGGAAGAACAGGAAGCTGTCTTGAAACCCTCTCAAGGCCTGTAAGTTTATAACTTAGCAGGAACCAGGAAGCTGATGGAAAGACCTTGGAAGAGAAAGAAGAAAAAGAAAGTTTAGGAGCCCAGCCAGGGAGCCCTGTTCAGCTTTGCCTTCAGTAGACAACAAAATGAGATATGGTGCTACCAGACCTTAAGATACATTTCCAGCATCTAAAAGCAGGATCATCTATTAGCTCATGATTATGCCAGATGATCAGGAACTGTTCCATCTATGTTCCCAAAACCCAATCCCCAGCTAAAGAGAGGGAGAAGGAGGGAATCATTAACAATCCTTTCCTCTCAAACGGATATGCAGTGTTATGTAATTTAAATGCTGGATCTATGAAATAATACTAATAAGTGCAAAATAGCTTCCCCATGCTGCCTAAAATCCTAGTCATTTGCTTCATCAGGTTAGCAAGGGATGAACGAATGTTATCCATTAAAAAAAAAAAACTTATGCATAAATTTAATAACCTTGTTCTCCTAATATTTAGTATTAAAGGGAAAGGAATTTGGGTTCTGTGTTTTTAGGAGGATGAAGCCACAGCAGATAATTTGAATAGACAGTACTTGACACATACAGGCTCAGCTATGTTTTTAACAGAATTTGGAGGGTCAGGAACTGGGCAACTGGTAGCTTCAGAGAGAGGCAGTCGCACAAATGGAAACAAAAGTGACAGAGATCATTTGCCTCCCAATTTTAACTTGGGGAAGCTTTGTTCCCTGGCCTCTCCATAGATACAAAACCAAGAAGTATCTTTTAAATAATTTAAAGTTTTTAAATAATTAAAGGAAATGCTGTAATTTTTTTCCACCCAAATTGAGGGACCTCCTAAAATCTACAGATTCCTTATTTGTCCCTGGACCCCAGGTTGAGAATTCCTAGCTCAGACAGTCTCTTCAGGTTCTGATGGCCTAACTTCTGTTGGGACAGGTCCAAGACTAATTATAGCCACAAAAAAGTACACAAAGAGAAATTTCATGTCCTGTTCCACTACTAAAAAATGAGGAAATAATAAACAGTAGTTATTTCCATGATCTTAACAACAGTTTAAAAAAGTCTTGGATGATAAAATCTTTATCACGCATTCCCTATAAGGAATTCTTTTGTTGTTTAGTTGTTTTTCGGTCACGTTTGACTTTTTGTGACCCCATCTGGGATATTCTTGGCAAAGATACTGAAGTAGTTTGTCATTTCCTTCTTCTGCTCATTTTATAGATGAGGAAACTGAGACAAACAGGGTTAAGTGACTTATCCAGGGTCACACAGCTAGTAAGTATATGAGGGTGGGTTTGAACTCAGCAAGATCAGTCTTCCTGTCTCCAGGCCCAGCATTATATCCACTTTGCCATCTAGCTGCTGCCCCTAATGAGGAATTATAGATCTGCAAAAGGGGTAGAGCTACCCATAACACAAAAAGAAAAAAATTGGATGAATTTCATAAACTGATCCCACTAAATGATAAGGTTCTGGCCAAGAAGGCATTAAAACAACAATATAGATATAGACAGCTAGATAGATGGTTAAGGAATTGGCTAATTTAAAACACATTCAATACCGTAGAGACAATTCTCTTCCTTCAAGGCTTGGCCTTTTGTCATCTCCTCTGGCTTCTGAGACATCCATAGATACTTCCTCGTTTCCATGGCAGCTGTTGCTCCTGGACTGATGTTTATCTCCAGTAAGTTTTAAATATATATCTAAAAGATGATCAGTTGCACCTGAGAGGCTGGGATATCTGCTCTGAAAAATCTGACAGAAAAAAAAAAAGGCAAAAAATTTTTTAAAAGAACTAATGACCTCACAAAGTGCTCACAAAGAACTCAAACAAACAAAAACATCATATTTATGAAAATTGGAGTACCAAGAGGCTAGTTTTCTCTATCTTGAATTTCTTTCATTCTTCCCATTATAGTAATACGTCTTCTATGATCAGGAATTCAATACCCCAGCAACTTCCCCTATCCAAAACTGAGCTATTCAACAACCTGACCTAAGAATTGAAAAGTAAACCAGAAAAACCCAAGAGCTTCCAAAATGTGTCATATACTACATATCATAAGACTCATACATTTACTCACATTAGAGTATGAGGTTCTTCAGATCCATACACAATTCTGACATATAATACCTTCATTTTTACACCCATAGCTAATAGGAATTAACAGATCAGAAAAAGCAACATGGCATATGGCAGACACACTGACAACAGTTAAAAGAGCTAGCAGCAACAATGGAAGAGACAGATAACTACAAAAAGACACAAGAAAGAATACGTAACAATTTGGAGCTATTAAACATACGGACGAGGTCCTGAAATCATTCATTGTATGACAGTATTTATAATACAATAATTTGGGATAACAACGCACCACCACCCCACCCCCAAAAAAGTTCTATCTTGGTCTGGATGTCCTTATTTAATATAAAGGAAATCGACAAGTTATCCCAAATTAGCTATATATATATATATATATATATATATAGTGAGACCACAGACTGGTCAGAGCAAAGAGCAACATCAATACCAAAACTAAATAATAAAAATAAGCTATGGCAAGCACATAAAAATATTTTAAAAGCTTGCTGAAAACTAGAAATAGGAAAAGAAACATATCTATACAGACTATCATCCCTTCCTAGGTTAAGTTTAATATAAAACTATCACCACAATGAGATAAAGAGGGTAGATAGAAACCACACCAGCCAGTAAACTCATGATCTCCTAGGCAATCTAATCAAGCAAGTAATCAGCAAGCATTTATTACAGACTTACCATGTGCCAGGTACTGTGTTAAGCATTGTGAATGTAAAGACAAAAGCAAAAACAGTCCCTGTCCTCAAGGAGCTTATGAGAGAGGAAGAGGGAGGAGAGGGAGGAGAGAGAGAGACAGAGAGACAGAGAGAGCCACAGAGACAGACAAAGACAGAGACAATGAAAGTATGTCATATACAAAATTATCTACAAAGTAAATGCAAAGTAACAGACGGGAAGGCACTAGCAAGTGGGAGGACCAGGAAAGGCTACAAAACAGAGCACTTAAACCGGACAAGGAAAGATCTCCTATAGAATATTGCACTTAACTCCACATGTTTTGTAGGAAGCCAGGGCACAGAAACAGCATTGCAGGAATGGGAGACAAGTACTACGAAGGCACAGAGATGGGAGATGGAGCACTGCATGTGAAGAACAGCAAGCAGGTTAGCATGGCTGGACGCTAGAAGTCTTTAGACAGGAAGAATGAGTAAAAGGACTGGAAAGAAAGAAGGATCAAGGTTCTGTATTTGATCCCAGAGGAAACAAGGACCCATTAGAGTTTATTAAATAATAGAGTATCATGATCTAACATATATATTTTAGGAAAACTACTTTGGCATCTACATAGAAGACAAACTGAAGATGGAAGCGACCTGAAGCAGGAAGACTAATTATAATTGAAGACCACTACAATGGTCCAGGCAAGAAATGGTGGCTGTGTGGAGAGAAGGGAACAGGTAAAATATATATTGTAGAGGTAGAAAAAATATTTAGCATCTACTGGCTACATGGGGTGTGTGTGAGTAGGGAGTTAAGAATGATATTAAGGTCACAAACCTGGGTGACAGGAGGTTGGTGGTGTCTACTAAATTAAGAGGGAAGTTCAGTAGAGAAGAGAGTTTCAGGCAAGGGGAGGAGGGGAGATAATGAGTTCTCATTTAGTCATGTTGAGTTTGAGATGCGTATAGGATATCTAATTCAAAATATGTAATAGTAATTCTTGATGCCAGAGTTCAAGAGACACTAGAGATATATAGACCTCAAAGTTAACTACATAAAGAAGAAAACTGAACCAAAGGGAGCTCATGCTATCATTCAATGGGAGAGGACTGAGAGAAAACAGAATAGGTCCAGGACAGCACACTTAAGGGATTGTGACAATAAATGTTGAAGCTCCATTAATAGAGAAAACAGGTTGCTATAGAAATATCTACAGATCTTTTCCATTTTTCACATGATTGGTATCCTTAAATATTCTCTGATCATCAGGCTTAAATTTCCAAATTTTCAGTACACCTGTATCCTTTCCATCACTTCTTATTGTTCTATGAAGGGATAAGTCTCACAATCTTCTACCACATTCCTCTCTCAACTGCTGCTGCCCTGGGCTGAAAGCAACCTCAGTATTAGTCAGCAGCATGATATAAAAAAGCTAATGTGAACTTGGGCCACCTGAAGAAAAGACAAAGCTTCCAGTAACAAGAGATGACAGTTCCTCTGTACTCTAAGGTCCCTTTCAAGTCTCTAAATCTATAATCTATTACTTTTTAAACTAATTTGTTTTGGGTTTTCTAAGTCTACCATCACGCCTTTTTTTAATTAAATTTTTTTTCAATGAAAATCTGTCTTCTCTCCCTCTCTCCCTGACTCATTCAGAAAAAAAAAAGAAAACAAAACTCTTGTTACAAAATATGTATAGTTGGGGGCAGGTAGGTGGCACAGTGGATAGAGCGCTGGCCCTGGAGTCAGGAGGACCTGAGTTCAAATCCGGCCTCAGACCAAACACTTGACACTTACTGTGTGACCCTGTGTAAGTCACTTAACCCCAACTGCCTAACCCCCCCAAAAAAATGTATAGTCAAGCAAACAAATTCCCACATTGGTCATGTCCAAAAAAATATGTCTCAATCTACACTCTCTGTGAGGTGCATGGTTCATCAAGAGTCCTCTGGAATCATGGCTAGTCATTGCATTGATCAGAATACTGAAGTCTTTCAAAGTTGCTGTTGTTAAATATTCTTCTAATTCAGTTCACTTCACTCTTCATTAGTTCATATGAGTCTTCCCAGGTTTCTATAAGACGGTATCCACTTTATCATTTCTTATAACAGAGAGTAATTCTAGCACATTTGTATACTATATGAATGCAATCAAACAAATGTGATTCACAGGGCAAGGCCCCCTGAGGAAAAGAAAGAAGGAGGCATGCACCAGGCAGATGAAACCACCACCAGCACCTTGACCTTCCCCCAGACCAGGACCCTGAACCCAAGTGCCTTGGACCAAAAGTGTGAAATGGTCTAAAAACAAAAACCGTATGATCTTATCAGTGGAAATGACACTAAAGAGTAAGGATTACTTCTCCTCCTTTGATGCTGCAATCTAAGCACTACTGAGCCTTTCATCTGACTTTGCAGCTGAAACGTCCTATGAAATGAAAACTCATGTTGTTTCCATTTCTAGAATTGAGCTCCTTGGGCTATTTCCATCCCTAGAGCTTAGCACATAGTAAGTGTTTAATAAATATTTTATTCCTTCTGTAAATAGATATATTTAAATTTTTCATTGCTTATCTTTATTGCTTTAATTGCCTTTTCATATTTTGTTGCTATGGCTAAGATTTCCTATACTTCCAAAGAGAAGTAGGAGAAGTAGTCTTGTTAAATCCCTGTTTAATAGAAGTTTTGAATGGGATCACTTCCGGTGTTTTTCCATGACATTTATTTTTTTTTCAAATGCTTTTTTATCACATGGAAAGATTTTTCAATTACTATTTTTAATAAAAAATAATTCCTGTATTTTATCAAAGTCTGTCTTTTTATAATATATGACGATGTAATTCATTATTTACCTTGTTTTTAAGATTTATTATGTTATTCCTGGTGTTAAAACACCCAATCATTCCCTTTATTTAATAAAAAGAAAAAAGGGTAACCTAATGAACAAGAATATAGTATTCACATACAAAGAGCACTAGAATTTGGAGTCAGTTAACCAACCAACAAGCATTTGCTAAGTGTCTACAAAGTGTCAAGCATTATGTTAGGCCCTGCCAATAGCAAAGAAAAAATAAAATAATTCCTGTCCTTGAAGACCTATTCTTCAAGGACTTATCAATCATCTATCAATTCAGAACACCTGGATCCAAATCTTGCCTCTGCTACTTACTATGTGACCTTGGACAACTCTTACTTCCACAGGCACAAGCATCAGTTTCCTCTTCTGTAAAATGTGCAACTAGGCCACAAATGCTCTTTATCTTCCAGCTTTATAATAAATGCTCTATGACTCACAAAGTCCTACACAAATGAGTGTTTATAGTACTGAATATAAGTGCCAAAAAGAAAAAGGAAAAATTACTCAATATTCTGACTTGTCAAATAATCAAACCCACTGACTTTAAAATAATCTCTTTCACAATTGCCAATCTGCATTGATAGAGGAAGTCTTGCCACCAGGAGTTCCCTATACAAATGAGATTACAGGTCCTGTCAAAAAAGAATACATAACACACATATTTTTTCATTAACCATATTAATTGTTCTACTACTCATTTTATTTCATTTTGGGGATATCAGTATTCTCTATCCACACCGCTGAAACCAAGGCTAGCAGCAAGATTTCACTATGGAGAATTATATGACTGTATTTTTTTTTAAATATAGTTTTCATTTTCCTCAGCTTGGTACTTAAGCAAAATGAATAGTAAGCTGTCTCTCAGCTTCTCAAGATAAAAGGCTCCTTCCTTCTTGACCCTGGTACACGCACATAAGTACTAGTAGAATGAGCAGGTTTGAGAAGGCAAGCCTTTATATTTGTCACGAGGTCAATAAAAGCAGAGGCCAAAGAATAAATTTCCATTTCCAATGTTAATAGACACGAGAGCGTCTGTCAAGCATTTAAGGAGAGAAGTTCTAAAATTTATTAATATGAAAACGCTCAGGAATAACTGCTCAACTCTCTTATCAAAATTATTACATAAGTACAATGAATGGTGTGTTTCACACTCTGCCCATGAAGGAGAAGAAATAAAATCTAATAGAAAATCATACTGTTGTTGACATCATTTCAATGCTAAGCTCTGATATGTAGGCAAAGAATATGAAATGCAGAAAGGGGGAAAGTCTTTGTATCATTCACCCCTCACTTTCCACCCCAACAAATTACCACATGCATAAAATTGAATAAAGCAATGACCACTCACAAAGTAAACTAGTAATTCAGCAGCCTACAAGGTTAAAATTTACAATTAAGACAACCACCAAAAAAAGGGTAATGTGACTATAACAGTTCCAGAACATTTGAATCTGAGGACCTTAGGGAACATCCAATATAAGACTCTTCAATTAAAAAGTGAGAAAATTGAGGCCCAGGGAGGTTATGCAGCAGATTATATACATGCCTGCTAGCCTAGTCATCTGAGATAACCATTTCCCATATTTCAGGGTTCATTCTAAAGATAAAATGTGCTTTAAAAAAACAGAGCAACTTTATTTTATATCTTATGTGTAAACATGGTTAATTATCTATGATACAACACAAAATACATTTACTTTTTATCATTCTCTATAGCCAATGTCATTTTTATCCTTGCTATTAACATTATTAGAATACCCCAAGGCCTGGGATTTGACCTTTTTATATGGGGAGAGATAAAAATTTGGGCAAGCGAAAAAAATGCTGACCATGAATGAATGAAAAAGCAGGTGTTTACTGTGTGTAAAGTAATGTGCTAAGTGCTAGAGATACAAATTAAAAAAAAAAAAGACAGGATAGGCCCTGCTTTCAAGGAGCTTATTTTCTATAAAGGAGCACAGCTCACAAAGAAGGCCCCAGCTGCAAGTCAAATTATGGACTTCAGTGTCATTTCCACAGATAAAAACCATATCCATTTCTGATGCTGAGTCATTTTGTTAGTGCCAAGGACTTCGAAGGTGATAACTTTCTTTCTAGGTCTTCTGTAGCTATAGCTACTATGGAAGACAGAGTATACAGTACCTAGAGGGATAACTGCTATCACATCTTCCCAAGAACTATTTGAATAATGGCTGCAGAGACCAGCCTAGAAACAAGAGTCAGTAGTATGGAGGACACTCCTACTCCAGGGTTTTGTACTTACATGCCCATAGGTGGCAGCTAGTTGGGAGTGAAGAAATGATGGGCCCCTTCTCCATGAGGGTTGATCCCCTTGGTGACAGATGCAGAGGCCAGGCTGGATGCAGGGCTAGTGTTCCAGAGGAACATGGTATCCCTAGGGTTTGGGGACTTAGGGTTCTAGGTTATTTACACTTGGGTCTGTGGGAAGATTATGACAGTGGTTTAACCCATCTAGCAGATGCCACTTGCTATCTCATCCTCAAGGTGTTATGCTCTTTCAACTAAGCCACCTTTCCTAATAATGAAAAAACCCCAAAAATATTGAATTTAAGAAATTAATTCATGTGGGTGTATCAAATATACTATTTTTTTATTAATATCCAATTACATACCATCTTATTTTCAAAGTCACTGCCAATACCATCTAACAAATGAGACATAATTAAAAATGTAGGTGTACCTCTTTCAGTTCTGTCTTATCCATGTTCTCCAGGTGAATTCTGGTCCAATATTTGTCTAGCAAAATAGCATGACTATTGTGGGGTCGGTACCAATTTCCTGCACAGCCAAACAACCTAAATAATAAAATAAAAAGCACAAAGTCACATAGCCAGCTAGCATATATAGCCAAATCTTCTGATGTTGTTCAAGTTATTAACTTTTGTCTTCAGTTCTAGAATTTGTATATTTATCTCAAGACTTCTTTATCTAATTTTTCTCTTTGAAACCTACTGACACAACTAAAGATGCCAACAATATTTTACCTTTAAGTTAAGTGCTAAAATTAGTTAGCATAATATAAAATTCGAACTGAAGGGGTGCCCATGTGTAAACAGGAACTTTAATAATAAAGTGTTGGTAGCCCTGCAGAATGGTGTAAACATTTTAGTAGAATAACGTAGTCATATACAGTAAAGAGTCACAAAACTAATTATACGTTCTCACCTAGAGATTCCCCTATTAGAACTTTATGCTTAAAATGTCACAAAAATGGTGGATGGGAGAGAAGGGAGGACTGCTCTCTATAAAAATATTCAAATACTATATTTATAATATAAAAAAATCTAAAAACAACCTATAAGCACAATAATTGGATAACAGTTGAATAAAATATGGTAAAATAAAGTAACAATGTTTTGATTCCACAAAAACAGCAAATGAGTGATGGAAGGAAATATGGAAGGTCCTACAGAAGTTAATAAAAAGGAAAATCAATAATCCAAGAGCTGTATACAACTGTACCAGCAAAACAAATAAAGTTAAAGCAAAGACCAAGGTAATAAAACCACAAACTTGAAAAAGGAAAAAGACCAAATAGATCTTTATTTGTCACTCATTAATTTGTTACACATTAAGAGTTCCATATTGAGAGGCAGCACGAGAGAGAAGATAAAAACCGCTCTGAAATCTAGGTTTAAATCCTACCTCTGCATACAAGCAGAGGGACCAAGGGCAAGAAAATGAACTTTTCAATGTCATTAAAATTCTAAGATAATTAAAAAGGAGTTGTTGGTCTGCATAGCAAAGGACAACTCTGTAGACTATAAATCCCTATAAATAGATCATCCACCCTAATAAAATTACAAAAAAACTTTTGCCTAAGTGTGTTTACCATTTCAGGTTATAATCCCTCTCTTCTCTACTCCAATGTAAGGCAAGCTTAGAAGTAAGCTATGAACAGTGCGTGTGTGTCTTACTGTAAAAACAGAAATGCACACAGACCCAACCCTCTAAATGTATGATAAAGAGCTGTCTATTCTTTTTATTCTTTAATAATTCTTTAAATTGGCTTGAATCTTAAATTTTTTAAAAGTGAGTTTCATTTGGTTATTTAATAAAGCAGTTTATTATATACTGTAAATTGATTTTCGAGCTCAAATACAGATTGAAAGATGCACTATTTATCACTCTTATCATAATTATCTTATCACACAAATTCTTTTATGATTGTGCTATACAGGCATCAAAGTTCAGGATCTTTTGATTAAGAATTCAGAACTCTGAATTCTTATGAAAAGATCAAGATTTGAAATAGCATTTTTAACAATGCCTACCTCCTGGTTGCAAAAAACTGAAATCCAGGAGCCACTTTCAGACAATCTCCACGACCAGGAATGAGAAGTTCTTGATTTTCCAAAAGAGGAATTAGCACAGAAATCTAAGAAAGAAAAGTCAATTACTGAAGTTTTCAGACATCTGGAACACATCTAGAACAAGAAAAATACACTTGCCAAGTCACCCATGTAAGCAAACAAAACACAGATCAAAAATCTGAGTCTAGCTGAGATCTTTCAGCTCAAGACAGCAACAGAAGTCACATGTCACATCATTTATGGCTCATCAATATTCTAGTAAGTGGCATCATTCCATAAAAGACCAGCAACTTTAGAAGTGAGAAAATATATACAACACTTTAGTAATCCTAAAATGAGATATAAATCACAGCACTTTACAAATTATATATAGTGCCATAAAAAGCCATTCTTTTTCCTCCACATTGAAGCACAAGATATATACATATTTGAAATGAATCCCCCATTACTACTCTTCAAGAGAAAGTCTATGTCCCTGTAGTCAGGAGGACCTGAGTTCAAATCCAGTTTCAGACACATAACACTTACTAGCTATGTGCCTCTGGGCAAGTCACTTAACCCTGACTGCCTCACCAAAAAAAAAGAAAAAGAAAAGAAAAGGTCTACAGCCATACAATGAAGGTTCACATTGAATTAAATTTTAAAATGCCATTAAAAAAAAAACTTTATTCTGAAAGGACATTGAATAGATTAATACTGCAGAAAAAAATGGAAACCTGAACAGCTAATGTTGCCCCTAAAGATGAATCCTACAAAAATACCAGTGAGGGAAGGGAGAAGGAAGACAAAGATTATCTTAAATGGCAAAATAGACGTGTGTTTATAGAACCGGGTTGTTATCTACCCAGTGCCCTTTCTAATGTCCCACTGCTAACCTACCATATTTCCAATTCATTATTAAATATCTGAAGTATTGTGACCTACGGATAGAATCTGGACTTGAACCTTGGTTAGAATCTTGCCTCCAACTATGTCACCAACTTAACATCACAGACTTATTTACTTAACATCTATGTACCCCAGTTTCCTCATTTTTAAAATGGGGATAATCATATCCGTAGTACCTAGAGAGTTGTAAGACTCAGATAAGATAATGAATGTAAAGGACTTCACAGATCCTAAAGGTGTAAATTAACAATAACAACGAAACAATATTTACATTCAACTTTAAGGTCTACAAAATGCTTCACAAATATTATCTCACCTGATCCTCACAACAATCCTGCAAGCACTATTATTATCCCCATTTTACAGATGAGGGAACCAACACAGCCAGAGGTTTACTGACTTCCCAGGGTCATAAAGCTAGTAAGTGTCAAGGGCAAACTTGGACTCGGATTTTTCCTGACTCCAGGTCCAGTGCTCTCTCCACTGTGCCACTTATCCCACCTTATTAATATCTATATTACCCACAAAACCTGTTCAAAACCTTTACTCTTTCTTCAATCATCTCAGTCGCTCACCTTACAAGAGATGACTTAGTCTAACACTTCACTTTGAGGACTGACGCCGATACCCTGAGCTACTGATGTCCTACTCTCCTTTAATCAAAACTGCTTGGCTTGAGGAACCATTCTCTCCTTTCCAGCACTGGTTACAGAAGACTCATTAATACTCATCTTTCCACCTATACCTGACCCCTCCAGAATCTTGTTCCAAAAGAAAGCCCCTGTCTCTCATGCTTCTTCATTCTTTCTCTCTCCACTGGCACCTTATCTGCCCCGAACATGTTCTATTCGATCTACTTTTTAAAAAAATCTTCCCTTCATTGTTCTAATTGGAATTTATTATCTTTCCCCAACTCTCTCTCTCCCCCATGCTCCGCCTTGCTCCAAAACTTCCCTAATTCTGTCAAGGGCATCACCATTCTTCTGGTCTCTCAAACCCACAGGCTCATTAGTATCCAAAACTATTTTCTCCCTTACCCACATAGCAAAATTTGGTAGTCCAAAATTACTAAATCTCACTCCGTCATCCAACCCTTTCATTCTACTCACACAACCACCACCTGAGTTCAGAACTTTATCACCTCATACTGTCTTTATTCTGTATACACTTATATATATATATACACACACATATATATATATGGGACCCTGATAGAATGTAAGCTCATCGAGAGCAGGAATTCTTTCCTTTTCGTCCTCATATCCTCAGTAGTATAGTGAGCACTTAAATACTTATTGTTTACCTATCCAGGTCCCCCTCCAGTGTCTCTTCCCGTTCACTTTGTTGTTATTGTTATTGTTGTTATTGTTGTTGTTGTTCAGTCATTTTCAGTAGTGTCCCACTCTTTGAGACCCATTTAGGATTTTCTTGGCAAAGGTACTAAAGTGGTTTGCCATTTCCTTCTCCAGATCATTTACAGATGAGGAACTGAAGTAAACGGGGTTACGTGATTTGCCCAGGGTCACACAGCTAGAAAATGTCTCAGTCCAGATTTGAACTCAGGTCTTCCTGTCCCCAGGCTCAGCACTCTATTCACTGCACCACCTAGCTGCCTCTCATTCACTACCAAACTTTTAAAAAAAACTGTACCTGATGCCTCTCCTTCCTCACTACCCACTTTAGTTGGCAAAGTGTCAAAGGCTCTTGCAATCTAGCCCATCCCATTCTATTGAATTTGCTCTCTCAAATTCTCTTTTCATCACCAAATCTAATTGTTTTTTCAGTCCTCATCCTCCCTGACATGTCTAAAATACCTGGCACTGTTGACTATCCTGTCCTCTCTGTTCCCTTGGCTTTAGAGTCACTTAGATTCTCTTGGCTCCTCTCCTAACTTGTTAAGAGTTCCTTTCCTGTCATCCTTCTTACCCCCTAAAATGCAGGTATTCCTAAAGGATGACTTTGTCCTTCTGTCTATTCTCTAGTTTGACAAGCTCACTCGCTCCTATAACTTCAGCTACTAGCTCTGGGTAGATGCCTCCTAAATCTCCGTCTCCAAGACCAACCTCTCTTCTTAGCTCCCTATTCGCCTGTTCCACTACCTACACAACATCCTCACCAGAATTTCCCACAAACCTGCTCCTCTTTCTGACTTCCCTATTAGTTTCTCAAAAGACAAGAAAACCTTGTTATCATCTTTGATTCTTCCCTCTCAAATCTAGTTACAGCTTTAACTATACATAGTTATAGTTTGGTCGTTTCTATCTCTGCAATATCTCCCATAACCATCTCCTCTGGACTGCCGCTATCATCACCTTAGTACAGTCCTTTCACTACCACCTCTGTGAAAGACTGCAATACCTAGGGTATTGCAGAAAGACATCTAGAAAGCATAGTGGAGACAGCATTGGGCCTGGAATCAGGAAGATCTGTATTCAAATCTTGCCTCAGAGACTTACTGTGTATCCCTGGGCAAGTCACATAACCTGTCTGCCTCAGTTCCCTCGACTGTAAAATGGGGATAATAACAGCACCTACCTTGCAGGATTTCTGTGAGTTTCTACTTGTAAAGCACTCAGCATAATTCATGGCACATAGTAGGCTCCAGGTAAGTATTTATTCACTTCTCTTCCACCTTCCTTCCCAGTAAGTCTTCCTGCTATTATTCTTTCCCTCAATCCCTCTTTCATACCAATGAATAAATGAAAAGAATTTATTAAACACTTACATGCCAGGCTTTATCTTCCCTGCAGCAATCTGTGCGTGTCATTGTTGCTAAGAAATCTACAATGCTTTCCTACTGCCTACCGAGGAAAATTCAAGTTCTTTTGTCTGGTATTCAAGGCCTTCAACAATCCAACTCCCAGCCTAACCTCTTACATACCCTTCCATATACTTTACATTCAAGCTACATGGAACTATTCTGTTCCCCAAAACTTGCCATGTGCCTTCCTGTCTCTTCACCTTCACTCACATTTGTTCCCTCTGCCTGAAATGTTCTTCCTCCCCCTCTCCACCTACTAAATTCCAAACCAGCCTCTGAAGTCCAATTCAAATGGTGCCCCTTCCATATGGTCTTCTTTGATCCCCTCTTCCTCTATTCCCCCATCAGCCTTCCCTCAGGGTTTTGTTTTGCATCCAATGCACTTTTGTGCACATCTCACATTCCCCCACTAGACTACAGCCTGCAAGAAAGTAAGGACTGTGGCCTACCTAACCCTCAGCTAGTGTCCCTCTCTTTGTGTTCTTCACAAAGAAGGTGCCTAACAAATGTTGTCTGCAGCTGAATTAGGGAAAACCTGCTTTTCTATCATTTCCCTAAATTCTCTTCATCTATCACATAATTAATGTGATTTCCAACTGACCTGTCCATAAATATAATAAATGACTACAGACTCTTTATCACTGAAGGAAAGGGATCAGATACAAAACACCATTGGAAGAATCTTAACAGTGGTTAGTTAGCCTTTATTTATTTATTTTTTTTTGGTGAGGCAATTGAGGTTAAGTGACTTGCCCAGCATCACACAGCTAATAAGTGCTATGTGTCTGAGGCCAGATTTGAACCCAAGTCCTCCTGACTCCAGGGCCAATGCTCTATCCACTGTGCCACCTACCTACCTCGACTTTGTTTTTTTGTTTTGTTTTGTTTTTAAGACCAGGAGTGTGATGTCATTGGCACAGGGAGATCCTGATGAGCAGGCTCCTTCTACCAATGCTGATCAATCAGAACCTGCCCCACCACTTAAAGAGTCTTAGAGAGTGGTGAGGGGAATTGAGAAGTTCAGTGACTTGCACAGAATCAGAAAGCTAGTGTGTGTCAGAGGCAGGACTAACAATCCAGTTCTGATTAACTCCTATTCTCCACTGCCTCCCCGGGGATTAGTCTCAAAGGGGTAGAGAGATAAAGTCGTACTCTAGTCAGTCAACTCATAGGTGACCTTCCCTGCAACAAGATGGATCTGACCACTTGCTCACTGTCCTAAGTCTTCAAGCTAAAACTGGGTTCCTCAATACAATTCATTCATTCAAAAATTCTTTCCAGGCAAAGCATATTGTTAAATACTAACAGTGCTAATGAAAATAAAAAATTTCCCACAGAAAATCCTACAGAGGCTACATACCACATCTAAAGGAGCATAGTCAATGTCCTCCAGGAGTATCCAGTGACCCTTGGTGACAGCTTGTGTCAAAGTCCCTGGCTGCCAAATAAACTCCCCTGGAACATCTGTGCAGCGATACATTCCCAACAGCATCTGTAAAGAGAACATGGCATTAAACACATCCTACAATCATGGATCACCTGCAGGGAGACATCACATTTGTACCACTTGACCTCTTCTCTAGATAAACTCAATGATTAGCCTTCCATTCTCAGAGAGCCACAAAACATCAAAACCCAGGTATTTAGTTTCCAGGCTCCAAAAACTTGCCATTTCTTACCTTGCTGTCAGTTTGATCTCCAAGCTGGATTTTAAGAATCTGAGGTGGTTTTCTTCTTCCAGTCATGGCAGCTAAATGCTCCACTAAGGATGTTTTGCCACATCCTATTGGTCCTTCTAGCAACACAGCATTCTGAGAAGCGACAGCCAAAGCCAGGCTCTGGAGATTTTTAGAGACAGACTCGACCAGCACGAAAGACTGCGGTGCCACCTCCTGCTCAAGTAAAGAATGCTTGTTACTACTACACTGAAGAAAACAGGTACATATAAAAGTCACTTAAGAAATAGTACTTTCCCCAAAAGATTATTAGCCCATTCCAAAAAGTCAAAAGCCTTCTTTTAGCCTTTTCTTGAACATCTGTCATTAAGATAATGCTGCTGAATCCCTGCAACTTCAAATGTTTATTTGTGAACACAGACGGGGAAATATCTGTACACCTTATGTAATCTACAATATCAGAGACTCAAAATGCCTTCAAACATAAAGATGTGATGACCCAAGAGAAGTGAGACAAAAATTAACCATTAAAACTAATTTATGAAGTTTTCTATTTGTTCAGAAATTTAAAATCATTAAGAATTTTGTATTTTGAAATACTGTCTCTGCCCTCAATGTTTTTCTTTTGGGCTTTTTACTTTTCTACTCAAGCTAAAATATACTCCTATGGGATGGAGAAGCTGGGAGAGGGCAGAAATTAATTTCCAACACGAAATTTCTCAAATCTAAACCCTAGATGTAAAGAAAATGGTTAACAATAGTGTCAGGTCAAGAAACTAAGATGCTCTCGCCTCTTAGCAGTCAACCCTTCACAGCAAAATGGAAGGTAGATTTAGGCTTGGTAGTGTTTAAGGATACTCCCAGTTCAGTACTGTACTCCATGTTCTCTCTATTCTAAAAACATTTATTAAGTCCTTATGTGCAAGGCACTAAGGATTCTAGACATCTGACTAACTACGAGGCCTTTTAACAAGTCACCATACCTCAGCTTACTCATTGCGAATTGGAGATAATACTTGCTGTACTTATTGACTTCTCAAGATTGGTATGTGTAATTAAATTCGAATCCCTTCCCTGAATATTTTTTTTCTAATAGTTCCAATTTGCCAAACCATAACGACAAGCCTTTCCAGCTTGTATGAACAGAACACAAATCCTGGTTACGGGCAGGAATGGTTAAGATCAATCTTAGGAAAGCCATGTAATTTAATGAGAGAGATCACAATCACAGTCTACCTACATGCTCTGCGGGTGCTGGGTACTGCCGTGGGAGAACTACTCCACAGACTGCTGTCACATGGGCTGAAAGATCCCCAGAAATGATGTGGCCCTGTGTATGCTGTGGTTCTTTCTCCCTATGCCAAAGGGCGGTGTCTGGAGTGACCAAAACCAAGGCTTTCTCCACATCTTGCAGTTGTGCTTCTTCTAACAGCCTAAGAAAAAAACAAGATCCCCATTAGTTATTCTGAAGTAAGAACAACTATACTTATGATATCCCCAAAAAGCAGAGTTAATATACTAAGATCAACAAGAAGACCTATGATTTTTACTTACTTAAGCCTATAATGTATCAACTCTTCACTGCTGAAGCTCTTCTTAAGGAAGGATAATTTGTGCTCTTCATTCATTGAAGTAATCAAAGCAAGACAATTTGCAGTGTACCTGGAAAGAAAAAACAAACCACATGTTCAACATTTACTTCATGATTAAACGAAAACAAAAATCTGCCATAATATATGAAGTAAGCACACTTCCAAGAAAGGAATCCAAGAGAAGAGCTATAAGGCTAGGAAATAAACACTGGGACACAGTAACCTCCCCTTGACTGCGTGTACAAGCAGCTAAGCACTCTTTCCCCAAGCTGGTTTCCTGATTCACATCTCACATCATCCCACTCTGCCTCCTCACTCCTGAAGTTACAGAAGTTGAGGAAATGCAAGATGAATCCCAAGGACAAAAACAACAAATTTAGAATGATTCTCTCAAACAGAAATTCAGAGGACCCAAAGGTTCTATGAAAAAATAATCTACCAGCTCCCATATCTCCTGGAAGTTTTGGCAAAGTAGGAATCTGTAAGTCTCTACATACCAGCGAACTAAAGTGTCATGACTCCTAAGGAGTGGAACACACACACTCCAGTCCCAAAGCTCCCGAAATGTAGATTGATTTTGCTGTAAAAACTTGAAGGCTGCTTCCATCAGGTCCCGCAATTTCATCCGCCGACGGCCAAAGCGAACAGGATTGGCATCTGAACTTTCCAGGAAGAGTCTTTGAAAGATGGGGAAGGTGTCTTTAAAATATCTCAGGGCAAACCTTTCAAGAGAACACAGGAAATATATAAAGTGTTACCTAAAACTAGAAGCAACAAAACACAAAACAACATACCATGGAGCAAAGAGCAAAAAAGAAAGAAGAGATGAGTATTAAAATCAAATATATGTCACATTCAATCCTCAGGGATCAGAGGATCTGTTAAGAGGATCCTCAGGGATAAGATGATCTAATTCCCCATTGTCTTGTAATACACATCTGGCTATGCTTAGCACAGAAAGCCAAGGAATAAGGAGGGGGATACACCTCATCAAACCCTAAAGAAAAGTCCTAAGACTTAGGGTGCAACACAGAAATACAAAAAAAAAAAAGTATCAGGATGCAAAGGAGACATGAGACATCATTGCTCTCTGTTTCAAATCCTCATCTACAAAATGGGTATAAAATGTCCTCACAACATCCTTATGAGGGTGGGTAGACAATGGGAGTAATTACAAATGAATTTTTTGAACTTAGGAGGAAAATAATATCAACAAATTACAATTTACAAAGTGTTATCTATAACGTAATTTTCCATGGTGTGAGAAAATTATGGTATGTATAAGATGTTTCCCAACAGAACTGGTTTTGATTCTGCCGTTTCCTAAGGACTAGGCATCATACAGTGCAAGGTAAATGCAATGTTGACACACCACATGTAATGATTACTTATATATCACGCATGCATTCATGTGTATAATATAAAGGTATTATAAAAACAAATCAAGGTATAAAAGAATAGTAGGGTACATAAGGATTTAAAAGTATTGCAAAGCATAATGGAAACCCTTCTTAAAGGCACCTAGGTGGAACAAAGGATAAAGTACTGGACCTGAAGTCAGGGAGATCAAAGTTTAAATCCCACAACAGACACTCTTCAGCTGTGTGACTCTGACCAAGTTACTTAATCCCTGTCTGCCTGTTTCCTCATCTGTAAAATAGGATTCATAATAGGACCTACCTCACAGGTTGCTGTAAGGATCAATGAGATAATACTTGTAAAACACTATATAAATATTGTTGTTGTTGTTGTTGTTACACCCATATTATAGATGAGGATTTGGAATGGAGAGGAATGTTGCCTGTTAAAACTCAAAATAAACCAATATAATCAGCCTCACTTCCACCAAAACAATGTCAACAATGCAAAATGCACACAGTGATAGTTTAAATTTTATGATCCATTGAAACTCAACAGAACAACATGCCTCAGAGAAGGAAAAGGAAAAAAAATGTGTTGGTGAAATCTCACATTCATTTATTATGACCATAAAATCTGCAACTACTGAGAAAACACACTTGGCAAATCCATTCTTTGCCAACCCTTCAATTTAAAAATCTCCAACACTATCCCAAAATATAATTCTACTTTGCGGGAGAGACTTAATAGCAATGAGGTTTCATGTTAGTACCAGCACTTCATTTCTACATAGCATTAATGTAAGATGCATCTGCCAAAAATAATGAAATAGCACCATGATCAAATACATTTAAAGTATTTTAAGTAAAAAGAAATTATTAAAGCACATTTGATAAGGTTACCATGCTTATTTTAATCTCTGTAAATCACATGTTCCTACTTGTAAGGGACTACACACAATATTTCTGTCTTTGGGTGAATTTCCATATCTCCACTCTACAGGGCCAGTTTTTTTCCTTACTCTTTTTTGGCAAATTTCTTTGAGGTAAGGATCTTTCTTAAACATGACCAACCTTTCAGTTTTTATTCACCTGACCCAAGAAAAGACCAGAGATAATATGAAAAGTATGTCAAAATGGTAAGAGATGTTTTACGGTGCTGTTTATGAATAAACATCTTTCTTACAAAAGATGTTAATAATACTGCTACACAGAAAGGATTTTTTTTCATACTGAGAGCTCAAAGACCTTCACATAAATATACTCACTTCTCAAAATAACTTTTCAATATTCTAAAAATACTGTGAAGCTCAACTCTGCATCCTTTCCACAAAAAAAAAAATTTACCTTTCTGTCAACTTAAGATCAAAATAGTAGAATGCAATTATATGGTTGTTATTATATTGATTGGGAGGGTGTTTAGAGAGGCACGCAAAATAAAGACTTTTCAATGCCTCTGAGATCGTCTAGTCCTGCTCATTCATTTTACATAGGTCATGTCACAGATCAGTTATATGCTCCTCAAAACATAATTATAAAATGTAAAAATCCAATATAACCTATTTAGCCTGGTTAGCTTTATGTATGTATAAATCCATGCAACAAATATTTACTAAGCATTTACTACAGAGAAGGCTTGTTGCTAAGTACTGCAAAACATACTAAGATAGTTTTTTTTATTTCATAGAGCCTACAGTAGCAGAGATATGGAGAAAAAAATATTAAACAGCCTCTGCTCTTATATCCTGTACAAAGATAAGTATAACATGAAGTAGGGAGTGAAGGGGACAATACACAAGTCAAAGTACAGACTCTAGAAGTCCCAATAAAGGGAAAGAGTAGGTCTGGGGGTGGAGACAAGATGGCAGAGTAAAAGCAGTGACTTGCTTGAGCTCTCCCCCAAACCCCTCCAAATACCCATAAAAAATGGCTCTAAATAAATTCTAAAGCAGCAGAACCCACAAAAAGACAGAGTGAAACAAATTTCTAGCCAAAGACAGCCTCAATGGTTGATCCAAAAGGTATATCACACCGGGAGGGGAGAGGCTGCAGCGAACCTGGAGTAGGCCTCAGAGAGCTGATTCACAGGCAGCTGTGGCGGTTTCCAGACTTCTCAACCCACCAAAAACACCAAAGACAACTTAGAAGGTCAGTGGGAAAAGTCTGTTTCTGCAGTGCTGAGAGAGAAGGACGGTGGGGTTTTAGCCCTGGGGCAGCAGTTGCCTTCTGAGCTTCCGGCCCACAGACTGAGGGCAAATCGAGTGGCTGATCAGAGGGGGATTGCAGGGATCTCTTTGCCTGTGCTGAGGCAGGAATCTCTTGCTTTGCCCCTGATTGGATCTGGGTCACAGTTCTGGGTGGCGGTCCTGCAGCGAGGAGGAGCGCTGGTGTGGTGGAGCTTGTACTGGCTGTGGAGAGGAAACCTTCCTCACAGTTCTAAGACAGAAAAGAGTGCTCATATATGGACCAAGCACAGGCCAGGAAAGGAGTAAACACCTTGCCCTTGGTCACAGCAGGAAAATAAGGGTGGAAAGGAACAAGAGAGCAGGGGGTTGATAGAGGGGAGGGCAGATTTAGGGAGGGGAAAATCAAAAGCAAACACTTCTGAGGAGGGACAGAGTCAAAAGATAGAATAAAATAAATGAGGGGCAGGATAGGATGAAGGGAAATATACTTAGTTTTTCACAACAGGACTACTATGGAAGTGTTTTGCATGACTAGACATCTATAACCTGTATCGAGATGCTTGCCTTTTCAATGAGGGTGGGTGGGGAGGGAGGAAGGGAGAAAATTTGTAACCCAGAGTTTTAAAAACACATGTTAAAAATAAAAAAATTATACTAAAAAAAAGAGTAGGTCTAGCAGGCATAAAGGTGAGCAATAAAAGCTATGAGAGGTAGAGGTAGATAAAGAGAAGAATTTCAGAGTTCAAGATCTGAGAGGTGGACATAACCTATTTTGTATTATGTAGTCAGTACTTTTCTCAAAGCCAGAATAAAGAGATTCTGGTATTGTTTTGTTTATTTATTTTTTAATTACAAAGTTATAATCATTATACCCTTTTTAGTATCTTTATTCCATCTTTTTCAGTAAGACTCTTCCCTTGCTATCCAGGAGGGAATAGGTTCAATCATCACAGACAAAAATACATAGAATAAAAGGATTACTCACGGAAGGACATCAGGATGGCTACTGATAAGCTTGCTCATGGCCACACACAGCCTTTCATGTAGATCATGGTTGATCTGACCTCCAGCTTGGATGGCTTCCCTATTTCTTTCCAGCAAATCCAAGAGAATAGGTCGAAGATGACGACCAATCAGGACAGTACATTCTTTATCCAGAAGCAGCTGTGATAAAGTACTAAGAATACATTGACGATCTTGCTGAGTCCATGTCTAGGTGAGAAGTAAAAAAAAATCTCTAGTTTTAATAACATGTTTGCACCAAGTCAGTATTCCACTGCCTAAAGAAATTAGGCAAACTAATTTCCAAGCTTCAAAAATGAATCTAGCTAAGGAAAACAGATAAAATTCTCTTTAACAATCGCCACATAGGGTCCAGATATTTGCTGCAATGAAATTTTGCTAACACTAATATCCACTATTACCAGAAATCATGTACCCTGTTTTGAAGTGAAACAAAAGCAGCTTTATTTACACTGAATTTGAAAACTTACATAATTGGCTTTCTTCACAACAATCCTACGAAGTTACAGCACGCATTGTCCCCCATTTCACAAAAGGGCAAACTGAGGCTATCATTAATTAACCTACCCAATATCACATTTTGATCTCCTGAAGGGTGGGCAGAGGAAGGAAGCAAATCTCATTATCCTTTTCCTTCAACTTTCTGAAAGGGATTTTTTTGTTTTTGTAGGTAATTTGAACTTTAGATGCTTTTTTTTTCCTTTGGAGAACTAACTAGAACATCTAAGCTACAAAACTGTAAGGGAGGTTGGAAGATAATCGCTACCTAATGCCAAGATGAAGGAAACAGTAAATAGCTAATTATATATTATCTATGCTCTTTCCCACTGTTAATGCAAGTATCACAAATCAAGCTCTTGTGTTATAAAGAGTGACAGTGTGACCTAACAGAAAGAACCATACATTTGGAATCATGGTTCAAAATCATGTCTTTCCTACTTACTCCCTTATGGTCTTGGAGTTCACCTCTTGGCCCCAGTTTCCTTATCTGTAAAATGGGAGAAATATACTATACAAGTGGTAAGAAACCCCTTTAATTCTTAAATATATGATACTATATTATATAAAAATACATATTATATAAAGCCTCTCAGAAGGCAATAGAGACAAGCAGGACACCTTTGCAAGTTAATTGTAGAATTTATTACTTGGTTAGAAGTAAAGCAAGGTGTATGTAAATAGAGATTTAAAGTTTCACGTACAATCTTCTTTGTTCTACGTTGAAGAATCATTTTATTAGTATTTGCCAAGTTCAGAATAAAAATGTTTTTTAAAAAAAGGTAACATTAATTTAGAAGAGTTCTCTATTTACATAACATTAATTCAACAATCATTTACTATATGCCAGACACTGTGATAGGCTCTGGGAGTAAGAAGATATAAATACAACAGTTTTTGCTTTCATAAAGCTTCCATTCTCTCCTTCTATGGAACTGTAAAGAACTGGTCTTTGCCAGAAAAATCTACTTTCTAAAAGGTCTTGAGTCATGCTTCTTTGAAATGGGATTTTACTTCTAAACTCTTTTTAAGTCTCAAATAATAGGAATGACTGTCACAGAAGGTCAGATAGTTGAAATATCCAGAAAACATCAAGTAATCTAGAATGCTGAGGCAAGACTAGCAGCTTTATAGGCATCAATATCTAATGTAGCATGACTTTTGTAATACAGACAACAAACTGCCAGCATTCATTTCACTCACTCAAACACAAATTAAGCACCCAGTCGGTACAAGTCACCATTTAAGAATCCTATTTCCAATCCTACTCACCACCAACAGGCAATCCCTAATTGGCCTGAATTCTCCAAGCACCTGATTCAATTTAACAAACATTTATGAAGCAAAGCACTATGCCACATTCAAGGTATATGAAGATAAAGTCTCTCAGAAGACCGTACATTCTTCTTGGGGAGTTGGGAAGAAGAGGAGTAGAACACAACATGTATATAACAAATATGCAAATACAAGGTAATCTGAGGAAGACCAAAACACAAATTGTGGCATCAGGAAAGACTTCTGGTACATGGAGTCCTTTAGTATGAAGTGCCAGTTTGGGAGGAACTGAGAGAGTCATCCAGAAAGGCCATCTCTAAGATCAAGGAATAAAAGTATAAATTCATCACCAATAATATTTCTCTAGGAGATAGGCAGGGTTATATTTCTCTAGGAGATAGGCAAGGAAGGGATTCGGAGGAAAATCTAGGTGATGGGGAAAAACAGACATCGAAAAAAAAATTTTTTTTTAAAGAAATAGGGACATCTAAAAGAAGGGAGAGTTTGGAGATAATAAGTTCAATTTTGAGATGTCTCTAGGACATCCTGAATGAAATATCCAATAAGCAAATGGCAATATGGGAATGAAGCATAGGGCTAGATGTTTAAACTGGTGAGTCACCTGCTTAGTGATTATAATTAAACCCATGGAAGTTAAAAAAGTTGCCAAAAGAAAATGTATAGAGACAATAAAAAAGACTATGAGAGAATCTTAGAGAAAAACCACAATTAGGAGACTTAGTATGGATGATGAATAATGAGGATCTTGGGATCCAATAGAATGTAAACTCTCTTTTGCCCTCAAAAGGGCAAAGACAATTTCATTTTTTGTCTTAAATCCACATCTTGCCTAGGGTAGAATAAATGCTTGCTGACTAATTCTTACTACATGAGGAGCAGCTGAAGCAACTGGGGGGTGTATTGGCCTAGAGAAGGGAAGATTAGGGTGGAAAAAAGAAAGATGACAGCTATCTTCATTTAGTTGAAAGGCTGTCATGTGGAAGAGATTTATGATTAGCCTTTGTTCTGTTTACACCTAGAATACAAAACTCGGAAGCAAAACATGTAAGTTGCAAATAAGCAAATTTAGGGCTTGATATAACTAAGAAGTTTTTCAAAATTAGAGCTGTCTATCCCAACTGGAAGTTTGGAGGAAGTGGATTCCTTTAGTGCAAGCCTTCAAATGATCAGATGACCAGCGTCAGCAGCAAGCACACTGTGAGAAGATTCTGTTTGCATATGGGTTGCCCTTTCTAACCTCTAAGGTTCTTTCCAACTCTGATTCAATCATCCTGTGAAGAGCAAAAAGCGTACAAGACCAATAATAGAAGTCTCTCATATTTTTCCCCTTATTTTATGTATGATTAGAGCATAAGTTCCTTGAAGGCACGGTCTTCATATAAGTATTTGTTGGTTGACTGGTAGAGTCAAAGTTCGAGTGTCAAATTTGTCTTTGTAATTTTCCCCGTTTTAGCTGTGATTTGCATTTCTTTTTCTTTTGAATGTACAATGAACTAAGAAGCAAAGATGACTCATTTGATAACATTTAAAATAGATATTAAATCAGAACCATTATCTTGGTGAATAATCCACGATTTGTCATTTTCTAGTCAATTTCTTCCTGGAAAGCTTTTTTCTGACTAAGCCAGAGTTCAGGAAGTCTAAGAATGAATGGACAATATGTTCACTGAGATGGTGGAACATGGCTCTCCAGATAAGGTGTGGCTGTATTACCATCTCTCTATATGATTACAGATCCACTGAGCTATATGAGGATGGGGGGTTTCGGGGAAACCATGTGGGGAGTAGGATAGGGAGACACAGTTGTTGGCATTAACAAGAGGCAATGTTCAAATACAACACTGCTGCTGCCACCTAGAGCTCCCCCTCATCCAGAAGTACACAAGCAGGATGACCATGTATCATGGATGTTGTAGAAGAGATTTCTGATTTGGGAAAAAAATTCAACACAGTGATCTTTAAGGTCCAAAATGGTAAATGGCCCCAAGAGATTATACTTTATGAAAGGCATCAGTTGAAGAAATTGGGAACGTTTAGCCTAAAGAGAAGACTTAGAGTTTGTCACAATTACCTTCAAATATTTGAAAGGTTACTACACGGAAAAGGGATTAGACTTGTTCCGTTTAGACCCAGAGAGCTGAACTAGAACTTCAGTATTGAAATGGATCTTGACCTCATCGACTCTGGATGCTTCCTCTAATGATGAAACTCAAAACTTATCACTATCTTCTCATTCTGTCCAACTCTTGTCCATGTCTTCTCATTAATCTTGCACAACTAGCACACATAGAGGGTGGAGATCTATCAGACAAGGGTTTCTTTCTCCTAACATCAGGAGAACACAGAGTCCCGCTGTCTATTAGTTTCTTTCATACCACGTAACCAGCCTATAGTTTCTTTTTTTAATCACATATCTATATACTTGAAAAATACCCTATGTTTTATGTTCTTATTCATAATTCTTCAGATACAATAGTGGTGCTCCAATGCAAGTAGTTAAATGACACTGGTAGAATACTGTTAACAAAAGGATGGGCCTTGTTTCTGGAAGTCTGGAGGTCATTAAAGGAGCTCTGAGATTGACCAGAGGCAATCCAACCTGAAAGATACCTTTTAGCACAATGTAAGGAAACAAAAGTCTAAAGTACAAGGTCCACAAAAAAGTAGAATGTGATGCCTGGGGAGATAAGTGCGTTCTTCTTCTGAAGGTCTTCAAATAAAAACTGAATGACTATTTTTTGAGGACATTGTAAGGAGAATTCTTAGTAAGGGATGGGTTGGACAAATAGTTTTTCGGGTTTCATAATTATACAATGCTTTTGGTAACATATAGGAACAGAGACAAAAAAAAATAACATATGACTTAACAAAGGATGTTCCTTTGCAAAGCCTCATTAAAGACAATTTAAAACAAAATCAGGACTATCCCAGAAAAATAGATGGAAATCATATGCATCAGGTACATCATCAGGTTTTGATAGCTGTGTTTTAGAATCAAAGGAATGGGAAAATATTCTCCTTTGAAACATGTACAAACTTCTGCAGAGTGAAAAAAGCAGAATTAGTAGGGCATAAGCAATGTTAACAACATTAATGTAAACAATTAAAAAGCAAAATTAAAACAATAATTAAAAATAAAAATTGAACTCAAATCAAAGGCAAATACTGGTTCCAGAGGACAGTTAATAAAATCACAGTATCTTCCTCTAAGGGATGCAGAATGCTGACAGTCACAGTGAGGTAGTCTTGCTTAAATATCTTCGGTTTTTGTTTTGGGGGCTTTTTTTTTTTTTTTGGTCCCTTAGCAGGGAGGACATCCTAGTATAAAAAACAAAGGTATTAATTTAAAAAATTATAAATATATAAAATTATATATAATATATAAATATAATATA